TAAATTTTTGGACCTTGAGAGTGGGCGCTTATTCGAGGCTGGGCGCTTATTAAATTTTCACCATTTTAAGTAAGTGAAGTATGTTTATTTTGCAACAAAATAATAAATGCTAATAACAAAACGCGAAGGAGTAACAAAGCAAGGTTTCTGTAAAATACTCTGAAGAAAACTCCGTCCTCGGGGAAGTCTCTTATTAGAATTTATTCACTCAAGTGGGTGGGGTGGGGGTGAGCGCTTATTTGAGTTTGATTGGGAGGAGGGAGGGTGGGTGCTTATTCGAGGCTGGGCGCTTATTAACTTTTTCGGCCTTTAGGATGGGCGCTTATTCGAGGTGGGCGCTAATTCGAGGTTGGGCGCTTATTCGAGTAAATACGGTAATCGCCTCCCTCGAATAATTGACCCCCCCCCCCCGCCCCTCTTGCCTTCTTCTCTTTCTTTTATCCCCTCCCTGCCAAGTCAAAGTGGAGCGGTCTGATCCAGCAAAACTGATCAGTGACAATTCAAGCTGACGCCGAAAATATTGACATTGAAAATTAATCAAGGAACCAAATTTGTAGCACTTAAAAAGCTCATATGTAGTCATTATGTTTCAATGTGATAAAGGGCACGACTTCCAGTGAGCAATACAATATTTGAAATAATCTCCTCCGTTGAATAATCGCCTTCCCTCGAATAATCACCCCGGACCCTTTTTGTGCGAAAAAAATAATAATCGCCCCCGGTTATTATTCGAGGAAATAACGGTAATTTAACATTGCCTCACATTGCTAGCACCGTTGGAGATAGTAAGACAAGATTTGAAATAAGAATTCGGAAGAATTTATCAAATGCAAGCTTAGTCTAGCGGCGACAAAATTCTTCGCTATTTTCTTTTACACCCGGTGACTACTGGAGTTGAATAGAATTGATGTTTTTTCAGTCCTCGTTGAAATATCCCTTCTTTATGATTTTATGGTGAATGGGACTTCATTTCATTTCCACTTCCATCATATACATCATGTGTTTCTTGCCCATTATGGCTCTCAACACTCCCTGCTGATGATTGTCTTTGAATAAGAGTGTACCTTGAACCACTGGGACTTGAAATAACAGAGAACGACTTTGTAATTTCACCTGAAATTCTTTGCGCTGACGGTGCTTTCTCGCTCTTCTTGACTTTTTTCACCTTCGAAGAAAATTCCTCCTCGACGTTTTTAGCCTTTTTCTTAATTTTCTGCCTTGATAACTTGCGTCTCTTTGAAGTCGTTGTTATGTCAAGGAGTTTCAGGTTTTTGTGTAATTTATCCTCTCTTTTGAAGAAGTTTTCAAACCCATTCGACTGGTTTATTGGAGGCAATTTAAGCGCTTGTTGTTGTCCACGAAACTCGCGAATTTCTTTTTCAAAATCCAGCGGTGTTATTGTTGGCATAACTGTTCATCTTATGCCACCACCAATTCAGTTAACCGTACACAAACTTGAATTTAAAAGTTTTAACTTTTAACTGCAAAGCTGATGGGGACATAAAAATTTAATGTATTTTCTGACGTGCAGCGTTTAGTAACAAATGAAGTTATCTCCTAATGAGAATAAGCAAGCCGCTGATTTGTTATTGTAAAATTAATAATTAACAGCAAATATAGAAATGTTGAGTTTTTCACAAGTACTAGCAATTTACATGTCAAAATTGGAACATTGCTATAATTAGAAACACCTGCGTGATACAGTGGGCCTCATTGTTCTGCGCGGACGAAGCATTTTGGGTCACGTGGTTGGAGCAAGTGTAGTGTTACCGAAATATTAACTGGAAAGGCCTGGAGAGAGGCCGTATGTGGAGAAGAAACACAAGAGGATTTTGAAACAAATTACCAATTATAAGGGATGTGTAGAAACGAGGCCGGAAGTGGAACAAGGTTTAAATAAAGCCAAAATAAAGACTTAACGTAACTTTGCTTGTGTGCGTTGACTTTCACGTACCAGTACAGAGTTTGTGTTGTGACCCGGGGAAGCAAAATTGCGGCCAACGGGGAGATCTGTTTTGAACTGAAGTGTTCCATAAATCTGTTAACTAGGCGTTTACTGGTTTCGGCGATATATTTGACGACATTAACCTCATTTTCGCTAATACACGGACACTGAGGCTGGACCGTACTGTGCCCTCGGGGAGTAGCAATAAAATGTTATTTCTACTGTTCTGCAAAACCCTTTTAGTTCGGCTTCGAAGACATACCTGCAGCAATTTTCACAATGACACCAAAACACTTTTATACCTTACATTTGTCAGATCTCACCTGAATATGATTATGCTCTGTGAGATCTGGGGTCCTCAGTCAACTGGAAATATTTCGAAAGATGAGGGTCTCCGAAAAAGACTTGAGCAACCAAATATATTTTGAACTTGCTTTGATGAGAAGGAGTCCACCACAATACCGTGGGAACTTTACTAAACTGGGTTTCTAGCTATTCCTTATGTTCCATCATGTCCACGAAATTAACGATCTTCTCTTCTACTTTAGATGCCGATTAGGACACTACAGTATCTACCTTTAGAATTTTCAGTACAGCTTTTTAAGAGGAATATCTCTAGTTCACGCGACTCATCTCAGTCTTACTTGACTTGCCTGTCAATTCCCAAGAGCTGTATGCACCAAATTGTTTCAAACTAATTATTTTCACTTCAAGTCGAAATGTTCTATTAAGATTCATTTGAATCTCAGAGAACGGAATTTCGCTATACTATTATAAAGGTGTACGGCAGGAAGGGGGGTAAAATGAGCGCACCGTCGGCCGCTATCGACGTAAAATAAGGACTCTTGATCTTTTTTATCTTTGTAATTAAATGAATGTACCTGTACTTTTCAGTTTCACCTGTAGCAGCTGACGGACTACTGGAAAATGCTCTTTCTATTCATGTGGTGACCCTGCCAAGAATTGGCGAACCTAAGTAAATAAATGAATAAATAGGAGGAGGGTGTTAGCTAATCAGAAACGGCGAAGTATTTTGAATGAGTAACAAGAACAAGTACTGACTCGGCGCAGGAGCCCATAACCCTGGGCTCCTGCTCGGCTGGCGGACAACACCCTGGGGACGAGTTGGCAGTTTTATATACCATAGTGCAACGCGACCTTCGCTATACAAAGATGGCGGCTACTGCTGCTGTGAGTTTTGCAGTCTTTTGAGGCAATTCAGCTGATAAATGGTGTTAACATGAAACGATTACAAATTGATCAACGTGACTGGTTCAAGCGTGTACAGCTATTCTTCTGTTTTACTTGCACAAGCAATCTGGTCCGGTGAGTAAGGTTTACAGATGTTTTACGTTTCGTGCATGATATAACCATACAAACTTTAATCAATAATATTCTATTCAAGGGTATGGATAAGTTAACTTAATTCTATACTTTTACTGATCGATGCATGAGTACTAAATGAAAACCTGCAAATCTTTCTAAGATAGATACTGTTTGGTCCGTCAACCCAGCGCTATAATACGTGTATGTCTGTAGATGTTCCCCCCATAGAGTCATGATCAAGCAACACACTGAAGAGTGGTTGCAAGGACCAACTCTAGGTATCTGGATTAGGGAGGTGCATGTCCATCTCACAGTATCTGTTGAGGCAGAGGCAGAGTTGACTGTTTAATTAAGCCATATTATAAGGATTCAGGTTCAAATGAAGAACCATTTATTTCATAATATTATACATGGTCAGTGTAAAACGCAGACTGCGGACTGCAGACTGCAGACTGCGGACCAGGGGTAAAATGCAGACTGTGTGTAAAATGCAGACTGCAGACTCAGAGTAAAATGCAGGTTGGGGTAAAATGCTGACCAAGCATAAACTGTAGTCGCAGAAGGGTTTAAGGGCACAACAATCCCGCAAATACATGTAAATGAACACTTACTTGACATCTGCTTTCACAAATCCATTCCTTTCTTCTCAGGAACATCTTCATGACCCGAAAACATACTAGTAATCCCAATCATGAACCTTTTTCCGTCCGAGAGACCTCACGCTTCTACTTAACGTGAACTTTTCAATACGCGTGACCATGAATTGATATGACACCACGATGTTTAGGCTTAAATAAAAGCTGCTGACCCAAAATACTGTACAGAAAGAATTCAAAAGAAAAGAGAGTAAATCATTCCAACAACAAAAGAAGATGTTCTGCAGGAAATTTGGATGACCTTCTATGAAAGGATTGAAAATCAAGGTACGCAGACTTTAGCTGTTTGGATGTTCATTGGACTTTTGGCGAGAATGTGTAATGTACTTCGACGAGGAAGCGAAGTGTGTAACTGATACCAGCTAGCTATTTGGAGAAGAAGGAGCACAATTGTTTGCGAAGTCTACAATCTTCATTCTGCATTTTACCCCAGCCTGCATTTTACTCTCAGTCTGCAGTCTGCATTTTACTATCAGTCTGCATTCTACCCCTGGTCCACAGTCAGCAGTGTGCAGTCCGCAGTCTGCGTTTTACACTGACCGATATTATACACCTATCGTAAGGATTCAGGCTATATTCTAATCACACTGAAACAATTATAAAATATTTTGTAGCGAATCTGAATAATCACAAAACACAGAACAGGAGCGGGCATCAATCTCATTTATTGATGAAGCGAGCGTAGAGCGCTACAAAAAACAGCATTACAGTTTTACAAACTCAGGGAAAAAAAAACAGTAAAAAAAAAAAAATCTAGGGTTGAAAGAGGTGCCTCAAATGGCTCTTGCATAGCTTAACAAATCTTAAATAGTGTACTAGCCCCTTGAGACACCTTACAAGCACGCCTTGAATACTTCTGCAGTATTTATGCTACCTAATATACACACTCTTGTGAAACCAACAAAACGTTAATGTTGGTAAAATGGATGGCCAGTTGTTGGTTTGTAAGTTTGCCCAGTACATTTCCTCATGAATCCTATATTTTTTTCATTTTTCTCCCTTTCGGTAGACCCCCTATTCTCATAGTATAACAACCTGCTCAAACTAAATCCACCACAGACATTTGCCAAGCAATGGGTAACAGGCAAAGTTCCAAAAGAAGGGAGAGTCAGATTGTACGTCCAAATTTGGCATCAGCTGTCAATCCATCACTTCCACCTGAAGCTGTCAATACACTTGCAAACTGTTTGAACCGCCTGCCACTTGTTCTTGATAAGAGGGTACGGGATGAGGTGATACGTCGGGTGGAACTGGTCGAGACTCCTGATACTCCAGAAATTCTTTTAAGGAAGAGTCAAGAGCCGTCTGGAATTTATGTGCTTGTGTCTGGAAATGTAAATGTTGTGAGTGAAAATGAAAAATATGTTCTGAGAGAGATCCAAGCTGGTGATTGTTTTGGTGAAGTTTCAGTCCTTTTTAATATCAAGTGCACTGCTGACGTGAAGACCGTGAACAGGTAAAAAGTATTCAGGTGTTTCATTTAAATCTGGACAGTGGTGCCATTTGTGAAAGTTCTTTTTCGTTTTTCAAATAATGATAATTATTGCTTTGTAAAGCTACTTACTTCATGTTTTAGTGAAATAATTATAAAATAATCAAACTGGTGATTTGCTGTGTTGCTATGATGGAAAAGAAAGCAAAATGCAATGGATATGGTTGATGAGAAATTAGTACTATTTTTATGTGAAAGGAAATATTATGATTCAAGTCTTGCTTTTAAAAAATGAAGTGTTATTTTTATAATACTGTAGTTTAGTTAAGTCATTTTAAACTTTTACAAAAATCTGTCAATTCTTTAATGATTCTTTGGTCTTTATAAAGACATAAAATGAAGATAAAGAAGTTATAAATGCAAGTGACTGAGTAGCCTCTTGATGTACATAATGTCGTGGAAAATTATTGTGAGGTATATATTATGTGTTATTGACCAAGCATGAGGTCAAAATGGCTGGATATTAGTTCTTTTTTGTGTTTTTATTGACCAAGATGAAGTAGAGGGAAATATTCAGTCCATCTTGACCAAATAAGCTTGGACAATAAAAGATTAATTATATGGCCTAAAAGTGAACATTTACTTGCGGAACCAACATCGGAAATCCCCAGCAGGCAAGATTGACCCATCTTGCTCGCTCAGGTAGCCAATCAGAATGTAGGATTCACTTCATCTTGCCTGCTTGCGGATTCAGCCTTATAATAAAGCATTTTACACCAGGGTCTTATAGTTATTTAAAATAATTCAGGTTTCCAGTAGTCTACTTTGGATCACTTTGCTCGTCTATCTGTTCAAGTGACATGTGTCCATTATCTTTTTGTCTTTTACAAGGTGTGTAATTTTGTTGCTAAAAACTTCTGATGCTCGTCAACTGTTTACATTTCCAAGTGAAGTGATGCTGTTGCAGTGGTTTCAACAGAGGTTAGTGTGACCTATCTTATGTGCTTATAATGGATGCTAAAATAAATAAGTTAATTTGATAATTTTGGAAAACCTGTTTCTCCTGTTGTTCCGTTATATAGCAATGTGACACATGTATAAAGTTTAGGTCCTGTTCGCACTATACAAAATTTTTTTTTGTTTTGCAAAAAATCTGTCAACAGGAAGACATTGCTAGTTCAAATAATTTTTTTGACGTACCAAAATGTTCTCAAGCGTAACCAAACTTCAAAGATTCCATCCAGAAAGTTCAGAGACCTACAATTTTTTGTCAGTTGACAAAATCCTCTGTTCTTTGACAGCTGTGTATAAAATGCTCTAGGCAATTTGCTACAAATGCAAGATGACGTTGTACATAGCTCTACCAACCAGCATGGAGTATAAATGTTAATTATTGCGGTCAAGTGCCTGTACATGTGTATTTAAGTAATATAAAAATTTATTGGTTCCGTTTAATTATGTTATTACCTGAGCTAAAAGCTGGGGCTGATTATTCACTGAAAATGATATTTATTATCTGTGTGTGTTTGTGCTATTAATAGGAGATACTTTGACACCAGTAAACTGTTCAACAGTCATCAGCTGTCTCGTGAGATTGCTCTTGATGTGCTACAAAGGGTAGGATCTTGATATTTAGTAATAATTAAAATTATACCAAAAGTAATTTAGGAACTGTATTGATCTCTGTTGTCTTGAACATTTTTTTTTTTTTAAAAAAGCAAATATCAATTTTAAGCAAATTTTTAATTTTATTACATGTAGGTTCCTTAAAGTAATTTATTTTATTTGTATTATAGTCTCCAGTGTTACATGGTTGGAAGAAAGAAGCTTTAGATTCCGTAATAAAGACAGTTAAACCTGGTAAATTAAACTTAAGTTAAAAAGATATTTTAATATCATTTTATTATTTAAAAATAATAGTAATTTGAACTATTCAAATCAGCAACACCTGACTGAAAAAAAAGGTTATTGTTGTGTAGACTGCTGAAACCATTACAGTATTTTGTTCTATGCTGCTGTAAACATCACAACTCATGGAAAAACTTCTTAATGTTATTTGATTTTAAAGTACAGTTTTTACATGTAACATGTACTTGACCACGATTTATATAGGGTTTGCATAATTATTTGCCTGTCAACGAGAAAAATGTTTAACAGTAAAAGAACAGGCACTTTTTTTAAAGAAAAGTTAGGAACGAATAAATATGTAAATTGTTACATTGCAGAAATTATTATGCTGTATCCTGCAAATAGCATTATTACAAAAGAAGGATGGAAGGGGCAGGAAATATTTATTCTTCTTCATGGACAGTAAGTACATTGTACAAATTGATATTATATTCCTTCCTGTGTCACATGTAATTGGTTTAATTCACATTTTTTGTGTTTATAGTTTGAACTACTTTAAGACTGAGTGACTGCTGTAACTGAATTTTAATATGAAAAAAATAGAAACCCTCTGTTTAATAATACAGTGGAACATCCTTGTGACCACCCCTTATTAGATTCAAATATCAAAATTTTCGTAGTCAAAGCTCTGTGATAAAATTAAACCTCTCATAAAAGACTACCCTGTTCATTGTTTTTAACTTCTTGTAATTAACCACTTGACGCAAGGTCTATCAAAATTACCTCTGACCTGCTCCTTGCTCATTGAATGTACTATGCCACTGAAAGTATACAAAGAATTTTCATTGACAAATTGAAACCACACATATCATAGCTTAGAAATTGAGTGCAATAAATTCTCTTCCAAAAAGAAAATGTGTTGGGACCTTTCTTTCTCCCATAAGCAACCACTAAATTGCATTTTGGGTGGTCGCCTATGGGAGGTTCCACACTTAATAATGGGCAGTCTCTTGGTGTTGGGGATAGGTGCAATCACCAAATGACATAATACAAAAGCATAAAAAGACACCAAACAATACCCACACCACAACACAATAGCTAACCAACAATAGTTTCCGCAACACCAAGAAAAACCTGTATAATGCACCGTGCCCAAATAGACTAGGCACTGATAAGGTGGTGTGGCAATCTTTACAGTAAATATACGGCACTAATTTTTATTTGCCTTTGCCTTAGAAACTTTATGATGATCCAAGAGAAAAGAAAAACTAGCATTCAATTTGTTTAGGAGTTTTCAAACCAAAGAAAAATTTGAACCACAATAACATTTGGTATTTGAAACTGAGACAATGGTTAATATGAACTCACTGGTTACTCTATTGTACTCAACAGGGTGACGTTTTCCACAGGGGACCAAGAGCTTGCTACATTTGCTGCTGGAGAAAAAGGTTTCTCCTTTGGTGAAGAAGGCATGTTGTTATTAACCGCCCTTTAAGGGGCTATACGTATGTGACACCACAGTTAAGGAGTGAAGTAGACGTGAAAACTGTCACACTCCTTTGTTATATATAATCAGGGGCATTCCCTACAATTTTCTAAAGTTTAATTTTTCACATTTCATTCCCCAGGTTAGGCTCTTTTCTGTAGAAAAAAGGAAACCTGAAATTTTCGGATTCAAAAATGTGATGGAGAGAGGAATCAGTGAAATTCTCACTTTCGTAATTTATGCTTGGAAAAAATAATACTCAACTTAATCCTGTGAAGTTTTGAAAAAGACTCAAGTTCCCCTAGGATGACCGAACAGATACGAATTTGATAGTGCCATTTAGAATGCTTTTCTAGAGATCTGAAAGTACTCTGGGTAGCCTGAGAAGTGTTTTCAATGAATTAGGAGGAAACTGTCATTGGGTGGCCCTGACATTTGTGGACTTGAAGGTGCACAATGTTCAGTAGCGTTCGTATCATTAATTTGGATCTTTCTGACCAATAAAAGTGTCGCATTAATTTATTCTGTGACAAGCAAAATAAAAACTTAAGGATCGTATGTGCAGAGTCAGGGAGCTCCTAACATACAGTATACAGCTGTAATCTGCAGTGCTGTTGTTTTTATCTTTGATGTTTGCCATTTTTCATAAGCAGTCTCCTCTACTAACTATGGTCATGAAGATATTGCTGCTGTTGCTGCCAGTTCACATCTCTTGTAAATTCATTTCTCAGATCTTAGTATTCTAACAATTCAACTTTATTCACATGTTGAAATTGGGCTCACTTCCTTTTTCTGTTCAACATGGGTTACAAGCATTAAATAGAAAGATAGATTGATTCACTGAAAAGAAAACCAAACTGACATAAGAAATTTCTCAAAAGATGAAAAATTAATGCCTCGAAAAGCATCTACTTACACTAGGGTGAATTGTCTCTCTGTTTTCAGTTTTTATATTCACATATCTTCACTTTTTCTCAACTGCTAGGAAAAACTGAATTTTAAAGCTTACACTCGCTTTTAAACCAGACCAGGTACCCTTAAGGGAATTTAGGGGACACATTGCTATGGGCAACCAATTTAATTAAATAACAACTGCTTTACAATGTACAGTGCTGTAGGTCAGTTCTGTGCTTTAGTGATTCTATTAAGTACCTTTACCCATACACAAAATGCATCAGTAGAGTTATGAAGAAGATATTAAACAAATTCCATCAGAGAGCACTCTGTACTAACCATGACATTTTTTTGGTGATTTTACTGAGAAGGAATATCATCAAAAAATGAATAAGCTGGCCCAAATTTTCAAGTTTCAATCCATGTGGAATCCTCACCATCCCTTGCAACAGAAGTCAGTAAAGTTTCAAAAACAAAACCCAGCTTCTTCTTCTCAGTAACTGCAGCCACTTGTTTTTTTCTAGGGGGTTATGTCATGTTATACATGTAGATCAGTGTTAGCACTTTTTCTCTTCAATTGAATTCCAAAAATAATGGTCCAGTTTTAATAATTTTATACAATGTACATGTATTACTAATACAATTTTTTACTACCTCTCAAAAGCGACCATCTCTTAGATAACAACATTTGCTACCATTTATTAAGGTTGATTTCAGACTGTTGTGGTTCGGGATGTTGAATGTTTGTCAGAAGTGATGTAAGTTTTCTTTTGCGTGAAAGTTTTGCTTTATGGAAGGAATTTAATTGTTACCATAAATATTTTGTCCAGGCTTCATTGACATTGTGAGTATACAACACCATTCAAATGTTGTGTGACATTGTACTAATAAATGCTGCAATTTATCACTCAGGTTTTTTCACTGGGACTGAGAGAAGATCCACTGTGAGGTAATAATTCAGGTAAAACATAACCTAGACCCATGGTTCCCCTCTGAAGAATAGGCCCTCATAATCTGAAAATTACTACAGTTAAACCTCTTTAATATGGACACCAAAGGGACAGAACCAAGTGTCCTCTTTACAGAGGTGTCCGTATTATAGAGGTTGAGAATGTTTGATTTTTGGCATTTCTGTGACCAAACGAACTGTCCGTGATAGAGAGCTGTCCTTAAGGAGAAGTTTGACTGTATTGTCACAATCTGGAAAACAGCTCTAGAAAAGAAATAATAACAACATATAATTATTTTGTACCCTTAAAAAATTGTATTAGCAAGGCTGTGCTCTAAGGAAAATTGAAGGGAGCCTAGTGCTCTGAAACTTTAAAATCTAGGGTGCCCAGCATAAGAGTAGCAATCCAGGCTTGAATTGCACCATCGTATCCTTACATTACTTATTTGTTGCATAGTGTTGTATTTCAGTTGTATCTCGGTACGTGTGCGCGTACAATTTTATTTTGAGCGCACGCATTATTTGTTTATTTATTTAATTGACGTGTACATTTAGTTAGTTTATTAACATCTTAATTTTACTTTGCGTCATTTTCCTCACTTATACATTGTCCATGACTGTGCTCACATGGTGGGTGGCTCCTCCTAAAATGTTCTGCAATTGGTATAGGATTTAATGGAGCCGAAACCAATTGTGGAATTGCACGCATTTTAGGCATCTTACTGATGAACAGTTGCGACACGTAGAGATAATATATTTTTTAGCAACTAAGATAATTTGCAGTCTGTCTACTTTGTATTTGATTTGTATGAAAAAAGTAAGATTTGCTAGTCACCTGAAAGCAAAAGTTAGGCACCATGGGCCACAGGGCTAGAGCATAGCCCTGATTAGTAATGCATGTATTTAATAATTATAATAATTATTGTGGGATACAAACTACATGTACAGTGATTTTGTTACAAATAGTTATGGTGAGTCCTGGGACTCATCTTCTGAAAAATCATGAGTCCCTGCTGTCCATAACCAATGAGTCCCAGTTCAAAAAAACAAGGAATCCTAAATTGAAAATGCTTGGGCCTTTATGTAACCAGAGAATTAATCTGGAGACAGATGCCAAAACTCTTTGGGGACACATTGTTTACATTACAGTTTACTGAAATTAAAATGTATAGTCCTTCTATATATTTAAAGCACAAAGAAGACAAACAAATATGCATCTTTAAACAACAGCCACAGAATCATACGGACAGGATATAATTATTATAAATGTATGAATGAACTTGCTGAAAATATAATCACAAAAATATATTTCCAGCAAGAAAAACCAGTCCTCATTGTTCTCAAAAATTAGTTTCCACAAACCAGTAGTTGTTGTGGTGATTTTATACTGGGGGAAATTTTTTTGTCAGTGGTGGTGGTGGGGGGTCTTTCATTTTGTACAACAAACTTTATTGATTTGCAACCCTCAGCAAACTCTTTTACTGCACTGAACTATACACAGTTGTATACAGTCAGTTAAAGTTTTTTAAAGTGACCTCCTTGAGAATGTGCAAGTGGTTGCAACTAAAGCTGGTCATCTATCAGATTAGATTCTTGTCAAAGTGAAAAGAATTATTGTTTGTTCTTTAGGTCATCTGGGCCTTGCCAGGTCATTATGCTCCGACAAGAAAACTTCCATGATGTTTTCAGTCAGGTTTGTTGAAATGATAATTTATTTATTATTATAAGACAATTAATTTTTATTATTCCAATTGGCAACGAAAATGTGGACACAGTAATCCAAACTGTATGTGCGAATGTATCATATTGACTTTACAACATGCCACTTGATCCCATATTGTACATAAATAGTGTTAATGTTTATGGGTGGTTAGTTTATAAGGCTGTTAAGGTGTGAATGTGTTAAGCTACTACGCTGTAAATTATCTCTGTATTGTGAGGTCCACTACTGTGATTTACCAGTACTGTTTTGACGAGGGTTGTTATTCCTCACTTGTTGCTGTTGCAACATCTAATACAGCCGTTTTGAGTGGGCCAACATGTTTGTTCAAGTTTAAAGATATCTTGAAGACTTGTGTTTCATAGCATTTTGCAAATTTCAAATGAATTTAATGAACATTGGTGAGAAAGCTATGTAACATCCCATGATATTTAAAGCACTTTAATATTCATTAACTTTGTCTGCTATTTTAATTTTGTTCCCTGCTTGCAGTTCACAGCAGAAGCATCTCTACTGCAAGAACTGAATGTAAAGTGGAAACAACAAGTAAACCAGAGAGATGCTGAGTTGTACACAAAGTATGGAGGTGCTTTGGATCTCGAGGTTTGAAACTTTCTTTTTTTCTTTCCATTTACACTGATGCTCATATACATTGTACTGTAGATGCCTGTGTAGAAATAATTACTGCATTGTTCTTTGCATGTTGTCCATACCTAAAACACATTGACAATTGTCTGCTAAGGAGGATTTTTCTTCTTCTTTTTTTTATCATTTGTGATCATTTTTTTCCTTTTCTCGTTACCTTTTTGTTTTGAATATCTATAGAGCTTGAGGTGAATTTTAATATTCGTACAGTGTCACAACTTTACTTTTTTGAAATCTTTTTGGGGGATTACATTTAGCTTGATGTATAATTATTGTCTTGCTATGATACCTTCTTTTCAAAAAAAAGTTATTGATTTAATTAACAATTAACAGTGTTTGTTTCTGTTTTGGTTTTCTTAGATTTTGAGGATGACTTTAAAGCAGGTAAATAAAATGGTTTAAGAGTGGTGATTGCAGTCCCAGACAAAAAAAAACTTACTTGTACCCTGCCTTTTTGGATTAAAAGAAACACTATGTTTTGGCACTGTTTTCATGAACATCAAGTTAATTCTTGCACAATTGCGAAATATTAGATCTGAGGAATTAATATATATTTTTAATTTTTAATATTCGTCTCATCCAGGATTGAATGTTTGTGACCATGAGGTAGTAAAAAAGGCGTATTGCGACTCCCTTCCCCCCACCCCCGGACGGAATGCTAGTCCATCGTAGGGTTATCCCCCAGCAGTATGTCGCCGGTACCCATTTATACTCCTATGTGAAGAGGGACAAAGTGGAGTAAAGTTCCTTGTCTAAGGAAACAGCGCGATGGGCGAGGCTTGATATAAACATTACAAATAATCGTGTCAAGTACGAAATACTAACTCAATAATACCTACATTCACTCTTGGGAAGTGGTTGCCCAATATAGTAAATTAGAATTAAAAAAAATATATATTGAAAAGAGACGAAAACGAGCAGGTAAATCAGTTTAAATTTAAATGGTTGGGGTTTGTTTACCAGACAGATGAGTTCCAGCACTGTCCTCCTGGTTTTTTATATCTTATTGCATTGTCCATGGTCATCAAGGAAGTTCAAGCAGATGAAGCTGTGCTGTCTAAGAGACAATACCAAGATGGTAAGATTATACTGTTCTGCAAAATTTATCAATCACTAACAACCACGGTTGTACAGATAGTCCTACTCAGTGAATCGACTCTTATATCGCCTGATGAAGACCTGCAGTATGCGGTCGAAACGTCGCGATCAATATCTAGGTGAATCATGAGACAAACCATAAACGAACCGCTTCTATCATTGAAGTTGTTTCTATCTTTTGAGTTGTGAAAATTCAGATAATTAATAATAATAAAAGAAATAATTTCCGTTATTTACCCTCGGCAGTATTTATAGCACTAATGCCAGTGGGGCCGAGCAAATTCCTAAAACAAACAATTTAAATCAAACATAATGTGGTTAAGAATCCCAACTGGCCTGAGACAAGCCAGTTGGCTATTTACAAGCGTGGCCAAGGATTTGGTTAGTATACAACTAGCATGTCGAGTCTGTGGACGAAAATGATAAAGTGTGACCATTCACTTACCCAGGTTTTTCAGGCCATTTGGCGAAAATTGCCTGTTTGTGGTGTGTTTTTGTTGTTTTTTTTTTTTATAGCTTTTAAATATTTTTTAATCTTATTGTTGTTATTTTTTCTTTTGGTGAAAAATGTGTTTAAGGCCTCGTCCAAATTATTCCGTATATTTTCGAAACCACATTTTTCTACGGGAAAATTATCGACTTTTCGCCGACACGAAAACAGGGAGTCCGCGCGAAATATTTCATCCGCGGACTATTCCTGTAAAAAATATGAAGTTTCAAAAATACTCTGATTCGTGTGGATGAGATGCGGCTTAATCAAAGGATGGTAGCATCTATACCTAACCCGAATCTGAAATCCCAGTGGTACTAGGGAGCTTAAGTAACAACTACGACGACGGCCACGAAAACGCCACTAAAAAGTGAATTCGCGCTGCTTCCGACGTATTCGCTGTTATTCCATCTCGTTCAATTTGTCAAATGTTGGCAAATGTTTCTGGAGTTGATTTCTAAAAGACTTTATCAAAGTTCATGAAAAGAAAAAGAAAGTTGCTATCTTGCGTTCACCGAGCTGAAATTAGGCATTTTTTACGTTGTAGTCGTGCAGCGACGGTTAAGAAATGTACAAAAAAGCATGATGCACGTGCGAAGTTGTTGTTTTGCTTATTAAACCTACAACTGTACTGTGCTGCGTTTTTTTTCCATTCTTGTTGACGTCGCCGTTGTCGTTGCTTAAGCTCTTTACTGTGACGGTGGGCTGCATACTCCACCATATAGTGCTGGGCTTAAACGTGTCCTCTGTTAGGAGCTTTACACAGATTGAAGGAGTATTTTTTTATATCCTTTTTTTTAAAGTTACCCTGTTTAAGGTTGTTGAACTTCCTGAAAGAAAAGAAGAAAACAAAACCAAACAAAACCAACCAACCAACAAAAAACAATCGAATACGCAGACACGTACCCTACTGTCTATGAATCGTACATGGCTTTAGAATTTTAAGAAACATTTTTTCTCTTCCAAGATAGATATTCACGATGTTTCTTAAGTTGAATGATTGTTTGCATGTTTTTGTAGGTGGTACTCTCTTTGTAGTACTCCAAGGAAGTGCTGAAGTGATGGAAGATGATATGCCTGCATCACACACCGTGGGGCTTAAACAAGTCTTCTGTAAGCAGTTTTTGCGTTAAGTGCTGCTAACCGATTGAATGCACTCAAAAATTGCCCGCTTCCGATCAAATCAAGGCTTGTTTGGCGGGCGGGGAGAGGAAATGGTGGGGAGGGGAGGTGGTGGGGGTTGTATTAAGTGACATTTGGTCAAAAACTCGTCTCAGTTACAGCACTCGTCACAGTCAAAACACTCGTCACAATCACAACACTAGTCACAGTCACAACACTCGTCACAGCCAACAGACTCATCACTCTCACAACACTCGTTTTCAAATTCTGTTTTTTCACGTCCAGCACAGCTGTACATAGGTTATGCAATTTCTGGCTGAATTCGTGGGGTATTCGATAACAGCTTATAAAAGTATAGCGCTTTGCCAATAATCAACCACAAGAAAGTTGTGGGTTTAGGTAGTTTCAGACCACTGAAAAGACCTGGCCCGGGTTGTTCAAACGTTGGATAGTGCTATCCACCGGATAAATCACTATCCGGAAGTTAAGAAGTTAAGTATTAGGGAAACCAATTGCGCTATTTAGTGAATAGAGATTTATCCAGTAGATAGCGTTATGCACCGGATAAATCACTATCCAGAAGTTAAGTATTAGGGAACCATGTGCGCTATCCAGTGGATATCCACCTTTTGAACAACCAGCCAGCCTGACAATTAATTACCCGTTTGTTCCTTCCCACAATACTTGTAGATGTGATCATATCCAAGTTTGTAAAGTCTGGTACGTTTTCGTACAGATATCCACATCAGATTTCTCTCTCTGCAAGCCTAGTTTGTACCAAAAGGCCTTGCAGACATTAAGCAATTTCGTGTTGCCTTTAATGCTTAAGAATTGTTACGCCCGAAAGAAGGATTTTTGAAAACGTGTTTACCCAAATTCGCCGCTATATATGATTGTGTCAATGGACCTCAGCCTCGCTATCTGGTAATATATCTGGTCCACGATTATTGGCTCGCTCAAAGTTCTGCAATCAGTTTCGAGCATTGTGTATAGCCTGACAGACATGCACCAGGTATGCTTTACGGATCACTGTTGAATTACAGATAAGACTTACGATAATAGAAACAAAGAGAAACAAAAATGAAATGTTAGTATACGTATTTATTTAAAGGAATCTGCTCTCAATGAACATAAGAAGTGTTAAGACAACATGTAGGATAATATTCGTGTTGATATTGAGGTTAACGAACTCAAGCTGCAAATGAGTTTGACTAGCTCCTATCCTTTCTGCTCTTTTGTAGGGAAGGCTGGCAACATGCCTGTCCGGGGATGGGTAAAAGCAACGGAATTGTGTGTGGCAGCTGTTTTCCCAGAGGGGGTAGTGAGAGAAGCCGAGAGTACATTCCCGGATGTTGTGCTTCCCAGACCTTGAGCAAGCATTCTTTGGATGGAATAAAATAACGCTTAACGGTTACCGCGTCTGGGTGCTTCAGGAACTATTTACGTGAATGAACAGTGACATTTTGCCCTCAGCAGGGGATGAGTGTGCGACGTTCCAGACAAACTGTATAGTCTGTATAACCCTGCATAACGCGACGTGTGTAGAAACCTGTATAAATATACCGTTTTTTTCATTCATTCATTTATTTATTTGTTTATATATTTCTGTATTACATAGCTGAGCTGTATTCTGTATTCTCAACTTGTTAGGGCGCGTCAGGTCGCGAATAGACCAATTTCAATATTTTGAAAATCATACTTAGCTACGAGGTTCAGGGGAATAAAACAAAATGAATGTATTATTCATTGGTGAGCCCCAAAATGATTTCTTTTCTTTTATTCTCCCAAGCCTCGCAGCCAAGTATAAATTTTAAAAACTGAATCATTGGATAATGCAATTCTAGAGCTCTGATTGGCTCAGCCATCATGGAATGAGTCATTATACCATGCTCTCCAAATATGGTAACTTTACGCGTCTGATCAAAATTAAAAACAAGCTAAAAATCTGATGTTTTTTACAAAGTCGTGAAAAATTCTCGATATTTGTGGGCGTTTTTAATGAAACAATTATTCCACTCGTGTTCGATGGATATGAGATGATTGTAGCCAACTCGGCGCTAGTTGGCTACCTACCATCTCTTATCCAACGTGCACTCGTGGAATAATTGTTAAATATATCGAAATTGGTTAAGTCGCCACTTAAGGTGGCTGAGCACAGTTTTAGGGCCTGTTTACATGGAGTGGGGGACCCCGGTCTAGTGGGGTTGGTTTCTTTTGTTTTCACGCTCTGGGGGACACAAAACAAAAGAAACTTACCCCACTAGACCGGGGTCCCCCACTCCATGTAAACAGGGTCTTAGTTGTGGAAGCTGAAGAAAGTGACGGTTGTGTGATGGGGGCATTGGGAACTGTATCCGATATGTTTGAGAAATACGCGGGAAAGCTTAACATTACCATCAGACTTGAAGTGATCAAGAACGCGGCTCTGTTGGGAACAGCTGGACTATTACCAACGGAACGTTTTGGCTCTTTAGGGACTCAAATAAAAGGAATTCTTAGGGAGCTCTAGGAACTTGTTGTTGCTTACTCCCAAGAGTAATTTACCAGGCGATGTAAACATTTTAAGCCTGAGATTCCACAATGTTATAATAATAATAACAGTGAACATAACAGTGATGATGATGATGATAAAAAATGGACGTACATGTACATAATCAGTAATTTTAATATTTTGTGAAGAAATCTAGAAATTAAATAAATGAGATGTCAAGAAAACATTCTTTCAGAGAATTTCACTTCGGAAAAAAAATTATGAAAAGGCGTGCACTTAGCCGGGAAATTAATTCGCGCGAACTTAAAATGCTTCTCCCCCCCCCCCCCCCCCCCCCCAACCCTTTAACCTAAGTTTCTGTCGCTGAGGTTAAGAGACGATAACTGAGGCAAAGATACGCGAAGTCAAGAAATTGAATAGCAATCCCCTTAGTTGTTACAGAAAGACAAATTTGTAGAGCTATACGTTAAACGTTAAGTTAATAAATTCATGATCCCGCATTGTGGTTGTAATCCTCCGGTATTATCTCAAAAGTGATTAATCATATGCATGCTTTTCATTATATTTCTTATTAAAAAATCTTCATTATTTCTTTTATTTTTAAATTCATGTGGTTGTCAGCAGCGTTTGTTGTAAATAATTTATTATGTTTAAATAGTATCTCCATAATTGGTTGATACCGTTCCATTATTATTGCTTAAAGAATGAAACAAAAGTTGACTTTAATTTTTCTGTTTAAAAAGTGAATTTTAGACAAACGCCAACTTGCGAATTTTCTAAATAGGCTAGTGTTTTACTCAGTATTTCATAAGACGCCTTTTTATTTAAAACATTATTTCTGCTATGTGCTATGAAGCTGTGCTGATACTTAGGTTAAATAATATGCGGAGAAACCCATCTGACTGAATATGTGACCAGCTTCATAAATCCATGGGGAATGACGAAGCATTTGTAAAAAGGTTTGAACAATAGCTTTTTTGTGGTTTTAAACACTGACACGCGGTAATCAGCCAATAAGCGTGGGGTAAATAATACCTCGCTTTGCGCATTTCTTCGCTGTCTCGTGTTTTGCCGGATACCGTGGAAACTGGGAGAAAAACTCCGTGTTTGCGTGTAACTCGGCACAACGAGCTCACAAGACAATAAATCGTCCGTTTAAGTCATTTCGTTCAAGTTCATCACAAAGTTTTAACTCTATAAATGTTAAGGAAGGGAAAAGCCTGATCTGGAAATTCAGCGAGTTCTTCGATCGATTTGCAGCTGCTCCAAGGAAGGTATTTGTAGGGCTCAAATATTTACGTTTTAATTCTAAAAATCAAGTGTCTTAATTTTTTCTCCTGCCAGAAAATAATAGAATATTGCAATTTAATCAAAAGTACAGATTCCGTGAACAATTTGAGGAAATATTGCTCAATTTTAAACTAGCTAGAACTGATTATAAGCCATATAAAAATAGTATTGTGGTAACGATGGTTGATTCTGAATATCAAACCATTGCAAGCACAAACCATCAAGGATATCTTAAATGCTGTGAAACGCGCGATACTGCAAAATGTACTGCAAATAAAAATGCGAATGTTGAGAAAGGTTATTATAAAGTTCAGAAGACTCCGTTGCATGATCCGGCCTTAAATTATGTCAAGTATATACTCCGTAAATCTGAATTGCAAAAAAATTTACAGAATGCGTAACTAACATGGTTGAAATATCATTGTCATGCCAGAAAACAAGATCATGCATACCGTATCATAAAAACTGCCTAACTGTTGTAAGACAATATTTTTGTGGTATTTTACATCATGTGTGGAATAGCGATTTATGCAGAGATGTCGCTATAACCCGAACTCGCCGAAAATACACTTTCTTGGTCTCTATAGAATGAGCCGTATTTCTGAGTTTGCATAAACATCAATAGCACAAAAACTTGGCAAGATTTCTGGGAGATTGGAATTATCAAGATTTACAATCGACTCTCTCTTAACGGACACCTCTATAAGACGGACACCCCTGAAAACGGACACCTAGAGTTGGTCCCTACCTTTGTTTATTCCCTTTATTTGACTCTTTATAAGACGGACATCTCTCTAAGACGGACACTTAGTGCCGGTTCCAAAGGTGTCCGTCTTGGAGAGAGTTGACTGTTCACTGCATAGTATTATTTTATATTTGGCATTGACCTTTAGATTGCTCAAAGTCTTATTCGACACTGCTTAACTTTCAAATGGAAACTCCCTGTTTTGTAAAACGGATCGAAGTTAAGTGTAGTACAGGCCATGCAGTCGTCCTTCGTAAAACTGATCAAGTCAACATCCGTACATTAATCTTATCTATAATAATACAAATTGGTTTCTTTCTTTCTTAGATGACTTGTTTATGTTCTCTTAAGTGTCGAAAAAAATTACGAAAATGGAGCTGTTTGTTTGCAAAATTCATTATCCTCTGTGTAGATTCCAAATTAACTTTCAACAGCGGGAGATCGTCAAAGTTAAACGCACACCGTGATATCCTATTTTCCCCCGGAAAATCTATGGAATTCATTGCAGTAATACAAAAATCTATGGCACAATCAATTTTCTGAAGGATTCTTAATTGGATGTAACTTGATGTAGTCTACAACGCACTTCATGGACAAATCCTCCGTTTCTATTCATTCTGCGTGTTAACGTAACAAACCTAATAACTTTTCGTAACCAAAAACATGTTTAACAACTCCTTTACTTTAATTGTTTTCGTCCTTATTTTCTTTTGCGAACCATGAGTTTTGAAGGCTACGTTATTGTTTACTTTCGTGGTTAGGATAATTTTCCAGCTGGATCAGAATGTTTATATTTCCGAAATAATTGCAGACAAATTAAGCCATCCTTAAACAAAAAAGAATCCTCATTTGACCATGTGGTAAAAAGTCATGTTATAAAACTCACACATTTTGTGAAAATTACTAATAGAAGTGTGAAAAAATCCCTTCTGCATCCCTTCTACATAGCTCGGATCGATTTTCACAGTTTTTGTGCGGACACTGACATTGATCCTGTTGAAGGATCTATCCACTCAGACTTTTGATTAATTTTGACACGAAGTTCTATTTAATTTCTTGGAATTTCGATGCTTAGGTTTCGTCATAAATGGCTTATCAGAATGGAAAATAAACAGTAGTATAGACATTTAGTGAACTAAATTCTTAAACTTTTTCTGAAATAAGATATTTGTGTATAGAGCTAAGTTGTTCTATACTATACACGATGCTAATCTATCAAAAAAGCCATCTAAAAAAACGTTTTTGTCTTCAAAAAAAAATGGTTAAGGTTTGAATTCATCCAAATTAGGTTACAGTAATCAAAAAATATAGTTCAGTTTAAAATGAAATAACTTTTCTTTATAATAATAACCCAAAAATAATGATGATGATGATTGTTGATGATGATGTTAAATACTTTACATCAGTTGTTATGACGAAATAATCTATAAATTAGACAATTTCACATAATTCATCCAAATTGGTCTGAATCCACAGCCACTAGTTTTAAATGATGATAATAATAACAATAATAATGATGATGATGATGATGATGATGATGATAAAATACAATACATCATACATGACGGTAATCTATCGCATTAGACAATGTCACATAATCCATGAGTCAAAAGGTTTGAAAATTTGTTTAGGGGCGCTAATGTTTTTCCAGTCTTAACCCTCGGACGTACATGCAAATTCATACCCCTCGGTTTTTAATTCTGCCAAAAACCTGGCCTTTTCGTTTTTCTTAGCTAGTCGGCTTTTGAGCTAAATCTACTACAACATGTAAAGAACAAACAAATTTTCTAACATGATAAGAACAAAAAATTTTCAACAAACTAAATCATTTAAGAACAAACTATTTTCAATCATTAGTTCATGCTTTTATCACCAGTAGAAAAATAAATACTATATGGCCTCCCGAATTCACATATCATGAAACTCCAACGGATACAGAATATCCTAGATTCTGCCATGTTTTTGGTCCAATAAGTTACCGTATAAAGTTTAAGATTCTACTTTTGACATTTAAGTGCTTATATGGTCAAGCTCCTAATTATCTAATTGATTTCATTAAAAAGCAATCCACTCTCTAAGGTCAAATGAGTCTATATTCCTCGAGTTACCATGCATTAAGACCCATGATCGTGCATTCCAGTCAGCTGCACCTTATCTCTGGAATGCATTACCTTCTGAAATTGCAACATGAAGACATTGGAATTTTAAGACTGCTGTTAAAATCATTTTTTCAATTTAGCTTTTAAATAGATTTAATTGTTTTTTTTTTTTTTTTTTTTTTTTTTTAATTATTATCATTATTTATTTATTTATTTTTATTTATAGTTTTTAATACTTTTTATTGTAGTTTTTAATAGTTGCTCATGCTTTAGTCACCTTTAACATAAATTTAATATAACAATATTGTAAAGCGCAACCGAATATATTCATATAGAGGTTTGCGCTATATAAATGTAAATTATTATTATTATTATTATTATTACTATCCGTTTTTGGTCAGATCAAGTGGAAACTAAAAAACTCCACCTGTATTGTCGGCGTTCTGTATGCAGTTAATTTTAATATGTTTTTCAAATTTATATACTTTTTGTATTTATTGGTTATTGGACTTTCACTGTGATACTTAATTTCAAAAATGTCAGTTAAGCCCCCGGTCACTCACTACCTGTATTTGGTTATTTGTCAGTTACATTTAAATAAACTGTTTTCGTCAGTTTTTTTTTCGAATCGCGCGCGCGGCTTTATTAGCATGGGTTAACTGACACTGTTTCTCAAGAAACACGAACAAGGTATCCATGTAATGAATACAGCCATCGAGGATGTGAATTATTTTCTAGTTTATTAACTTTACGTTTACGTTTGCTTATAATCTTGTAGGATAATACGCAGCCAGTGACCAGTCTTGTTTGTTCAACCGTCAAAATGGACGTGAAGTAATCATGAAACGGATATGTATAACAAATAATCGTTATTGTCAGCCCAAATTTCAGTTGAAGCCGCAAACAGTGCGAGGAACAGGGAATAATGCTGAGTCAAGGAGATTCACCAGCGTCTCTTACTGAAGAGAATGTCAAGAAACATCAAAGACAAACAGCTCAACATCAAACTTCTCTAAAAGACACCATAGCAAGACAAGCTAGTTTTCGATCGGCGGGGGACGGAGAAAGTACAGACTTTGTGAGCGATGAAGCAATTTTGAAGGACTCACTCCAGGAAGAGGAAAGTAATGAAAAGGAAGCAATTTGTGATGAGAAAGGAAAACAAGAGAGTAACTCCGCCAACATTGTTGTTTTGGAAGACATGAGTAAACGAGAGAAAACAAGATCACCCAAAAATTTAACTCAGAAAGATACAAACTTGAAAATAAATCAATCGAGCGGAAGTGCAAATGCTTCGGATAAATCGCTTGAAGTGGAGAATAAAAACTTTGAATCAGAGGATGAACGTAACAGCGTTCATGCTGATCGCTCTGCAAGCGAAAACATAGAGAATGACGGGGATTCTGGAGAAGATTCCGATTCATCAAGTTCTGTTGACAGTGACATCGACTCTGTTATCACCAAGGACAACAAAACTGATGAAGAGAATGAAGATTCGAGCAAGGATACCGCCAGAACCTCTCGTTCATCATCTTCACTGGTTGAGGATGATAATGAGGATGATGACGACGATGATGACGACGACGATGACGAAGATGATGAATCTGAGGAAGACGAGCAAATAGAGGATGAAAAAAGTGAGGACGCGCTGACTCATTACACCAGTAGTTTAAATGCTAGTATGAGCAGCATCCCGACAATTTATGATGACACTAGAGACATAACTCCTCTTGAAACGCCAAGCAGGGAGGATGAATCGCTTGAGCAAAATCAGGAAGAGAACGTAGAGCGTAAAGAAGAAAACAAAGTTGTAGGCGAAGAAATAAACATAAACGAAGAAGAGGAAGTAAAAGTAGAAGAGGAAATACCACTAGAAACACAACCACCAATGAGTGATCATGAAGAGGACAATTATACTCCACCCGGTAGTAGACAGGTTAGCGGGCGATCTGCCACCCCTCTCACTGTCGTAGCGAGTGAATTTGACGAAGTGGAGAGCACAATATTTGATCGGAGAGAGTTGAGCCCACCTTGCAGCAGCCAGCGAGATAAACTGACGTCCAGTGAGAACAGTGGAAATTCTGAAGTGACAATGAAAAACTGGGCAGGATTTGGACAGGAATATGTTACGAGTAAAGGAGATAGCACGCAAAGTGTGGCTCTGAATAACCATGTTAATGCTAAGGATAAAAAGCGATTGAAATCGAAAAAGGCGCGCGACGCTAAAAGGCATGATTTAAATGAGAAAAATTATTCAACAAATAGAGAACAGAAGAATCAACCTTCTTCAAAAGGAAAATCTAAGAGACCTAATGTTAATTCTAGAAAAGTAGGACTTGTAAGACAGACTTCGTTAAGCAGTAATGATTCTGACGTTGATAAGGAACAGAGAGTAAAACGCAGGAAAAAGAGACCTGTAAAACAGGTTTCATTTGCCAAGTCACAAACAGAAGATGTCGCTAAAACAAACATAAGTGACTCTGCTTTTAACGGAAGTCGTACAGAGAGTAGAGGAGAAGAAGGTCAACCAAGCCCCAGGCCACCGGAAAGCGAACAAAGTGAAAGAGCGAGCAGCCGCTGGAGCGCTGCGGAAACTGAACGCGCGTCAAGCACAGGAACCAGACCTGTTAGTACGGCCCAGTCTCCACGCAGTTACTTCTCCTCCTCAAGGCAGACGTCACTTGTTGAGGAAGTGACATTTGCTAATTATGCGCCAATAATTAAGGGCAAGAGGAAACAACTTCCTTCATTGAGAGGTATGTAGAAAATCCATAGGTAGGAGCCTGTTAGCAGGGGCAAAAGCAACTCTCATACTTGTCCTATGCAAAGGGCGTTTTATTTTTAGCATCATTTTAATTTGGAGCATTTTTCCCACGAAAAAAGGAGTACGTTGCGTATGTATGCGCATCCACAGTACTTACAATAATGGCAAAAAGAATAAATAGTAATTCCTTTGAAAACATTAGAAATACTGTTTTCTTGTAAGACTTACTTTATATAGTCAAAAACCATGATCTAAAATTAATTTGGTCTGCATGGAATACGTCGTTGCATGGGTCGTGCAATGGAGTTGCTCGCTCCAACCGGGTTAAGGGTTTCTAGAATTGAAACCTAGATTGGTTTTCGTAGAAGCCAGCATGGCTGAGTGATTCTCAGTTAGAGCGACGAATTTCATCCTGGTCGACGCGGGCTCAAATCTTCTTTCTGCCCACTAGTAAATTCTGAACTCCTGAGCTAGCTGGTTTCCCTACGGAAATTAGGAATTCTCACATGCTATGCCGATTAAAGGTTAAGTTATTTGTTTCTGTCCTTATTTATTGACCAGAATATTATGTTACCCGTTATTGACGTGTGTCACCCCTGTTAAGTTAGTCAAGTAAATTTTCAAAGGTCATTTTATGACTGCTTTCTCTAGTTTTGAATTAGTACAATGTTTTACTTGATAAAAAAACCTCGAGCCATTGGTACTTTCTCGATTAATTAGAGATGAAATGAAGCTTAGTACTACACATCGTCACCTTAGAAACGGTAATACAATGTTCTGATGTACAGCCGCTTCGCTTCCAAATGGAAAACACTCTTCTGTGAATCGATTTATTTCATTTAAATCTATTAGCAAACAGCAAGCGGCGGTCTGTACACATGCCATACCTATTCGGTCTTGGCAAGCTTTTCTGTGTGTTTACTTTCAACTATCAAGTTTTAATGTTTGATGGAAAGAAATTAACTTAATGGGACAGATTGAGTTGTTCTTTGGGCTCTTAGATCCGGAGCTACTATTCTTCTGCTATTTTTAAACAAAGTTCTGATTCAGGAAGCTCCCGTTGGTTAAGGGCAGTAGCCCATCCTGTTAAGGGGTATTTTGGAGAAACTAACTGAGAGGGGTTGTTTGCGCGTACATTTTGGTTATTCAGAGTAACTGTAAACGAATCTAAGAACTTTACATGAAACAAGAGAAATAAAAAAAGAAGAAGAAAAAAAAGAAAGAAAGAAAGAAAGAAATGACAGGTCGCTTGATTTTGAGCCATCTCATCGAGTCGCAAACTGACTCTAAGGAGAGATGTTTGAATCAACGAGCCGCTGGAGTACTCGGCGATCGGATTGCCCTTCGGAGCCGCCTGTGTCATTGACTGAAAAAGACAACTTTCCCTAGCATGCACAAACTGGCGAAACTTCCTTAGTGCGCGGCGAGGAATGGGATGAGAGGGCTGTTTTACCATGCTAATCTTTTTCAAGTCAGGCTGCGGTGTCAGGAGCAGTAATTGGCCCCTAACGGTGTCTAAACTAGACGTCCTAGACTTCCATCAGAGCTGTTGATTAAAGGAAAAAAGTGCTATTGTTGTTGTTTTTTTTCAAGCAGTGATAAAGTTAAGTACATAAAAGCGGACTTGTCGTTTTTGGTTCTTTATATTTTGGCTGATTGGATCTCTTCTCTAGAGATCCAACGTTTACAACAAGCAGGATCTGCGTCCACGGTTTTTGCAGTTAAGTTAATCCTTTATTGTAAAAGCGAGACAAGGTTGACTTACCTCGGCCTAAAAGTGTTTTGCTTTACTGAAAAATTGGACACTTTTTTTTTGTCCGAGATGAAAATCACTCTAAAATTTGAGCAATTGGTAAAGCCCAGCTGAAGAGTAATCCGGATTTCGCGCGGGCAAAGCCGCCGAGTGAAACTGGGGCGACATTTGATTTTCGCGTTTCCGTGACTACAAGGTGTTTTGGCAACGTGACGTCACGCACAACATAACATTCTACACTGCCGCCATGTTACAGCAGAAGTAATTATTACAACACAGTGATTTTGCTCCTGGATTGAAAGGTCCTACAATCAAAACTACCATCAATAATTGTTTGAAAGTCGATCTAGAGTCCTGTTATGACTCTAGAATTTGAAAATCCTCCGTTCTTATCTAATATCGGTTTAAATTCGTCCTATAACGATGAGACCGATTTTACTGCTTTGGATCGACTGACTTCGAAAGTAAAGAAATCTTCAGTTATTTCTGTAACCCGAAAGGAAGGCCTCTTTGCCGAAGAAAAGAACCAAGATAGTGGTGAAATGTCCGGCAAATATTCAGATGATTACGATAGCTACGAGGACGATTTCGACAGCTCGAGCCCAACGAAAGAAGCTAGCCGAAGGTATTCTAGATCATCGAGGCATTCTCGTAGATCGGAAAGAGATCGTACTCCTTCAAGCTCACCGCCAAAGTATCGATCACGATCAAAAAAGGCCTCTTCAAGGAGAGATTCTTTTGCTTCGTACAGAAGTGCTTATAGCACGACTAGAGGTAAACGAGCTTTAATGATTTAAACGGTGTTTTGTAGACGTAGAGATGCGTTGTTTCGAAAAACTATGTATCAGACATATACTGTCGTGCTATAAATCCTCTCGGCTAAGCCGATTGATGTGTTAGATGTTTCATAATTACTCAAACTGAAGGGGCTGTTCTCCCTCGACTCAGAAATGATATTTGTTGCACAAATAGACCGGTGTTTGTAGATCATGCATGGTAAATAGAGGAGTAGATCGAATTCCAGAAGCTAAAGATTAATCGTTGAGGGCTGAGCTGAGTGCAGCTCGCTTTCGGCTTACTGTGTTACAGGTGAGATCTCAGCCGATTTCTCGAATGCTAAAGTCGCCACGAAATAACCGAGAGAGTATCCCATGTTTATTTTTTGTGGGGGATAGTTTCTAAAATACATTTGGCCGCTCTAATTTATTTTCTAGTATTAATAATTAATCAGCACTGAATTAATTGATTTGTCCTTTTGAACAGTAATTTACTAACTCAGACAGAAATCTGTTTTTGTTTTGGTTTACTCCTTCGTAACACCAGAGACTCGTTAACCATTTTCCAAGTTAGGGTCCTGGATTATTTTTACTATTTGCAAAATGAGCCAAGACTAGACATGTATGATTTTCCTGAAACAATTTTCAATCGAACAGGATTTTTATCACTGGTATTTGCTAGCTTAACCGGAAAATCATATTTAACTTACACATCCTCTGGGCTCCAACAATTGATGAATGTTGCTTTATTTTGTGTGTGACTGTATATGTGCATGTGTGTGTACAAATGCACAAAATATACATGTATGTATTACAATACATGCTTATTGTAGGTAAACATAAAAGTTATTAGTAATTTTGTCGTCATTCAAATCATTAATGAAATGTTTGTTGTCTCTACTACGTATTCTAGGGCCTACAAAACCTAGGAACAAGAAAAGCCAATCAGCCACCTCAAAAATGACAACCAAAACAGCAGGAGGTGAGAGTTCCATGATGCGCCGTGTTTTGTCTGCAAACAAACACAAAGTGTCGAGGTTGGCAAATATCATGGAAGAACTACAGCAGGAGGTGGAGGAGTTAAAGTTAGAAAATAGGTCTTTAAAAAGGGTGAGCCATCGTCAAGAAAGAGAAATAAGAAAAATTGATGAGGAGGAAGCAGCCTTACCAGTGTTGCTTCAAAGGCACAGTGCTGAAATGCGAACATTAAAAGAAAGACTGAAGAAAAATCAGGAAGTCTTGCATAGGAAGGAAAAAGAGTCCCAAGATAGAGATCATGAGATTCAGAAACTGAGAGACAAAGTTAAAAGCTACCGTGAACTTTCACAGGAGAAAAAACTAGGGGAACGGGCTGCGCTAGCGAAAAAGTTAGAGAACGTTGAAAGTGAAGTGACTTTGAAAGATAAGAAGATAATGGTAAGTAATGTTGATGTCAAATTAATTAAAGACGTTGTCTCTTCCTCTCGTTTGTATGAGGACGTCATGCAAATTTTGTGGAACTTCTCCTTTAGTCATCTCAGTCCATATTATTATATATAAACAACTGCATGCTCATTGGTCTTGAGATACATGTATGGTTCATGAGGGTAAAGAGCATGGAAATGATTGGATGCAATTTGTTTTTCTCTGTCTCTCATGCATGATTTTTTTTTTTCTGCAAAAAAACTAAAAACAAATAGACAGCAATAATTATTTTCCATTGTTTAATACACTTTATTGACCATAGAAATGATGCCAAAATGTTCACTCATCTGTGGCTCATAGTTTCACTTGGCTTTTAAACACATTTATGACATCCTTTCTTTTGTCTATAAGTAGATTATTGTTGTCGTCTGTTTTTAAACAGACACATGCTTTAATGGACAGCTGGTAGTGTAATCCCAGTTTTCATTGTCATGGTGACTTTCCTGCACTCATTATTGTCTTAATCAATAGCTAACATTGGGTAGGCTTCGACAGGGAGGGGTGGAGGAAGAGGGTTGTAGACAGGCATTTTCAAGATATGTGATTGGTTGTTTTTATTTTTCGAAATGTGAATTCTATAACTATTCTTCGTGTTCCGTGACCAAAAGGCTAAGTGTGCCTAGAGAAAAACTCCAATAAATAATCGATGTTCAAGAATTCATTACTTATTTTCTTGTGATTTTCAGTTTTTAGACCTGGAATATGAATAAAGACTATGAAAACATCATCAACTGAGAATGATGATGATCTTTATAAAGTTGCTATTTGCAGTCTTCTTTTTCCTTTTCACCATTTTGCTGTTTTGCCAGGCTCTCTTTTGCCACTTTTATCTTTGTGTAAGAACAAGGTAAAATTGGTAATTTACATGCTGATTAACGTGACTAAAAAACTGAAATGAAATTTTTGATATTCGTGATTTGTGATTACGTGTAGTTTATTTTTTTGGTCTGTGAACAATGCCAGAAACTCCTCCTGTACCACCCTCAGAAAACATGACTAGGTTAAAAATCACATACTGCATGAGGTTAAATCCAGTTGACTATACTAGCATGGTTGCGTAGTTTAACTTGGGACTACCGAGAAATGAGTCCAACTACTGGTTGGAGTAGGGCTTGAACCGAGTGCTTCTGTAGTGCCTATCATGTGCTCTGACCACTTAGCCCTCCCGAGTGTGGTCACCAGTTCACTTGTGTGATGACATTTAACTCAGGTTTTCAGTACAACTTTACTCAGTTTGGACATGAAAAATTGCCCTTGATGAAAATGATCTTAACATGCATGTATGTTAACAGGAGTCTTTAGTCTACGGTGAAACATGTCTTCTTTCAGTTCAATTCACAAATCTTATCAGTTCTCTTCTACATCTCAACTGCTAGAAAAAAAAACCAATCCTAAGTAAAATCTCGCACCCTGGCTTTTATCTTACCCCTAAGGGAATAGAAAAGATTCAATACTATGGGCAGTCAATTTAATCTGTTATTAGCACTTAGGATAGACCTGTTTACACTGGAGGAGGTTTATCCTGGTTCTTAAATGATTCTGGAATTATTAAATTTGATAAAATTCTGATTCGAAGGTGTTTCCACCTCTAAGTTAATCAATTGAAAACTTTCATGTGGATACAAAGTATTTCCTATAGATTCTTTATTCAAAATCTTTATACGCATGACCGAAATGCGTTTTTTATTATTATTATTATTTTGGATTCACTCATTTGTTTGTGAGAGCCAAATAGAATCCAGCACCAAAGTGTTGCAGTTTCATCAGGAAGCAGGAAAAATCTCCTTCACTGTAAACCTACACCTAAGGGTTGTAGAAATGTTTGTGCTCCTTCCATATTCTTCAGTTGTTTTTAAAAACACACTCTTGTTGAATAAACACTATTACAGTCCTATGTTTCCTATACAAGTCTTATTATCTAACAAGAATTTCAAATATTAAATTACGACCACAGACTCGGATTTTGCAATAACAGTCTAATTAATTAAATGTGTAACTTTTTAGTTTTTCCTCAAAAAAAATAAATTGAATACTGTTCTAACTGTTGGGTCATCTCTGATAAAAATATCGTGAAAATGTTACCAGTTATACCAGTGTGCCAGATAAAGAGGAATACATGTCCTTTCCTTTGCTGTTGTTTAATTTTTATCTCCTCTATTAATTTTTCATATGCTAACTTGACTAAAACAATTATTAAAAAAACAACACAACAGAAATGAGCTCATTTATCATGACATGGTAATAGAACTGTTTCACCCAGCTGCTTTGTTCTCACATTAATCTCCAGGAACTAGAGAAAGCCATCTCCCTGAAAGACAAGGCTAGACAGCGAGAAATGAAAGAGCAGAAGGATCGCTACAAACATGCTAAGGAAGAGCTTCAAAGAGTGCAGGAGGATTTCAGATCACTACGTGAGAGATTACAGGTAACATTACAACAACTGCGGTTTTCCACTGTAATTTTTTACATGAACGTGTATGCTGTAACCTCCTGAATGGTGAAAATGATATAGAGGGAAGAAAAACAGTTGACAGTGTTGGAATAACCACCCTAAGAAAAACTTAACATCAACTTATACTTTGTATAGACGTCTGCAGTGTAGGCAGTTCATGTCTACAGCTCGTTAAAAAGCATGTAGAATTTTCATAAATGTTGATGAATAAACATTTAAAGCGGAAGCTTGTTTTTGTTGAAAATTGAATTCTGGAATACACCTTTTTAATATGACTTTTTTAATTTTAGACTCTTACCAACTGTTTACATAAATTTTGCGTCTGGTTTTTCCTTGATTTAAATTGGCTTCTGTCAGAAAAGCGGCGGAAAAAACTAAGCGATATTTCCATTACAATTTTAAAAATGTTTAGATCAAGAATTCACCTTTGTTTTTGTTTTTGCCCTAACAAAATAATCTTTTCTCATTAATTTAGTTTTTCACCTGTTTTTTATGCTAAAAGCACCGGCGCAATAAAGAATTCGTTTAAATGAATCTGGATCGGAAAAAACAATATTAAATTTTAAAAAAAATGTTTCACGCGGTCTTCTGCCTTCCCTCTGTAATTTTAGTTTTTTTTTTCAGTGTGTAGCAACAACGTTTCAGTAACACATAATTTTTTCTTGTTTTAGTCACGGACAGCCCATCGATCAGTAGCGAATCAGCACAATGTAGTCGCATTACATTGAATCTATCGAAACTTTCCTAGAATTAAGTCGCATCTCTATAATTCATTAAGATGTAATATTAATGCAAATTTTCCCCCTGCTGCTTGCAATAACTTTTATACTGTCACAACGAGGAGCATTTGTTTCCAAAAAAAAAGAGGGGAAAAAACATCAAGTTTATTATTAAATTCAGGTTACATGTATGAGGTGACTTTCTTGAACCCAGTGGCCCTTCGGTAGCAGGAAAATCGCCCCATGCAAGGGAATTCTGATTCAAGAATCCGGGAATTTTTTTTCTTGTGGAACTGGTGGAATCCTGAGCTTTAGAATCCGGAATACATCTCAAGGAATCCAGAATCCCACTAACGATTGCAATCCAGAATCCAAGTTTCACTGACGAAAAATCCGGAATCCAGTTCCTGGAACCTGGAATCCGTGGCGTGGAATCCAGACGTTTTGCCTTGGTTTCCTGACATTACTGTCTTGGATTCCTGACATGAGGCGAAGAAAATCTACTTGTCCATGACGACTGGCCGGGACTTAAAAAAAGACCTGGCCCTCTTTTTATTTCTTAAATTGGTATGACCGCTTTGTCAATATTAGAGCTTGAAAGTTTAATTATCCCATATTTCTTATCTTACAGGAAAAGGAAAAAGAGTTGGATGAGAAGAACATTTACCATTACCAAATTACTAAACAGAAGAAGAAAGGGGCTACATTGCCAGCCCTCCCTGCTGGGCCCCGGGCTCCTGCTATTAGCGCTCCTGTTATTCACGCTGCAAAATCCGGGGATACCCAAGAGAAACGGGCAAACGTGTTTTTAACAAATGCACCGAGTGATACTGGCTCAGTGTTAACGGATGAAGCGGAAAGGTCCTTTAAAGTTGAAGTTCGGCAGGATAAGCCGGCTGTTTCTGAGGCGGTTAAACCCATTGTGTTAGAAGCTAATAAAGGTGATAAGGATGATGAGGATAGATTTAGAGCGGACGCAGAGGAACGGAGTAGACTTGACGAAGAAGAACGACGAAGGCGCTTGGAGGAAGAAGAACTGAGGCGGAGAGACGAAAAAGAGAGAACGCGGAGAGAGGAGGAAGAGAAGCGAAAAGCAGAGGAAGAAAGGCGGAGAAGGGAGGAAGAAGAAAAGCTAAACAAACAACGGCAAGAAGAAGAAGAACGCTTGCGAAAACATAAAGAAGAAGAAGAGAGAAAGCGGTTCGAAGAAGACGCGGAAGTTCGGCGAAAGAAAGACTTGTTGTTGGCTCGGATGCGAGCGATAGATACAGGTAACGATAAACCAGACAGTGGTGTAACAGTAGGACATACTGCGGCGGATCCTCCTGTTGATAATAAACCCAAAAAGCTACCAATCTTTCTTCAGAGTGACCAACCAGAGCCGCAGAAAGCAAAGCCTGCGCCGAAAAGTGTGGCCTCTGACGACGATGTTTTTTCTGATATCGGTGGGGATAGAAAGAAACGCAGCAGTGCCCGTTCCAAACATAGTGGCTACTCCTATGATTTCAAACAAACTGTAGAGAATCTTCATCATGGACTTCCCGCCCATGTGTCACTTGAGAACATTAAAGATCAAAGCGCCAAAGTAGACGGCAAGGACTCGTTGTCGGACGATCTTAGCTTTGGTTCCTATAAACCAACACTCGGTAGAAGGGCTGCCGCGAAAAGAGACAGTAGAGAAAAAGATGAACTCTCATTCGGAGGTTATAATCCTTCTTTTGGCGCGAAGAAAGACACGACGCGGAAAAACAGTGGTCTTGATTTCGGGACGGGGAAGAAAGCTATACCCCAGAAAGAACAAAATGCTGTAATATTTGGCGATTATAAACCAACGTTAGGCGGTGCACCCACTAAAACTGCTTCAACTCAGCAAAACGGGGATATATTTGGTGACAGAGACAGTCAAGTGCGGAATCGAAGAACAAGAGGCTTCGCAAGCAAAGGTGCATCGGTGTTTGGCGATGATCTGTTTGAAAATGATAATCCTAAACCAACAGGAGAACCTCTGTTTGGGGACAAGTCATTAAACAAAGACAAATCCTCCTATCCGTGGGAGAATAAAGTGGACGTTACACGGAAAAACAGTGAAGGGGATTCTTTACTACCTCGGCGTAGAGTACACTTGCAACAAAACGTTCGCGCTGTGAACAATGCGCTAGGCGACATTGATGACGAGATTGAAGAAGTTATTCTTTAACATAATACAGTCAGAGAAAGTTTTATACAAATTTCTTTATATCAGAGGTAAATTTTATGAAATAGGTCGTGCTATTATCCATCTCGTTTGTCACGTGTGGTCTCTCAGTCTGTGAAAGTAGTGTTAAATCATGATGTTTTATATTAAACAAAATGTTTTTTTGACCTTATATTCAATAGAAGTACTCAAAGTATCGATGATGCCGCTTGACAATAAATATGTTTCGTATCACGATGGCTCTTTCTGTTTCTCAGTTAATAGTCTGTTTACAGTTCCCTATTTTCCTTAAGATGGTGGGGAGTCTAGACCTCGATCTTAATTACCTTAGTGGAGAAGTAATCAGCATACATTTTTTCGACGCTTAAGTTCTTCGCAACCGTGAATTTGAAAAACATTGGCCAATAGTCCAAATTGCCAGAAACCACTGATACAATAGCCTCCCACTCAGTTACTCTTCAGGGGTAACACTGCGCTTAGCGCCCGCCCTTCAGGATAAGAAGAGAATTCTCGGTTATCAAGACTTTACAAATGCACATTGAGTTCTGAATCAAAACAAAGCGTATTTCCAGGCTTTTCTACGAGAAGTATACGGGTAGATTTTATCAGACAAGACAACAGGCTGCTATAGGTCATGCTGTGCTGTAATATATTTTGAAATTTCCACTCTGGATAATATTAAAAGTTCTTTTCCAGCTAGGATTAGCGGGCGAGTGCTTTTTTTTTTTTTTGACGGCGGAGCAAAGTGAATATTAGGAGTAATTTCCTCGTGGTGTCGCCACTCGTTTTGCGTGGCAGCTCCGCCGCCAAGAAAGGACTCCGGGCAACAAGCTCGCAAAAATCCCTCGCGGTGACGTCGCCGCTCACTCCGTCACCAAGAAAGTTTACCGGGCACAACAATCCGGCCCGCTACGCAGGCTAGTTCTTTTCTGGTTCCTTCAGTTTGGTATATTAGCTGCGTAAGTTTTACCCCGGAAGAATTCAAGAACACATGAAACCGTTGCAATTCTTGGGGGCGTGGAACTGAGCGTGCTATACAGTATATTTATGGAAAAACAACTTAAAAGCATTTGAATGATATTTTCACGCGATTAATTAGCAATGCCTTTGAGATCTGCATAATTCTTTAGATGCCGAATCCAATAAATGCTTTATTAAGTACCAGTCAATTCCACAATCCCCGCCCCGCTGGGCAAGCCCCCGGGCATTTGGTCAAATTCCCGGGTATGTTGTTAGTTTAGATGGTCAAACGGCCCACCGACAAGGGCTTCAAAAAGCGTCAAATCCCTTACCCATCAGCCACTATAAAAAAACTGTCCCACTCTTCAAATCGTTTCATTCACTAGCATGGTAAATTTCCTACTAAACACATCCAAAATATCAGTCTAAAGTCTCGTAACGTTGTCTTACGGAGGTTTGTTTATTTCAATAAAATTGTTCACTCCAGAAAGCTCACATTTAACGGGCTTTTTCAAAGGCTCTCAAAAGCTCCAACAAAACAATGAATACAGGAGTAATGACCAAAGAACGCGGTGCAAATGCTAAATGCGGAAAGAATTACGAAATCCCTGACCAGCGTTTTGACACGAAAGTCAAATGCCCGACCGGGCGGGCCTCATTTTGGGTCAATGGGTCAAATTATATTCCCCTTTCTACGGAGCAAAACTCCAGTGAAATACCCCGTCGGGGTGTGCCTGGGGGTATGGATGGTTTTGGAATTGACCGGTGCATTATATTCATTCAAAACAATTCCTAGTTTAAAAACAAGCTAAAATATAATACGCTTATCTCGATCGATGAATGACGTTTCCTCCTAACTTTGCCTGTTTAAACTCGGCAAGAGATACTTACGTGGCAGATTTGATTTAGCATGCATTTATGAGCTTGTTTTTTTTTATATCTACTTTGGATTAAAAGAAAAAAAACTGGAAATTTAAAATAGCCTGCAAAACAGGAGCTTTATGAGCCAAGCGAGACGCAACTTTAGGATATCCTGATAAACTGCATTTTTACATTGATAGCGGAAAAACCCGGGATTTAGATTTGAAGCTGCACGAAGCAAGTCAGAAATTAAACTGTCACTTACCGTGAGCTTATTTTTCTTTGGTTTTATTTCAGTTCAGTTATTTAATATTAGCCAAAGAATGAAAAATGAAATGAAAAATAATTGGAATAAATTTCATGCTTGTGCTAACATTTCGGCAGTTTATCACTGAATCTATTTCAGATACTAAAGTAACAGGGGCACCCAACAACAATGTCGTCCTAAATACACTGAAAACACTTTTTAGCGGAGCTCCACGAGCGCGCGGAGCCCCATTTCTAAGAAAATTTGGTAATCTATCATCCGAGAAATTTTGGTTAACATATAGATTTAGTCAGGGCTAAAAGCGAAGCTCCCGTTTAATAAATTTGTACTTTAAATAAAACAATAAACTTTAGGGTAGATTCATATAAACTTTCGTAGGAAAGGCTAAGTGCTTTCAGAACAAAAATAATTTGCAAACGGTCGAAGACTGAAACAAATCTTACATCGAGTTCAGGTTGGCCCACTTTATTTTTTTCTCCTCCCCTCGTCTCGCCCTTCGCGCAAAATGCCGCGTTCGCCTCGCATCAATGGCTCATAAAGCGCCTGTTATGCCGGCTAGGGCATCAAAGTGCTTGAGTTACGATGGCAAGCTAACCTTACAGTGAGTTGCAAAATCTTGAATTTTCAATTAACGATTCTACCGGCAAAATTTTGAATTTCAAGATTATTCCGGCATCATTTTGCCGGATATGGGAACAATATCTTGAAATTAAAAACACGCATCATCACGAAACTATAGCTTGAGCAGCTTGTTCTCAAGAGTACAGAGCCTCAGAATGTTTTCAGTTTTCCTTGGTATTTTGTGATGGATAACGTTGTAATTATAAAATAACAGTTCCTAGTAGAGAGGAGGAGTGCCGTGCTGACGAAATCGTGTATTCTATATAGAAAGTGTGTCAATTTCAAAGGAGACGAAAATGACCCATGCACAATCGCTATTTGTAGTAACCGCTAACGGTTTTGCTGTTGTATTTGTTTTCGATCAGGGGTACCCAACGAGAATATAGTTCAAAACCACTTAAACATAGCATTGTTAAACGTAAATTAGTATTTAAACGGTAGATATAAGCATATTTTTATCCACTAAAAATTTTTCATCTGTTCGGATTTCCTAGCTGGAAGTTTAGTGAAAATTAGAGGGATCAAAACTTACCTTTTCGAAAATTTCAGCCAGAAAAAAGGCTTCCGAAAATTCTAGGTGACCTTTTAAGGGTAAAAATCCGTCAAAAATAGGCAATTATACCTTTTTTTAGATGTCCGAAAATTCTAGGAGAGGCAGGCAAGCAAGAAATTTTACAACAAACGTTCCGAAATTTCTAGATCTCAAATCGTCTTCCGAACACATATTTTCCGGAAATTGTCGTTGGGTGCCCCTGTTCGATCTTCTCTTTCTCCCTCACTTCGCTTTGGAAAGGGATTAGACATGGGGAAAGACTCCCCAAATCATGATCGTACAAAAAAAATCAGGATTTTGCCAGCAAAATTGTTGGCTTGTTGGCTTCTTCGCCAAATCTCTAATTTTCAATATCTTGCGCAATTCAAGATTCTGCCGGGTGGATTGTTCCGGCAAAATTTTGTATTTCAAGATTCTTCCGGAAAAAATCTTGTCGGCAGAACTTGAAAATTCAAGATTATATCGGAAGAATCTTGAAATTAAAATTTTGCAACTCACTGTGAAGTAACTCAACACAATAACTCACAAAGCATAACTCTCTTGGACGATCCGCTCCTATCGTTTTTTTTGTTTAAAAGTAAAGTGATGTTACTTTTAAAGATTATGCTTACTTAATTATCACGAACCTCTTAAACTCCATTAAACACTCCAAGGCCGAGACATCATCCGAATTTAAATATATAGATCTATCATTGATGTTATTTCTGTTGTACAGACAACCATATATGCATATGTAATCTTTGCTAGGTTGCATTTAAGCTTTACAGGCAAAGAGAAAAACAGAGCAGAAACGGAGCTGACTGTGCTAAAGTAATAGGGCCGAAATTCCCGAAATTTTTCATGACTGACAGGTAGGTTCAATAGTTTGAAAAAAAAGAATGTGTTCTTTTTTTTACCACGACTTCCAAGCTTAGAGGTTTTGGTCTCGAGATTTTCGGTTACCTATTGCTGCATGTAAAGTGCCTTACTTCAAGTCATACACAAGCTGTGTTCACCAAAGTGAAGATAGTTGAGACGCTTTCAGAAATAGCGCACTTCAGGGGCGGATCCGGGATTTTTTTATGGGAAGGTGGCTGATACTAATCGGCCACCAAAATACACGTTAACTTATTTTAAGTTGTCTTACGGCAATTTACAGACTGTAACACTGCAAACTCTTGAAAAGCCACAAAATAGAAAAAAATAGAATTTTCTAGGAAGACCTTACTAGCCTAGTCAGCCAAAAGTGAAGACGCCGTCATTCGTATAAGGTGCAGCTCCACAAATTTCCCAACTACACTTCTGTTGATGGTTCTGCATTTGCATGCATGACGATTGCACCCATTTCTATATTTTTGGGATCCACGTATTTCCGCTCGTTTCTTCTTGTATTAATTTTTTTATGTGGGCTGTTGTCCTAAAGGGGGGTGGCTAGCCACCCAATCCATCCCCCCACTGGATGCGCCCCAGTACTCGCGTACTCTTGCGAAAGGGTGTTATCCATCATCCCCACGGTAACTCTATTCGCTATTTGCACATCTCACATAATACACCTTGTTTGTGGGCCTTACCACACAGCCTGCACCACGTCTTGGGTCTTCTGACTTGCATATAATAATCGAGTTGGTAACAGTTGTTAATTATTATTATCACTATTATTATTATCCTTATCATTACTGTTGTTGTTGTTATCATTATTATTACATTATTGTTGCTACAGTTGCTATTATCAATGTTTTATCTATTTACCTCTTCTTGCAGGCTGGCAATATATAGTTAATTCTATCCTGATAAAATATGGGGAACAACTCTCAAACTGAACCGTGTTGCCATGACCCCCTAGGCCGTTCTCGCAGTGAAATTGGTTTAGAAGTGGCCTTGTCTATTCTTATTTGCCTCACCTCCTTCCTTGACAACTTATTACCCGTCTATGTTGTCCATAAAGACTCCAGACTCAAGAGCTTAACGAGCATATCATGATCTACAACCTGGCATTAACTGACATTTCCATGGCAACGCTGCACATGCCCTTTTGGGTTTAACAAGCCCGTATACAGGTATTTGGACATTTAGCGGGAAGTGGTGTGAGTTTCAAGCTGCAATTGCAGCAACGTTAGTAATTGCTTCTATTCTGAATATGGGTCTTATCGCTTTCAACCGACATATTAGGGTAGTTAAACCAGCGCTGTATAGCAGACTTTTCCCGAACAAAAGAATGGCACGATTCTACTGTGCAGTCGTATGGATAACTGCTATACTCCTTGCATTGGAACACCGCCATTGTACGGCTGGGGCAAGACGAGCTACCATCCTTCATTCGCTGTCTGAACTTTTGATTGGAAAATCGATCATATTTCGTATGCCATAGTTATCGTGGGCATAGTGATTAACGGAACCACAGGCCTGATATTTTACTCTTACTGCACGATTTATAAGACTCTCAAAGAAAGCACTCAAAATCTAGATGCCCATGGCATAGAAGATGGAGCCACCTCAACAGGACCGCCACGAACTGACATTAGAATCTTGAAAACCTGTTTCACGGTCGTTTGTGTATTTCTACTGTAGTAGTGGTTGTTGAGACCGCTGGTTGCTCCATCCCAAGGGAGATTTCTAGAGCAGTTATTTACTTCATGTTCACAAGTTGTTTAATAAATCCAATTATATACGGGGTCATGAATCCGCAGTTCAAAGCGGCCTTTAAAGGGGTTTTAGTTTAGGTCGTCATGACAACAACAAAAACGTTAAGGACGTACAAGAAATGCAACCAAATCTTGTGGACACTTTTTTTTTCTCGAGATGATACGAGGGCTCGATTAGCCTGGAGAGCTGGCGTATAAATTTTAGGCCAAGTGATAAAATATTCCAACTCATTTGAGGACTATAAATAACCAACCCATTCATAATAACAAAGACAACTTTAAACAGCAGGGCCGGGTTGCTGAGTATCATTTTTTTTGTCTACAATAAACCTTATTCACGATAAAGTTAGCACGCGCGAGTAAGTACCACTTTTTTTGAAGTCTGGCAAAATAGGTTCTTGTATTTTGGGTTACTTATGATCACTTATTGGCAAGTAATTTTAGCCAAAGTTGGTTCTTAATTTTAATGAAGGAGTTAAAAGCTTGTTGATTACCAAACAAATACATTAACTGGGGTTTGGTCCTTAAAAGTACAGTATTCATTAGCAATTACATAACTAATAAAAACCCTAACAAGACTGATTACCGAATTTATATACAGTTGGGTACAGTATGTTCATATGTACATAAATTTACAACCTCAAAGTTAAATTCCCTGATTAAAATGTTTATCATAATTTAACTGCAACCACATAATAAGAACCTGCTTGATCTTGCTTAGCTACACAGGTTCTTGTATTTTGGGTATTAAAGTGGAAAATTTCTGCCAGCAGGTTCTTATTCCCGGGTTTTTACTGTATCCACCATCTTTGCGCGGGCCTAAGCAAAATCATGTGGTTTCTTACAACTAATTACATCTGCCAATTCAAGAAATCGCGGTAGAGTTTGTTCATTCTAGACAACAGAAAATGGAAATCCTTTTTATCCTAAAGACGATAATGGAAGTGATCATTATTTACTACTCTGGGTTCAGTAGAGAACGTAGATTAGCCTGCGAAAACAGCCGTTTCTCCTCGCTCTTCACCGCTGGGACGTTTCGCGCGGACTATTTAAAAATTCGTCGTCTCGTCTAATAGAATAGGGAGCTTAAGCAACTACGACGACGGCGACATCTCCCAAAAACAATAGATTTAATGATCAAGACAACAGCTCTGCACGTGCATCACGCTTTTTAGTACATTTGTTTGAAGTCCACTGCACACCTTCTGACATGTAGATTTAACTCTCGGTTTTTAAGATGCCCAGGAAGGTAATAAGAATCTTGTACATACGCCATATCACTGCACAGTTCTAATTGACTCCTGGCTGGGAGTTCTGTTCAGTAAGATTGCGTTTGAAATGATCCAGTGACAAATTTTCATCCACTTAGTCGTGGTCAAATAAGTCCTCAAGTACTTGACGGGATGAAGTTTGTCCTCCAAAGCTGCTGGCCTGTTTTAAGGGGGAACCGTTGGTCAACCTAATCATGTGAGTCAAAACAGCGTCATGGATATGATGCTATTTGATGTAATGATCCAACATGGAAGGCCAATAGCACCTGTAATTTATACAATTATAATAGCAAACAATATTTAATCTGTTGTAATTAAGGGATGTTAAAGCAATCAAACCACCTTTATAGAAGTGGTCAACAACTCAGGCCACAGAGCATTACCCGGCATTCTCCATACCATGTACAGTCACACCCTAATGGGGGATACCCTATGCAAAGCATGGAGGCTCTTCCTACCTTATTAGCACTGTTTGGGCTGCCGATAGCAATATTACACATGGCGGTCAGAGTTTTCCCAGTGTGATTTAGAGGGAATCTATGATATTCTGACTATTCTTCGATACAAAAATAAAGGGAACTACCCGGTGTTAATTAGTCTTCCTCCAGTGAGTGGGCATCTCCCATGTACATGGACACTTTACTATGGTCCAAGCCACATACAAACACTGCTTTTTACGTGCAAACCCAGTATTTTTAGCCTGCATAACAGCTGTTACCAGTATTTTTTCACATTTTTCAGGCAAGCCAAGACATAAGTGAAAAGCGAGCAAGGAGCACCAGACAAATGTGACAGGGGAGGGGGAGTCCGACACTCCTCACTGGCTTAGCGCTTGCCTTCACTCGCCTGAAAAATGCAAAAAAACAATGCCTGTTTTGCAGGCTAGGTATTTTTAACCTCCTCAAGCACACACTTTCTGGCCCCTTGGGTACAATGTATCAGCTTACAAAAGGTTAAACTGCAATTTGTGGGGGGTCCACAATCAATCAGTACAGCACTTGACTGCAGAGTGGAATGTCAGGGGCCAGATGACCGTGGCCGCAAAATACTTAGGCTCTCAAAATACTTGATTATTATAGGTACTGCTACTGGCTAGACCTTTGCGGGGCTCAGACATAAAGTGGCACTCCTGTTTCCATCATGAGATGTGAAAAAGTGACTTCAATTAGTAATGTTGTGCCAAATACATAGAGACTCTGACAAAGTGCATTTCAGTTTTTTCAATCACTGCAACCACAAGCCATAACAACAACCTTAAAACTTTTGATTCTCTTGATCCTGTGTTCTCCAAAAGGAAATTTTTTCTTTAATTTCAATTTGCCTAGGATTAATTATTAAACATTATAATTAAATTATTACCAGACACTCCTGTAGGAAATGCTAAAATGGAATTCAGTGGATAGAACCACTCAACAGGTAAGACAGCGACTGGATCCTTTCTGTACATAAACAGAAATGCTAGATGACACATACCCTAAAAATATCAGATGGAAAAGATACATAATTTTACAAAATTGACGAGAAAAATATAATTACGTACGTGTTCTGATTTGAGTATTTCCCAGATTTTTTCTTCAGAAAAGTTATTTAATAATAATTATTTACCAGAAGTCCAATGCAAATTGCTTTTAATATTCTCTGTCTCCAGGATAACTTTACAGTTCTTTCTTTTGCTATGAATGTAAAATAAAATTCAAATTAAGTGGATGTCTGTCAGCCAGTGCACTGTGAACAAACAGTTGCACTTTACACAATGTTTATTTACACAAAGCTTCCTTTTATTTCGGATTTTACATCAGATAAAAAGTCATGGATTGCTGTGCTAGTTCATTATTGATGAGTCTTGCAGGAATCGAGTATCGAGAATTGAGATGCAACAACTGAGAATTGAGTCTGAATTTTTGACTCAATTCAATCAATTCTCACAAGAATTGAGAATCCAGTGGTAAATTTTGAACATTGCTATAGCTCCTCCCGTACCAAAATTAACGCTCTAGCCAGAAGGTAAATTAGGCCATAATTTTCAGCCAAACCCGGACGGAAATAAACCAAAACAGGGCCTTAAAAAGTTCAACCAAAGATGAACCAAAACGAGCCTCACTGAAACGTAAATATTTGAGCCACAAAATAAACCAAAATAGAACCCAAATCCTAACTACACTACAGTGATGCAAAAACTGGGCCAAAATTGGGCCCAAATTATGCTGTCATTTTGGCTGAACGGTAACACGATAATGACCGCTGTCTGCACGCTGCATATTTCTGTAATCCGGTTCGAGCTAAATTAGGCCACATTTGGGCCAAAATTACGCTGTAATTGAGGCTGAGATCCAACCATTTTTTGGTCAAGATTTCACTCAACAGTAACTCGACACCGGCAAACTCGAGATTGCGTGCCAAATGTACATTTTCAAGGTAGATAAATAGATAAGCAAGCTAAAGTTAGTATTAAATAATTGACAAACGTTTGTATGAAAATCGCTACAAATGAAACATCAACTGGATTTTTAATGCAGTATAGCTAATTTAAATACATTGCTACCAGAATTTTTCTACAAAAAATATTACATCAAAGAACGAAACCGGGTCACGCGTCGTTTTGAATGTATAAATCACGAATTCACATCACGTACAAAGTCCACTTGCTACAGACTGTTCGTGCATTTCTTCAAAAATTACATAGAGATTTTCTGAATATTATTCCTTCACATAGATGAGCACCAGCACTGCGACGATCACAAATTCCACGCATCAATACCTTTTACTCTCACAAGCTCGATAACTTCTTTGACACGCGACCCGTACTAATACCAAAAACAAAGTGATACTATTTTATACGGAGCTATTTCCTCGCACGATTTCTGTTATTTAGTTCTTCCTGTGTTGCCCACAACCAGCAAATACAGCCGTGTGCTTTAGGAAATTGTTCCAGAACAATATTTAACTGGTTTGTTAGGCAGGTTTTAAGCCCTATATCATAGAGATAAACATGTTTCCAAGAAGACTTCTGCGTTTTCAAACAGTCATGACATGTTTACTGGCCGCCAAAAGAAAGGGCTACGAACGTTTAACATGATGCACGATCTATGAAGAAAAAACACTAACCTTAAATACAACTTAAAACACACAAGCTTACCTTTATCGGCAGTTTTAAAAATTATACTGACAAACCTTTGTCCTGCACATTTTCACTTCAGCTTCTTGCCTCGCTTCAAACGGTCCTAGTTGCAAGGCACAGCGACTTTTGGGACTTTTTGGGCACAATGCCGAGACTTTTGTCCGAACCAAAATAGATGCAGTAATGAAAACTAATTTTCAAACTTACAAATGTTAAGTTTCAATGTAACTTAGATCGGGAAAACGTTTACAGGAGAAGGCACAAACGTTTTTCTCTTACGATGAACCCCAAATGCCCGCCAAAATAAACTAACCAATCATCATGTGTCTCTAAGGCCACGTGAACATATCGAAACAGGGTTTTTGAGAAATCAAGAAACGCGATCACGCAAAAACAACGCATGGAAAGTTTCAAGTGGACCTGTCAGGTTTACTACGGTAACGTAAAGACAATGTCACGAAAATTTTTCCATAGTAAAACCCTTTTTACTGTAGTAATTGTAGAGGCTTTTTAATATGGTACCACCACGATTCAAATACATCATATATAGCTATTTAAATCCAGCTTTAACTGGTCGGAAGTCTTCAGGGACAAAACATTCATTTATTGTATTTGGTTTCGTGCATGCACGGCGTGGATTTATCTATCGTCAGGTGCGTCAATTATGTTTGCAAATTTAATTGCAAATAAAATAGAAAGAGATTAGTCTTACTTGCAAGGTGAGGGAATCAACTTTGTAGGTACGTATTGTATCTGTAAATGTTTAGTTCAGTTGAGTTAAAAAACTAATCTGATATTTCTCGTTTTTGTTTGCAAAAATCTCTTGCGTTAGGTCTATTTAATTAAAGTTTTGCTAATATTTAATGTCTCCCTTACACCTTTTTCTGGTGGCTCCACATCGACTTCACTGTAATTCGCTGGTTCGACCGAACTGATCAACACCAAAATTACAGCCTCAGTCGGCTTCCAACATGAGCGACCTAATCTACGACTAAAAAAATTTTGCCTGCTTTAAGGTCGTAGAGCGTTCAAAATGAGAGCCTAAATAACAGCCCAAAGCGATTTTGGTTCACATTTGGGGTTTAACTGTCGACCAAATTTACAACCTAAAATATTTTGCCTGAATTTGGTCGCTTTTTGTTCATGGTGTTGGAATTAGAAACAAAAAAGGAAACAAAATTTTTTGGGCTCAAGCTGTTAGGTTCAGTTTTGGTTGATCTTTTGCTCTCTGTTTCCATTTAAGGCCTTATTAAGGCCCTATTGTGGCTCAGTCAGGCCACAAGATTTCGTACGGGCTACTGTCCATAGGTCTGGGAACAAGACTGAAACTGTTCAAACTCTCAAACATTTTAACCTCTCCCTGATAATGGCGACCTAGCTAAAGGGCACAAAGATACAATACCACCAAAGAGAGGTGACTATTGAAGGGAATGTATCCACTGTCCAACAAAAAGAATTAGCCATTGTACAAAAAGACATCACCAGCAGTAGAGAAGCCTATCACACCAGGTTCCATAATATTAACGTGCAGAGATTGTACAAAAAATGCACAGGTCCAGATCACGCACATGCTACTGTTGGTTGCGGCAGATCCAGACTTTCAGATAAGGGTGGAAGAGCCGGTCATCCAGACCCTGAGTTAAGGGGGGAGGGGTCTCAAAAAAATTTTTTGCAGCCTTTCAGGCCTCAGTTTGGTCTAAAAATAAGGTGGGGGGAGGGGGTGCCTGGGCCCTTCCCCCGGATCCGCCTCTGAATAGGGTGCCAGACAAGACATGTTTTCCCGGCCAAACATTTGAAGTTTGAAAGCTGTTAAAGCAAACTGTCGCTCCAAAGGTTACACTGTTAACATGTTTCTCATCAGCGCATTCTGCTCATCTTTAATTTTTCTCAATTTTCAGTAATATTTCTTGCTCAGAAACAGCAGACGTGCTTTTAAGAATTATTCTTTGGAGTTTTACAACTCCAGCAATTCTTCTTTAGTTAATATCTTGCGGTGAATATTTTGTTGATTGAAAACAAATCAAGACAACAAACACAGGGTGCAAAGAAAGCAAGCTTTACAGCCTGCCATTCGGGCAAGCTGTAGCTAGCATGTACTAGCCCACAAGCCATTTTAACTAGCCCCCAAACCCTTTTTGATTAACAGGATTGATTACAATCCTTATGAAATTGAATTTCCCCAAAAAACGGCCTTTGCCCATCAGGCAGGTTAAGAACAAAGATGACTAGCCCGATAGCAAAATCCACTAGCCCCGGGCTATTGGACACGACTTTCTTTGCAAGCTGCAAAGAGCTGCCTACTTTGCATGAGAACATTGGTCTAACACCACCCCAAACTTCAACAGTTTGGAGGCAAAACATGTCAAGTTTTCAACCAATTAGAACATGTTTTTTCATCATGTGATTACATGCTTATCTCCAGCCAACAGTATTTTCCCTTGGCCTTGTTTTGACAATGTCCCTACTATCTGAGAGCTTGGCACAGGCTACTAGTAAAGGTTTAATACTCCATTTTTGAGTTGCCCGAAGCTCCTGTTTAAAAATGAGGCTACGTGCGAAGCTATTGGTAGGAAAATGATTTTTGATTCTCATGTAAATAAAACTTATTTTCACAAGAAAGGTTTTGAAGCATTCCAGTTAATTCTTTTAAGTGGGGGTCATGTAGACCATCTGAGGGTTCACCAAGATCATGTGCTTATTTTTTTCATCATATTTAACTTAACACTTATATGTCATCTGTCGGGTCAGGAAGCCATCTTTGTGCGGTCATTGACCTGAGACCCGTCACTTTTCTGGAACACTGTTTTGCTCTTAGCCTCGTTTTGAAAGTGATGGTATTGGGAACTTGAAAATGACCTATTAATGTGCCATGTTCAACAGTTTTATGACAACAGTCCACCTGTCAGCCCACAGCTGGCCAGTCTACAATCAGGGCTTCTTCTGATACTATCCAATTCGCATCCTGTAACACAGTCCATGTGAAATCTCACAATCAAAATATAGGAAACATACAGCAGAGCATATGAGACATTAATTATTTTGTTGTTTTTGTGGTTGCTCAAGCTCCATGACGACAATATAAATGTTTGAACTTTAAGATATCACTGTACCTAATTGTGAATGTTCCCTGTTTAACTGGTTTACTTTTCTGTCTATTCGCATATACTTTGCAAACTCATCCTAAAAATAAAGGGGATAAAGAAAAAACTACAATAATAACAATAAATAATAATAACAATAATAATAATAATAATAATAATAATAAAAATAGTTATGAATCATCATCTCCATCGTCATCATCATCATCATCATCATCCACATCCACTACATATTACACACTTTTCACAAAGATCGTGCAGCTTCTTAATTAAAGCAGTGCTGATCTCACTAGTACATAGGCCAGTTAGGCTCCAACTATATAAATGCCTTAAGAGGTAACAAAAAGAACCTTCTGAACAATATATTTGTAACTATTTTTTTTTCTCAAAAATAGAGCATTGTTGTAGGCAATACTTAAAGATAACACAGGAAGGCTCCCGGAATTATCTGGCTCCAAATTCCTGTCTTGAAATCGGACAAATCAGCTGGTATGTTTAGAGAGAAAGAAATTTTCAACAACCTTACAAAACAAACAAACAAAAAAAAAAAAAACAAAAAGAAATAAAGAAATAAACACAGGTAAATTTCACTGCAGTTTAAAATAAATTAGGACAAATTTTGTGTTCGGAACTTACAACTTTTAAATCTGTTGGTAACGGTACCAAAAAGGAAAAAATTCCTAAAGTGCAGTATTTTTCCAATAAAAGTCCAGCAAAAGGAGAAAAAATGTGGAAGAGAAGAGTGAGGGTAAAGGAAGGGAAAGGAAAGAGAAAGAACAAAAGTGAAATTGAAGTCCCAAAGCTACGTGTTTTGTGTAAATCCCTTAAATACAACAATTTTTTCCTAAAATGAAAGCACACAGTTTTTAAATTAATAAAATATTGTAAACATTTAGGTTTTGCCCCTTTTTGCCTAGATGATTCAACCATTACCTATGTAGCATCAAGTTGTGTTAATTTTTGGACAAGCAATATTATTACTCTATTTACTGTAGAAGGAAAATTAATAGGTTAACATCATAGTCAATATTTTAGTTACCTGAACACTGATTTTAAGCTGATCACTTTTCAGTTGAATGATTGTTTCTTTCAGTTCATTTTCTCTCTTGGCTACTCCTGTAGAAATGGCTGCCAGCTTTGCACGAAAAAAAAAAACCAAAAAACAAAAGAAACAAAAGAAAAGAAAAAGAAAACCATGAGGATGATTCTTGGCTCAAGTGAAAATTTACAGAAACACTGTGCACAACAAACCACAGCCATCTCAAACTCAATTCATAAGAATGGGTGACTATAAACTTAGCATATGTGAGATGACTGCATACAACAGTTGGCTCGAGGAATTTGTAGGGTTAAAATGGCATAACAACCAATTTTTAGTTTAAAAGACAAAATGACATTGTTTTAAACAACAAATTAATGTGGAAAGTGTAGATCTAGCTCTGTAGATCCTGCACCACTCACTTGAAAATTGGCGTTGCTGCCAAATAAATCAATAAACAAACAAATAAATTTAAATAAATAGATAAATAAATATTAATAAATAAAGAAATAACTATTTAAAGATAGCACATTGTAGTTCTTCGTCTACCTGATCTTACCTGATTCCGAACAGAATAGGAATTTGGAAATGTTGGTTTTAAGGGAGAGGGAAAAATCAGAGTACCCGGAGAAAAACGTCTCGGGGTAAAAAATAATTTATGACGTCGACGCAAGGTTTAAACCCACATGACCAACTACAATGATTCAATTTTTTAAAGGCCTATCAGGATTGTAGACCAGCTGATAGAAGAACTCGCAATCTTCCGTTAAGTTTGACAGAAAATGACCGAAAAATTCAAAGTAAAAGCTTCTCCGAACAAAACCTAAGCATAAGATCAAAAATCTCACCCAATCAGCTGCTAATCTGGATGACTTGTACAGAATCTTCATCACCAAAACATACGCAAACACAAAAACCACCATCGCGGCCGCCATTTTGTTTTTAGTTCGAGTCCCAGTTTCCCCGCTCTCTCTCTAGGTCCCAGGTTCTTGATCAATTGCCCGGTGATGGTAGTGAAAGCGAACAAGTTTTTTTTCTTTCTTTCTCTCTTTTTTAAGACAGAGGTTGACCTTTTTGAAAAGCTTTTGGAGAAGAATAAAGGAATTGCTTAAACAAATCATGCATTAATTCACTATAATAAAATGGATATGCCATTTACGTCAATAAGTTGCTAGATTATTTTGACGCATCGACGGAATATTTGTATCACCATGGAACAAGCTTAAAAGATTACCTGAAATTAATTTCATGCAGGATAGCCCCTTTAAACTTTCCCAGGTTACTTTTACTGTATTTTGCTTATCTATGAGGCGAAAGTAGTCAAACTTCAGCTTTTTTGGACAGCAAGCGGAAGGCTGGCAGTTGAAAAAAGGTCGGTATTTTACCTAATTGTTTATTCAGCAATATGTTGACGTTCATGAAGCGGGGCAGAAATCCTAAACTTTTCTAGATCAACTAAGCGTCTCAAAGAATGTGAATGTTTTTATGCTCGGCGATTACTTTCGTGAAGGCATTGGTGGCATCTTATTGTGAATGATAGTCTCCACTTTAATACAACTATCTCGGAAGAAAGTTTCTTGGTGCTACGGTGTGTATGTTTGCGTCAAGGAATGACAGAACTGACTTTTTTTTCGACACAGCACTGTTTAAGCAATTCTTAGAAAAGTTATCATCATCACTATGTTCTCACAATTGGATGGAAGGATGAAAAACTCAGTCGCGAGTGAGAATTTATGATGAATTAACTCAGACAGTAATTTTAAAAGTTATTTAAAAAATTGTGCTTTCTGTTTGTTTTAAAAAGCAATTGAAATGATCCTTTATAGTTTACATTCTTTTGTAACTCCGCATCAAACGCTCCTATAAGCAAAAAGTTCTAAACACTGACAGGAGGCTATTACCCTGGGCCTCTGACACACAGGTTTTTTACTTGCAAATTTGCGATGTCATTTTTGTTCATGATTTATTCACTTTAATTTGACGCTTTGAAGTTGCTGTAAATTTAATTGGCCACGTGTACACGGCATGTCTGTGTACCCGGGCAAGCCCATGTGATTTTGTAATCTTGCCCATGTAGGGGACCCGGGGGAGGCTCTCAGCAAAGTCTTATATGGCATGGATGGGCTCCCCACCCGAAATCCAACTCCTCACCCTTATGTATACCATTTCCGAAAAAAAAGAAACCCATTTCGTATATCTTCCATTGACAGTGAAAAATGGAATGAATTTCCGCATATACCCAAGAAACACTTCATCCCCTGTTGCGTAATTGGCCTTTCTTTTTATATAGCAAAGAACGCGAATAAATCAGAAAGCCCTCTTGTCATTTCTACAGCCATAAGATACGAGTCTGTTAAATACAATCAAACCCTGTGAATAAGGACACTGAAAGGACCATAGACAGTGTTCGTATTAATGGGGTGTCCGTACTAAGTGGGTCATGTTGTCAAAGTCAAAAAACACCTTTTATTAGAACAAAATAAGAAAACAATAAATGACGACATTAGCGTAGTCAAACAGCCTGACATCTCTAATCTTCTCAAAGCCGTCATTCCGAGGAAAAATCTACGGAAACACTCCAAATTTACTCACTATACTACCATGAAAACAAAAACCTTCTCTGCATAACTCGTTTGGTGCCAAAATAGTCTGAAATTGACGTCTACAAATCATCGTCTCTTGTGCTATGTAGCACTGGAACATCGTCACGATGTCACCTAAAGGCTTTTTTTACCTTCAGAAAGGAAAGGTCTATTACAGAACACAGTTGACAATGAAGTGTTGGTAGGGAAAAAAAAGGGTCCGTTGTCCGCATTAACCGGTGTCCGTATTTAAAGAAAGTGTAAGGGCTTTCTCCCGGGACAAATAAAACTGTCCTTATTCTAATAACGAGGTGACCGTATTAAGCAGGTGGCCGTAAAGCCGGATTCAACTGTACTTAAAAGAAAATTGAAAGGCCTTTTTAGATACCGAAAGGACAGATTTGGAAGGACAGACCTAAATTTGGAAACCGCTGAATTTCTCGAATTGGGTGTTTGCGAGTTGGTGAAACTCTATTCAGCGCAAAGCACTAATGCGTACTATGTGTAGCAGAGAGATTTTCACGAAAAAATGCCGGCAACAGCAGATTTTCGACTCAGACATCAAAGGGGCGTGGCATTATAACCACGTGACATTTACTCCGATCGCCAAAAATTTTACGTTATACTGTAGATTGATCTATGTGTTATCCATTACGATAAAAGTAAAGGTGGGGATACCAGAGAGCTTCAAAGTAGGATGGTACCCCCCCCAAAAAACTGGGTCGAGTCACCTTAAACACCTTTCTCATACTTGAATCCTGAAAAAGGTGCCCCTTTCGAGCCCGCTCGTATAGGCAATTATGCGGAGTTCTCCCTCTGCCCCGGGGCGCATTCACACGAGAATGTTGTTTGTATCTGTTTACGAAGCTTTTCCACTCTGGAAACATCTTACCATCGATGATCGGTAATAATGTGTGAATGAGAATTCAAGGGTAAAGGTGTGCGAGTATCATAACCAAAAATGCCCCACTCCGTTCCAGACTATAACTATAAACCAAATACTCCAATTCTTTATCTTGAAATCACCGATCAGCTTCTGGTAACTGATAACGGTTTCCTGGAAAAGCCGTATCAAGGATCAGGGACGCAGGGATCAGTTGAAAATATATCAAATAAATTACCCCCACGTGACTCAGAGCATTGCGCATACGTCTCAGTTTTCGCCTACTGACTAGCTATTGAACAGCTATTGAGCATACGTGACTCGTATGCTCAAGCAAAAATAAATCTGCGATGATTTCGATGACGAATTCCCCTTGTAGCACAAACATGTCAATTACGTCTGTTTTTCTGCGAATCACAAGAATTTACCCGGTGATTGATGCACGAGATAACATTCGCCAATCAAGGGAACATAAGTAAGTGTGCCAGGCTATTCTACGCCAAACGTCTCTGATTTCCAAGCCCTATTCTAGGACAGACGTTTGGCAGGCATTTTTAGGGGAGCTCGTATTTCTTCCCTCCCCACAAACGGGGGGATCGACGTTTCGCGAAACGTCCCCTAGCGACGATGAGCGAGGGGAAACGTCTGTTTCGCAGGCTAATTCCAGGCAAAACTGACTGAAGTTATTTACCGCTCTTAGCTGATAGGATCCGGGGGTACTCCCTTACAAGAGGCTAATGGGGATGTGCCGCTGGATAGGGTCGCATTTTCACGACTGGAGTGACTATAATGGGGTCGCATTTTCAATAGATTCACTAGAATGGGGTCGCAAATTTTAGGATTTTGGGGGTAAGGAGGGATTCAAAATGGGAAGATTTTCGGTTATAAAATCAGAAAGTCGTTGTTTATTAAATTTAACTATAAGCTCGCACTGACCGCATTACATTCCGCCGCTTGAAACCACATTGATAAGGTCAGGATGCATAAATAGAAAGTGACTAAGTTGGGATCGCGAAAATTACATTTTCCAAAAAGTGACTAAGATGGGGTCTATAATTGGCCAAAAAATAGACTATAATGGGGTAGGGGCTCTAAGGGGCCAGCGGCACATACTCAGCAAACATTAACCCAAGTACCCCCCCCCCCGGGGATAGGATGCGCGAAGTTTTTTCCCGAAGGGAAGCCTCCTGAAAATAATCTTCTGTTGTTAAAGGGTTGCAAAACAATGGTTTATTGGCCTCCAGTAAATTCAACGCTGACGTTTTGAGCTCAATCTTTTCATTTTTCATACGCAAGCTCATATCTCTCGTCAGGGTCATGGTGAAAATAACCAGAACTTGATATATCACATACTCGACTTCTGTCCAGACACAAGACAGATGAAAATCTCCGGTCACAAGAAAGACGACTGGGACCGCGTCAGAATTTCTTCCTCAAATTCCTTATCATTTACAATCTGTTAGTGTTTTACACTAAGGTTGCTAAAACCGATGTATTATGCAAATGATCGGTAACACAGTCTGTATCGGAACTAACTCTCCAGCTTTTAATTTATACGGCCAATGACTGGTTATGGTGCTGTTGACTTTATTTCTTCGCTGTCTAACGCACAAACAGATCTATCACAGACGTTCACGTTCTTAGGATTTGGTCACGTGTTTCTCTCCAGGCACGTCCGGTTTCTCGAAAGGCCAGAACTTTAATTTTCGGACCAAAAGACAAATTTTAAAATCCAAACCTGTTGAATACTAGCACAGTTCCTAGCCCACAAACCAGTCAATTTTGTTTCGTTGACTGATAGTTTCATTGTATTATTTTAAAATTATTGAAACGTTGATCTTGAATTTAAACACAACAAATATAAAACAACTTTCCGTGCAAGAACGTCATTGGGACTTTCGAGAAACAGCCCCAGGAAGGTACGTTCATGGGGAGAATTGCGCAACAAGCATCTCTGCGTGAGTCTGGCTAAACCTTTTATTGACTGTGCATGTGGTAGTTGTTTCATTATTTGACTCGAGTTCTGTATGCAGAGAGGTAAATTTTCACAAATTGCCTGCCAGCACTGACACAGTTCTTGTTTTACAGGCCTAGACGGTAATGAATAGTCAAGTACTTCTCGTTGTAGCAGTTCTCTTCGCCTCTGCCTCCATCACAAATGGTGATCAGACAAAAGGAATCAGGAGTCAAGGACAATTCGGTAAGTCATCTCTAATTATGTTATTGATGCTGGGTTAAATTTAGTAAGAGAAGTTTGAGAATGTTCTAAAACGACACTTACTGCAATGGTAAAGAAGAAGAAACAATCGTCAGTCAACTTAGTTAATTCATCTCGGGTATTTTCACCCCACCTATGATGTATCCTCTCGAATCCTCGATCACAAGCGGCATGTATTAAGACAACGCATTCCTTCAATAATGTTCACTATTAAAATTATTCATTGAAATTGTTCAGTAGAATGACAGACCCAATAATACAGAACAATTCTGAACGATTGGACGATAAAGACGTCGTGTATTCTGTATTCCAAAGACTTATTGGTCACATGGTGATCGTGGTTTTCATAAATAAGGTGGTAAAGAAAGGGTTTAGATCACATTTCACGGAAAGTAAAACGGTCCTTTCACTATTCACGAAAAATAAAATAAGCATCAGTCTCATTTGGCAAGACCACGCAAGTTTGTTTTCCTTGTTGGCGATCTCGGACACCACTTGATGCGCTTCGGCCATTACGGTTGAAAATAGACATCGGCGTTGCTAAAACGAGGGTGAGGGTAAGGGTGGGGGTGAGGGTAAGTAAGGGTGAGGGTGGGGGTGAGTTCTAGGACAGGGTGAAAGCGGTATGGAAACATGTCATGTCATGTCATGACCTCTCAGTGTGAAACATGCGGCTAAAATGTCATTTGCTCAGTGTAAATGTAGAACCTTCCAGAGCATAATGTACCCAGCAGATAACAACGACTTTATTGGAATAAGCAGCAATTTGGTATGACGTAAAAGTCGTGTAGACCTACCTCAGCCTTTTATTGCTATAATATTGTTCGCAATATCAATTCATACCCCAAAGATATCCCGACAATCATTCAGATACGTTACATTTGGAGACGAGCAAACTGTACATCTAACACTTTTCCTTAAAAAAGGCAAATGTCTTTTTAATTCTGAATGTGGATGACTTTTCAAATGTAAACGACAAGAGAATCAAAGTATTGAGTTTTTATCCGAGCGGACACTTTGAAGCTCGATGTCCAGTGGATAAAAAACATATCAGTGGTCAAAAACATTGCTTTGATGCAGTGGAAAGCTATTGAGAAAGTGATTTTAATTAATAAATAATAAAATAAATTCTACGCGCCATTGGCTGTCTAAACTTGATAGGTGATTGTCACTTTTCCTTTTTTTGCTCGCAGGCTAACGATTTCAATGAACATTCGATTATTTTACAGATAGTTCTTGCTCCCTGAAATACATCAAGCATGGTTGCTATAAGGATGAAAGTAAACCTTCACTGAGGACTTTGAAAGAACTGCTATTTCAAGATCGATACAAAGGAAAAACATTCAGTGGACAAAAGATATCCTGGAAAAACTGGGCTACATATCTCCCGGAGTAAGTTAACACACTCCGCGTGATCAGAGGCTTCCTGATATGATAAGAAGTAGGGGAGTGTACGTCCTGCCGCCTAATATCTTCTCGTGATGACGAGTTACTAATACTCTGTGAGATGAGAGAGATTTTAGTATTAACGTTTTGTGCACGCTCCTTAGCGATCGCATTTCGCTCAAATGCGCATAAATTGAAAACAAAAAAAAAATATTTGGTGTTAATTCTTCATTGTTTTGGGTTAAAAATTAAAATTTTGTTTTTTACGCGTTTACTTTTACTCTGACCCCATCTTTCTCTTAAAATGACATAATCTAGTAACAATTTTCAATGTAGAGGAGCAATGAATCCTTTTTCGCCGTCAGTTCAAGTATGAAGTATTAATGCCTTCGTTTAATTTGCGATTGTTACTCCCTTTCTTATTTTTTATATCCTTTATTATATATTCCTCCAGGCTTGTTTGTCGGTGTGCAATAGCCGCATCCAAAAAAGGCTATGTTTACTTTGGAATTCAGTTCTATGGTGAATGTTGGAGTAGTGCAGACGCTGATTCTCGTTTTCATATGTACGGAGCTACCAATAACTGCGTCAACACAGACTATAATCCCTGCGATGATCAGGCAAGCAACGAGGCGTGTGCAGGGGCCAACCATTCCAACTATGTATATGAGATTGTAAAAGGTACGTTCCTTATAGTGGCTCAAGCCAGTATTTCTGAAGGCACACCCTCCTTTTTTCAACCTCTTGTATCTTAATAGTTAAATTGATCCTTATCGTAAATCCACTATAACACGTGGATTTTACAGAGGTTGAACTATATTATGATTTTGTCATTTTTGCGATCGGAGTGGAACGATCACATGGCAATGAAGCCATCAGAATTGCATGTTTTAGCTCATCATCGATTTTCTGTCCTTATTCGTGTTTTCTCTGGAAAATTGCTCCACTCTTCCTATACTTTGGGTTCATGCCTCAGAGTGCTGTGCAAAGTTTCGCGAAAAACATTCTGGAGGAATTTCGAGATCGCTCGTAATTTCAACATCTAGGCTGTGATTTATGCTTTAACTGAAGTCTTGACATTATGCTAATCAAATTTGCTACGACTGGAAGGTAGATGGTTTTGGGCAATTTCAAAAAACATGAAAGTATATGCATCAGGGTAAAACACAATACTGAGCTCTTTTTGCGAATTTTACGCATAAGAGATCCAAAGATGGAAGGTATGCTTACAAAATTACTAGGAGGAACTAACTTAAGTATACGACGGTTATTTCGTGAGAGAGTTGTGCTTAATCGGTAGTAGAACTATGCTTAAGTGTTTAAAGTTCAGGCTATTGCCATTTCTGTGTGGCTTATTTGATATCTAAATGATATTAATGTTATTATATATCTACCCAGATTTTTGAAAACGTTACCGCCAAATAGACCTCTTCGTCGAGCAGTTATTTTCGTAGCTTGCGAAAACATCCGTTTCTCCTCGCTCTTCGTCGTTGGGGACGTTTCGCGCCAGCCACGAAGAGCGAGGAGAAACGGATGCTTACGCAGGCTATTATTTTCGGCCAAAATAGCCAATATAGAAACTATGAGTGCAACCATTCTTTCTCGTTCTCTTTTTTTCTCCTTTTCTTTCCCTTTAAAGGGGTTTTTGGGTGCAAAAAACCTGCCTTATGCTCCGTTTTCTCTCAAATGGCTAAAAATTTCACCCCGTTCTAAAAAAAATTTCCCCCGTTCTAGAAATGGGCCAATTTTTTATACCCCGTTTCACTAGATATTAATGTGTGTTGTTTGCTTTTAATTTGAAGATTTTCCAGATGGAAGCGCTACAGGACCGCCTATAGAACCGCAGGAGTACTAATGGAGTTTAAATGAGAGCTTCAACAGCAATCATCGTTAACAGTCATCGATCGGGGTTTTAATAAAAATAATCAACAAGACATTAGATTCTGTAGGGACTAAAATCATTGTATTAAATTTACATCTGTTGGACCGTTTTTAAACTACATATTCATTTAAAAATTCCCGAGATTTCGGGAAAACCTGCAAGTCGCTTAAATTGTTGTTGTTGTTTTGTTTTGATATCTTGTAAAGGTCAGGGGCACCAAGCGATCTTTTTCTGTAAAAGGAATCTATTACCTCGGATTTTTTAAAGCCCGCGAAGGCTAAAGATTTTTGGATAACCGTTTCATTCGTCTGCCGGAGATATTCGTAGCTTATCTTCTAATAAACTTACTTAATTACGGTTTTCAGAGACCGGATTTTTTCTTGTTTTATTTCCAAGATCTTACGATTATTGTTTAAAAAAGCTCTCCTGTATTTTCGGTATAAAGATAAAACGTCCCCCTGTAATTTTCTGATGAAAGTAAGGCAACTCCTTTTTCTCAAACTTTCGACTGGACCCATCAAGGTATCTCAAACATCATTGCTGGATGAGAAGAAAAACCACCTAAAACTCTTGGGACAAACATCCAAACAAGCCAATACACTAATTTTGGGGCAACTTCAAACTAGCCAGACAGGCTTCTAAAGCATAGAAAAAACTATTCGAGACTGGCTTCTGACGTATTTGGAAACATTCGGTCGTTAGTTGCCCCTTAAGATCTGGATGTCGTCATTAATATCCAAACAAACGCGGGATGAGCTTGAGGTCAGAAGATTGACGCGACTCAGGTGGGCCGATGTTCTAGGTTTCGATCTCCTGCCGTTTTGTGCGCTTCCCGCATGCAAACGGGAGTCCCTCGAGAGGCGGGAAATAGCGCCTATCAATACTCAAAATTTAAAATGAATAAATACCAAGGTATTTGCTATGCCCTGCAAGCAGGTAACCTTTTACACCAGGAGAGGTTAAAGGGGCTTGTACAGTTTCACAAATATTGATTGCTACACATGGCTCTTGATGTAACTGAATCCAACAGACGAGTTTAAAGAGGAGCGTTCGCACAGCGGAGCTCCATACCTAAAAGAAAATAGAAACCTATCGATGCCAGAAGATTTGGTTATGATGCCCGGGTAGGCCTGTACAAACTCTGGGAGTAGTGGTAAAAACTCAGTGGGATAGGGAAGGGAGTTCCAGACGTGTACGTTGGTATCGTTTTGGCTCAAAATCAACTATTGTAGGGGCAACCAACGGAGTTACTCGAGTAAAAATCTAGATTGAAGTTTCTTGCGTTCGACTTACAAAAAAATGTTAGGAAATAAATTTCTAAGGCTTTGCTTTTAGGGGCTTGGTCACGCGTTTAGTCACACTCCAGAAACAACCTAGCGTCTCTTCCCCCCCCTCCCCCCTCCCCGCATCCCTTGGTTAAAGCTGTAGAAAATTCAAGGTATTATTGGCTTCTCCAAACAGATATACAGAAAACTAATAGGCGAAAAAATACACAACACGCAAAGGGCAGTTTGTGTAAACTGCAAATGTAATTAAATTATTTATGGTATTCATAGGAGGAAATGTTCAATAAGTTATCAAACTTACGCAGTCGTCAGTGACGCCAGACGTATCGTAAGAATCCTTTTTCAAAACTATTACTGGGATAGACCTTAATTTATGATCTTTTCTTTTTGTTTTAAAATCAGTTAAGTATAGAATGTTTTGGTTTGAAGTAGTTAAAAGTATGTGACGGGACGCTTCGCTTTTAGCCTTGGTTACGGCTATATATTATAAATAAAATACCCCTGAAAAAGGCAAAGTCTTTAACGTTTACCATGCTGTCGCACGGAAAAAATGGCTGAGGACGGTTTTAAAAGAAGTGGATTAAAATTGAAAACTTCAGCACGACGCTTTCAAGTCTGGAAAAAAATAGCTCTAAGACCATTAGAACTGATTTGATTTGGCAGTAGAAAGGCCAAATAAATTTGTGAAGCGGCTAAGTTACCTATCTGATGATTTCATTATTATTTCTGTTAGGCAACTTTTAATCGTGGTAGTTATAAAAAAGTATGACTGCCTTGCCACCAAAAAAACTCTTACAAAAACTGAGTTGAGCCCGCACCAAATGTTTCCACCTATTGTAAACATGCAATCACCTTCCCAAGACACCAGCTGTCACAGTTTTATAGCAGTTTTATTTTATATTTATATACAGTTTTATAAAAGGTTTTAGCTAATAGGAACCTCACCTAAACGACCACCTTTCCCAAAAGAAACTCACCCTTTTTTTTGTATGGCGGTTGTTTAATGATCTATTGTTTTCAGCCTCAGTAAGGCTGGTTTTCATTAACAACGGAGTTGGAGACAGAATCATAAGTGGAGTCGTAAGAACGCTTATATATGACCTTGTGAAAATCAAAAAGCGGAGTCGTAAGCAGTCTAAGCAGGGGCATAAGCGCGACGGAATCGGAGTCAGAAGAATCAGAACGTTTCCATTTTCTTCTGATTCCGCTGATGACTCCGTCGTTTACAATCTAGTGAAAACCAGATTGTCGGAGTCGGAAGCAGAGGCGGAAGAATAAACCAATCTCAATGCACGTTCCTACGCTTTGTGTGATTGGTTTCATAGTTATTCCGCTTCTGCTTACGACTCCGACGACCCAGTTTTCACTTGATCGTAAACGACGGAGTCGTAAGCGCAATCACAACGCTGTTTTCACTAGATCGTAAAGTTCTACGCTTCTGATTACGACTCCGACACTCACTTCGTCTCAAGTGAAAACCAGCCTGTATGGGCGACCGCTTGACACGTGATTTGAACTCTGTATTCACAGTGCGTACTACGCAACGCCGAATCACAAAGAGAAGCTTATTTTAGTGAAAACATGGCGCTGGTTGAAATCGCAACTCAGAAAATATTATGTGACGTTTATTTTAGCTCAATCGGTAGAGAGCTTGACTGTAGGGCGGGAGGTCGCAGGCTCTATTCCTAGGTCTTAAAATAGCTGAGAAATGAAAGTACTTTCTTTGCCCTGCAAGCGGTTAGACCTTCGCGTGGCTGAGATACTGACCACATAAAATGGCGGTCCCGGCTCAAGTTGGGGACTTAAACTTAGTGTCCTCAAATATTACTTTGGTGCTAAATACATTGACAGTCAAATAAAATGTTTTCAAAAAGATATATGAAAACACAAAGCTGTTCCCGATAGATACTTGCTGCGGTTCCGACTCGGAGCTACTACCGTACCCGTTCTTTTAAAAGTGACCGCTGGGTCGTGGCATTTTGGCTTGCCACACGCGTGGGTTGACTGTATGTGAGTACCTTTTACCAAACAACAGCAATGAGCAACCAGCTAAGGTGGTTAATTCAGACATTCAATGCCTACTTTACGATGGTTGTACATGTCGCTGAATTTTACTTGTTAAAAATGGGGGAAAATACATTATTAGAGACTTTTAATTAATCGGAATGAAAAACTACTTAAAAATTCAATAATCGTATGATAGCTAGCAAGGGTTCTTCTATCTAAAATTAGTAGCACGAAAATCTATTGGTTCGTTTCTCTGTTTGTTCATACTCAGCCCAAGCTGATTAACATGAAAATGGCTCTGGTTCGCATATCAGTTCGACCAGGAAACACGGAATCTTACACACGCTTCAGTCAAATTTTGCAAAAGGGACAAAAATGTAGCTGACAATTTTTTATTCTTTTGGCATGGAGGAAATGAGTTAGTCCTGCTATGAATCTTTCTTACGGAACGATTGAAACCCTTCTTTTAGTTAAAGCACCCCAAGTAAACAAATTTGTTTGAGTTTGCTAAGTATTAAGTACGCTTCATTAAAACCCAAGTTGAATGGCAAATGAGTACGGGGGTGGAAAATTCCTGCATAACGAAGCAATATCTTGCAGGGTTCTTAACACCATTCCAGCCTAACGCGAAGATTGGGGAGACCACATAGAGCTCGCCACTCTTTTACAAGCCTCAGTTATCTCTTTCCTCGTGGATAGTCTCGGGATTCAAAATCTGGTAAGTTAACTCATTGATTTTATCATTTACAAAGCTATGTGAAAGTGCAAGACGAGTTATGAAAGATCCTTTAAGTTGCAAAATCAATCCTGCTACTTGGACCTCGCCATCGCTCGGTGATGAGCTGTCGGTAGTTCAGAAACTAGTAAGCCTGTGCTAGATATTCTGATCTTACGCGCCCGATTAAAGAAATGCTCAGAACACTTTTTTTGGGCTAAGAAACCTCGACGTACGAAGGTTGCAGATCTTAACCTTTGCCCCAGATGCAATTCCACTTTACATTCTTTGAGCTCTAAGTTACACCGCCCCATTCGAGTACTGAGTTTTATCCTGTCCTGATTTCATGAAAGTGAGAGGGAAGTTAATTACAACCTAACATTCTGCGCTATTCTTAGTCTCCATTGAGAATAAAATATATATATCATCACTCACTAGGAAGCTTTTTTTTTCTTCTAGCTGAGTTTTACTTAAATAAATACAAAGTTTTAAGAAACATTTGTTATTCTTTAACTGAACCTGATCAAACCGGGGCTTCGATATTTCATAGAATTAATTGAGTAGACTAAGGCAACAAAAGGCAAGCCCATCTCAAGAAATATCCTGCCCGGTAAAAAAGATAGAAACGAAACGTTGTGAGTAAAAACTATTGTTTAAGGCCTCGGACAGCTCTCTTTATAGTTCTTTATACAAAGTAATTATGAATTGAAAATTGAGCAAAGCCATCATGTTAATAAAAAGTGTCACTTATGGCCACTGGCTGCTCTGTTTCTAAAGTCCTTGAGTCAAAAACAGTCTCACACCTTCATCAGTTGGTATAGACATGTCATAAAAAGGTTTCACATAATGCTACATTTTTTTTTCTTTCTTGATTCCAAAGTTTATTTGCTTTTCTTGCCGCGCGGTTTAAACTATTGACATTTTCATTTCCATTAAGAATTCAACAAAGAAATCAGTCGTTCAGAGAAGTCTGAGCCGCTAGTAAAAAACCGCGGTCACAGTTAACTTATAATTAAGGGGCTTTCAAAATCTTTTGCCTATGTTCTTCTTAACTTTCTGTATTTTTTTTCCGCGCTGACCGAGCGGCCCATACATTGCTTAAAAATGCACTTTTAACAAATCTTTACCAAAAATGACTTAATGAATATTTTGGTTTTAATGTAAAATGTACACAATTCCATGTTAGTTACGCCGACAAAGCTAAACGATTTGACCTGTTTTGAAGCCTAACGGTGAAGTTTTAGAACCAATTCTAACACGGAGACATGACAAGTGCTGAAAATATCGTTTTGGAGTCTCCAGATTTGAAAATTTTTCTGGAGAGGGTACCCTCCAGAGCCCCCTTACAAGGCTCGTGCCTTCGCCACTCTCGATAATGCCCCCCCTTCCCGTTACAAAAACCCTAGTTACGGACCTGCATGAATGAACAAAATGGTTTTAAGTTTGCAGCAAACAGAAAGGTTAAACTTAACAAATAATTTTATTATTTGAAAGAGCTTTTGATCTGGTATTAAAGTGTTTGTGATCTGATATTAGGAAAACCTGCTAAAACATGGATTTTTTGTTTTTGCTCACAGGATCACCATGCGCGCGTCATTAGTTTGTCTTATTTTCCTGATTTGTATCTTGGCAATAGAAGCTAAGTCTAGATGGAAAAAAGGTAAGAAATATATTAAAAATGAAATTTATTGGTCAATTAATTCTAAATGAAACGCCTATTCAGTGTGGCGAGTGTTCCGATCAAGTGGCTTAATGAATAAAGAGTGAAGGATTATTGCTGAACGCGAAGCACTTTAATACTCAACCCTTCAACTTCAGTACAGTAAAACCCAGTTAATACGGACACAGAGGTGACCATGGGGAGTGCCCGTACTGACGGAGTGTCCGTAAGGCGGGTTGAACTTAGAGAAAATGTGAGGGCTTTCTTTCCCCAGGGACACAGCAAACTGTCCGTAAAAATGAGATGTCCGTTGAGCGGGGTTGGACTGTACTTCATTGATTTTTGAAGCTATTTACTTTGCCAGACAGTTTTCTTTAGAATTAATTTTTCCATCTTTTTTTGCTCAGAAAAAACTGAAGTGAGAGATCTTGAGGAGGCACTGGAAGATCTAAGGAAATCAGGTACACTGATCAGGGGAACTTGTTTAGTATTGTCTTCCCCTCTATAATCATGATCATTGCCACCTTCATCATCATAATCATCATCATCATCCCGATCACCATTGTCATCGTCCTTATGGCTATCATAGGAATAATGACAGGGGCCTATTTATCTCTTGTAATCATCATCATCATCATCATCATCATGATTTTTATCTTCATGACTATCCTTATCTTGCTAATTAATGTCAGCATCGTGTCTTTTGGGAAAGATTAAAAGTAAATACTATTTGCGCTTGTTCAATACATACTGTATATAGTTAGGACATGAAAGATCCTTAGGCCATGTGAACACATCTAGTTCCGTTTCTACTCCTAATCAACACTATGTGGACCCATAAATGAAAATTAATCATTTATCATTTTATTTTGTTTTTTAAATTAGAAATTACTTCTAAAGGAAACAAACGAACAGGCCATCTGAAAGAGACTTTGAAAGCTCTTACCGAGGAAGGTAGGGTCAAAACTATAGGAAAACGAGTTGAGCAGCATTTTGTGTTAATAGGCTCGCTGAGATTTTGTGTCTTACTGTTTAAATCCCTGATATCTATCACGACTTCTCAACCGCCTGGCTGAAACCAAGAATAGGAATCAAACGCGTCCGGCGCCACCTAAAGTAGAAATGCCAGGGGGCTGGTTTTTTCCAAATAGCGGCTGGTAAAAAGAGCTTATCATGCTGTTCTTCATCCGCGCTGAAAATGATTCCTGATGACAGACTGAACATCTAAGAGCCGCTCTTTTATTCTCAGCGCTTTCTCTCAGCTGATAATGGTCAGCGAAAAGTGTTTTGGTGTTGACACGATGAGAATAAATTCAGGGAAGCGGTAAACGCCCTTGAGGATCAGATTTTGATGACTGTGACTTCAACGAGATCCGAACCCCTAGCCTCTGCATTGGCGCTGTAGTGCTCTACCGACTGAGCTATGAAGACCCATACATTGAGAGAGTTTGTTGAGTTCATCTTACCCGTGAAAGGAATGAACATAGAATGAAGATGATGTGGACTGCGGAAATACAATTTAAATGAAGATATGATCGTCCTAGCGGTAATTGCAATTTAAGCAATTGCAAATTATTAAACCGCCCAAAATTAATAGTACCGGAATTTTAACGGGATCGGAACTCATGGCCTCTGCGTTTAAAAATCATTATTTACTAATGACCGAATTAAATGGTCATAGAGCAGCTTGATTGCTTTGTTTGGGGTTGGCTCAATATCGGTTTGGTACAGTGTATGTATTTTCCGAACCAAGTATATTAAACCATAAGTGCCGATTTATACATAGCTGCGTTCTTAAATATAAGCCTCTTAAGTCAGCCCAATTTTTGGTTTGGGACCGGAGTTTGGAGTTCGGTAAAGTTGGACCACCATGTTTGACCTTTCAACTTGGCTGAAAAGGAGGGCGCAAATGCTTCCAGGAGCGGAAAGCGTCCTGAAAAGACAATAAAAAAGAGACATATTCAAAGACTCCGTCGGCACTTACAGTTGGAAATTTCTCAAATTTTGTTGCTCTTTTGTAGAATCAGACCCAGCAAGTGGAAACGGTGAACTCAGCCCCGAGGACTACTGAAAATGTTACCGATCTTAAGATAGCTAGATATGTTGTATTTAGCATCATTTCTAAAGCTTTTGTAAAATACTGAGAATCTGTATTGTTTCCCTTTTTTCATCCTGGTAGTGTAGGAGAAACGGGTTCCCTTTTTAGCAGTCAAGCGTTTCTTTTATTTGGAATCTGCCAGTAAAACAATATCAAGGCATTGCTTTGAAAGTGCACTATACAACCATTAGCAAAAAAAATTAAGAGGTACTTTACTACACTAAATACTCCAAAGGCCACTCATTCTCGCCCACAGAGCCCGTCCTTTATTTTGGTCAATTCGAGTGGCTGTGGGGACGTATATAAAGAGAAACTTTTTCAATTCCTGGTCATTTTTGTTATCTTCATTAGAAATGTTTTGTCCTTATTTCTGCATATTTTATGGGTCTTATCCAAACTTTGACATGTCTTTTCAAATAGTTTTTGGAGCTTTCTTTTGTTAAGGAAGCAGTAACTGTGTAACAGAAATTTTACAATTTTCTGGCCTTGAAAACTCAAGGTCATTCTCGTTGAGGGTCGTAAAATCCTTCAAGTCGGGAGACACGAGATGACATGTCGTAGGGTAATATTCCGTCAACGTCTTCTCTTGTGTGCACTGAATGGGATGAAGTTACTCTGTAAATCCAAGAGAATTGTCTACGTGGCGAATTTTAGTTTTTAAATTAAGGACAATGAAATACAATGGAGGCTGCTCTACCAGTCTTTCGAGATTATTCCCCGGACGAGCATTTGCTCGCCAGTTCCCTTCTCGGCCCTTTTACTCTTATGCATACCTATAATATTAACAAACCTCGACTTGACTGACTGAAAAGGGAATCTACTCGTAACTGTAAGGCTCAGGATTTGGACCACGGGCTGAAAAAAAGTCCAAGAGAGGACAGGAATAGATATTCAGTTGATAGGGCTGTTTTTTTTTTCTGAGATGGCTGCACGAAGGTCTTGGCTGAATTTTCACCTTGGGACTAGAAAAATCTTCTTACTTTACAGTGTATCATTGTATTAAATCTTTACACAACAGCTTTGATCAGCTGCTTTATTGTAGTTAGTATTGAAGTAATTGACCTACTTATCTTGCAAATAAACCAGACAAACTGACTATTTACAGCCGATAGGCGTCTTGTGTGTTATAATCTAATTTCCATTAAATATCTCCTTTTTTTAAGGAGGCAGGAAAATAAATTTGAGCTTCTGTACTTGGGTACTTGTGGACGTCGATTTCGGCCTTCCGTTTTCCACAAAATCTTTGGTTTTTCGGGAGAATCGATGCATATCAAGAATATTTTTGCGTGGTAATCCTGCAAGAGAGCGCAGCGCAACAATAACGACTACAGGAACGACAAAATAAGCGAAACAAAAACTCTGAAAGTACAGCACACTTTTTGGCAGGTTTCTTTGTCATTGCAAGACTTTAACGTTCTCATGACCTGATTGAAATGGCAATGCTTTAATCTGTGTACAGACGTCCCCTTCCCTTCGTTTTCGTCGCATGTAGAGGCTAAATTTAAGTGTATCACAAATTGAACAGGAGTGTGGGCCATTTCGGCTTTTAATTGTCTAAAGCCGTCATTTTGTCAATTGTCGCTTAAAATGTTCAGTATGTAATAGTGGCACCTCTCTCCCAAGGCTCTTTTCATTACCAATCGTCCTTTGCTGATTGCCTTGGTCCCGGATTTAGTAAGTTGTCGAAAGTTAGTATAAATTCTGTTAAGTAGTAAAATCCCCAGGAAAGAATTTCCGTGTCAATTCCTAAATTTTAATGGAAAAGTTAAGAGAAAAGGGACGAAATTCTAAGAGAGGCTTCATGTGATCTTTGACTCCAGATGACTTGACCACAACATGTACCGAATGCGCGGACTGACGCGACGTGGCTATCAGTCTTGCTTATAACCAGGTGCTGCTCGGCTTTATTTCTAACCAAAGACCACATGTAAAGAAAAGGAACCACTGGCTCTGGGGACGATCACCTGGTGAGCCTGCGCACTGCGGTTCGGGGATTTATTTTTTCGGCCAAAATTCTTTTGTTTTAAGCTACAATCGAATTTTATGCTTATACAATAAAATATATCTAGCCGATTTTTTGAAAACCAACCTAACGAAATTTGCAGTCATTTCATTGAAAACGCGTCAAAACCGGGCAGGTTTTTTTAAACCCTAGAAGCTTCAAAATCGTAGTAACGAAGGAAAAGGAAAGGAGATAAAGAAAGAGCGAGGTGAAGAAAAGGAGGAGAAGAGAAAAAAGCAATGGTTACACTCTTAGTTTTTATAATAGCCACTTTGGAGAAAGGTTTTGGCCGAAGAAGACTGTTGGACGTAAAAGGACCATTTGGCCCATTTTGTTGTGCTTAAGTCACTTCTGGGAATGGAGAGACAATGGAGTCGTGAAAAATTTGTAATTTTGCCCCCAAAGCCTCGGAGTCATGTTTGAATTTTAATATATCGAACGTGGGCTGTTGAAATGAAACTGAATGCTTGAGAATATTTTTTGGTGACGGGACATCGATCCAAACACACGAACTACAGCGACGCAGAGTACAAGAACTCAAAAGATATAATATTTTATACGATAACATATACTCGTTTATGCAAATTGTTTGCAAATGACAAGCAAGTGTTGGAGGTTGGTTGGTATTTATTTAATCGTTTAAGTCCTCAGCTGAATGGATAAAGGTTCAGTTGCATCCCGAAACGTTCACAATGTCTTTTTTCAGCTTGTTTATAAATGGCAAAGTTCACTTAATACGTGTTAATAAATCGTGGTCCTCTTGTGCAAATAACGAGAGGGAAAATCATTATACAGCAGGTACCTTGACAGCCACATTATGCCGCTAAATTGATAATTATTTACTTGACTGAAAAAAAAAATGAATGTAAATTTAAAGTTATTCTTTTCTGGTATTTGTGACGTCAATTACGTCAGAGTTTTGTTAATAATTAATCACACCATGATAATAACCAATAAGTCTTCAATTTACTCGATAAGAATTGCATTCCTTGACTGAAACGTTCCAGAGAGCTAATACACGAAAAAAGAACTTTGAAAGGTAGAAGTTAAGGCTGTTTTATGGTTGTATTTGAAAACAAGCTTCAAAAGGTCATCTCTTACTTTTCTATTAGCAACGGAGTTCCTTAAATTCTTAAATCACCTCGGTCTGTTGTCTTCTTGTCTAATTTAAGGTGAGTGTTTTTCATTTACCAGTGTTTTTCATTTATCCTGTTAGAGCTCAAGATTTACCATCTTGGCTGATTTAGTTCTCTTTTTTAACCGATAACAATCATTTTTAATATAGTAAGAAACCTACGCTGCTCAAATATACACGGAGGCTAGTAAGTACCTCTTCACACCTTCGGTTGTTATAGACACTGTTATTTAACAACTGGAGAACTATCTGGTAAAGAATCGATCCTTCAGTGACTCGCATTTTAAACCAGCATTTCTCCACCGTCTCTGTTTCGTTTTCAAGAGAACACTTCGTTTGAACAATTGTCCTAGTCCAACAATAGCTCACTCTTAAGCTTCAAAATATCTGTTATAGTTGTTCTTTTTTTGATGATATGCTTAAAGTACAGAACACTGAGTACTGAGAAGGAGCAATTTATAAGGTCGTGTTATTACTTAAACCTTTCCATTTTATAGACGACCCCACATAAAACTCTTTCTTCCTTGCAGCTTTAGTGGGTATTTTTGAAGCCATTTAAAAATTTAAATTCCGCCCCAAAACAAACATAGGCTGAAGTGGCTTGACATTTCAGCGATGCATGTCAATAAAAGAGATCTTTTCGGCGCCTGCAAAAAGAAGCCGTTCATTACAATACTGTAAACACTGCAGAAACCTCTTATGCTGATGAACCCACGCATCAAAGTAAAGCCATCTACATGAGGTGTTTATTTTTACCACCCCCCCGGAATTTTTAATAATTACGGTAATTAAACGAAAAAAGAGTAGAAAAATTCCACAGCTAGGCGTATAATCATGGCTTTAAAACTGTTACATGAAAAGAAAACAACGGAAAGTTGTGGTGATTACTTGAATAAATCTTCCTACGCGCAATTTGAGGGTAACGGTACAATTTTTTTTTTTAAAAAAAGCCTTTTATTTGAGTGTCAAGGTAAGTAGCGCGAAAGTCCTAATTGGGGACACTACTTTAACGTCTCGAACTGGAGACGGGACCGCCATTTTACGTGGTCTTCCGAGCCACGCAAAGGTCTAGCCGCTTGCAGTGCAAAGGGAGTACCTTCATTGCTCGGTTATTTTAAGACCCTGAGTATTGGTCCGGCCCTGGGAATCGAACCCGCGACCCTCCGCTCGTAAGCGCTCTACCGACTGAGCTAATCCTGCGCGGTTCAAGCAAAAAAAGGTCTCAGTAAATTGGAAGGTATGTTTTAACACCAGGAAGGATGTTGCTCAAAGCAGTTTCGACATTAACCTTACCTACGGAAGGTCACAGGTAAAGGTCAATTAAATATCAAAAGACAGCTAAGATTTAAATGATTTAGCTCTCCAAACTTTGATTTTTTTAATTTGTCATAGCCATGAGGGTCGCAGTCACCCGTTTACTGCTATTCGCCATCATAGCCAACTCAAATGGACGAACTCTTTCAAAACAAGGTGTGTCACTGATCCTCAATGCACATAAAGTATTGCTTTAATAACTATTACCTGTACCTTGAACATTTTGCTTTGTTCATGTGGTCTTATACGGGTGAAGTTTGTTACAAGAACCACTAGTTGTTCCCATCTCTTTTTATGTTTCGATAGTTAATGATAATTTAACTTCTTTCCATCACATTGGATCATTAACAGAATAAAAGAAACAATTATCGTATGTTGCAAGTTGTTTTATTTCATGTTATTACAGACGAGAACGAGATCATCGCAGTTATAGACGCAACTCGGTTGCGGAGGCGAAAAGAAAGCTTGCAGAATTCAGGCTTGCCGGGATTCGATCCCTTGACTTCTATAACACCGTTGCAGCGCTCTACCGTCTGAGCTAACAAGCCAGCTGGGAGCATTAACGGACTTGAAGGACCGTAAATAGGTTTTTTGTAACGGGGGTGGGTCACTATCGCAAGTGTCCAATGCAAGAGCCTTGTAGAGGGGTCCTGGGGGTATCCTCCCCTAGACAATTTTCAAATTTGGAGGCTCCGAAATGCTATGATCAGTACTTGTCATGAGATATGTCTCCGAAAATCGACCCCGAATATGAAAATGGCAAACTATTGCAAGTCACTATAATCAAAATAACTGAGCCTAAAGAAAACAAATCCATCCAAAGACCCATCCAAAGACTTGATGTGTCTACCTCAACAGATCCAGGGGGGTCCCCCCCCCGCTAGCTACGCGGGCTCTGAGTTGGTTCGTTATGAGCCGATGGAGGGATGATGACGATGAAAATTGAATAAATGAAAATCAAACAAGTCGGAATTGCGGGGTGAAGAATTAAATGAAAGAAGATAATCACAGTTTCTCGTTATTTTTTTGTTGTTATTTTAATTTTAATTTCCTAATGTCTGTGCTGTGAAGCAATTGTCTTCTTTCGTTTTTTTAAGTGTTTGGCAGTTAACCTAGCTGATGTCTTTTTCTAATCATTAGGAAAAAATGAGGATCAGTCAAGTGCGATGGAAATGTCCGTAAAAGATCTTATGGAAGACGGTAACTAATTGAGTGTGTGTAAAATGGAGAGGTTTGGGGAGGAGATAAAGTGATAAAACGTCTAGAAATTTACTTTGGATGTTGCCAGAAACTAGGAAAGAAACTATATAATATTATGTAAAACAATATGCGATATTATAAAATGTGTACAAAATACTAGAATTAGCTTTCCTAATCATAGCATAACTACTTGAGTGTGTGTAAAATGGCGAGCCTTGGGGAAGGGATAAAGTTATAAAAAGCCTAGAAATTTACTCTGGAAATTGTTAGAAACAAGGAAAGAAATTATATAGTTATATACATATATAAAAATATGCGATATAATAAAATGACTATGTACAAAATAATAGAATAAGCTTCCTAATCATAATATAACCAATTCAATAAAAAAAGTATTACGGGAGCACAAGTACACTTGAGCGTACTATGATGAATGCTGCTTACTTAGGGTGATAAGTGTTCACACAAAAATCCGTAAGTATCCTTGAAGTAATCGGGGATGCCAATCAAGTTTATATTCGGCAAAATTTCGCATACATGTTATAGCGTGAGTAGGATTTAAACTACTACATGGTCAAAACGTAACTTTCATCATGAGACCTCGAAAACATCGAACTGCTTACTTCTTATTTCTCATAATTTGTTACTGTAACAATAAAAGAGCTTTGCTGAAGATTTGTGCGATTTAACAGAGGAAGCGAAGAGCTGCTTCTTTTATTACCGAGATTCTCTATACCATCCTAAAAATAGCGCTTGAATTTCGATTCGGATTTATTTCCAACAGAAACAGAGACAGAGTCCCATTTTGCAACAATGAAACTTGCCTCCAGTGCTTTGACTTATTTTGTTCTACGTTCTCCTCGTGTGCAAATAACAAGACGAAAAATCATTATACAGCATGTACTAACCTTGACAGCCACAGTCATAAGGCCGCTCACTTGACAATTGCCTACTTGAATGGAGAAAAAATAACGAATGTGAATTAAAAGTTATTTATTCTTTTATTTTTGCCGCCTCTCTATAGAAAACCTCATGAACCCTCGCGCTTTTTCTGGTATTTGTGACGTCAATTATGTCAAGGTTGGATGTTACAAAGAAAAGAAGAATAATGTGGCGCTTCCACAGGAACTGTTTCAAGATAGATTTGCAAATCAGCCTAACTATAGTGGACAGAATGTTGATTGGGCTGATTACAGTAATTACCTTAAAAGGTAAGGAAAATAGAAGTTAGCTGAAAGAGTATTGATCAGAACAAATGGTCAAATTATAAAAGGCGTTCAAAGACAACCAGGCTTTGATAGATGGTGCTTGCAAAAGAAGCATAATGCTACTAGCAGGGTTTGTAAATTTCTAAAATTATGCCAATAATAATTATGATGTTAGTTTATGTAAATTATGCTTATTTAGCAATATATGCAGAAATTTTATGCTTCTTCTTTTTACATTAAATTTGGTAAATATACCTCAATAACTATGCAAAAAAAAAAAAAAACAAGTCAGGATGGCAAACATGTTTACGGTATTTTCATCTAGAAACTTAAAGAGTACATAATTCATTTGCAGAAAACTGTATACACATTATCGTGGGTCTGACCGAACGTGCCAGTTAGGCGCATGCGTTGAGTTCTGTGAAAAGAGTCGTGGGTCACTTCCCGTGGGAGTCAGGTCCCATGAATGTGACAATATGCAGACAATCGTTTGACAATTGTTAACGTCACTTAAATTTGCCCGTAACACTTATCTAGGGCTGAAAAAATGGTTGCATGATCAATAGGTGACAATTTTGTGCTGCAAAACTAGTCAAAAGGGCAAATTATACTTGAGCAGTGCTTTTTTCAGGAAATACATGAAAATTATGCTTGTTAAATGACAAGTTACACCAAAAATTATGCTAGCATAATCTATCAATGCAAAGCCTTGCGACAACTGATAGTCACTAACACCTTTCCAACTAAACACACGCAAACACACAGCAAAAATCTCATTGGTTCTTGCATTATTTTAATAGCATAAGTAGAGTTGAAAAAACTTATTGACCTTATATCCAAGGTATATATTATTCTTAGAGTTATCACACTTTCTATTTAATAAAAATTATAAGAGCGCACTTAATTCCTCTTTGAAGAATTGCGCTTACGAAGAATTCAACTACATTAACTGAATCGCCATAAGGTAACTCGGGGGCGAACCCCATGTATGATCATTTCTTCAATACAGTTATAACAACAACACTCAATCCGGTTTTTCAACAAATTTCAATTTTTTCAAAATGGCCGGTATATTCTAAAGGTTTTAATTTTGATTTCAATGCTTTGCAGTCTGGCGTGTCGATGTGCTAAAAAAAGTCAAGAAAAGAGTTTTAAATACTTCGGTCTCCAAGACTACGGCCGCTGCTTTAGCGGACAGCACGTGGCTTCCACTTACAACACCCATGGTAGCTCCAACAACTGCTATAACCAACATTACAAGAAATGTGACGACAACGCCTGGGGCGAGTGTGTGGGCAAGAATAACAATGTTAACTACGTGTACGAAATACAAGAAGGTACCTATAGAATACTTGACAGCACGTTCCACAGCATGGTTGACCTCCCCATTCATACGTATTTCTTTCGGCTTGAGAATACCGCATGATTTATTTAGTCTAAATAAAAGTACTACCGACACGCGAGCGAAGAGTATGAAAATACTTCCCAGTAATATCATCTCTGAGGCACTGGAGAACTCCGATGACTAAAAGAGGATGCTAGCGAAAACATACAGTACGAAACATAAGGCTTAATGAACCAAAGCAATAGCTCTACGAGACATGTGTTTTAAAGACATTTTGTGGCATGTTGTTTCCTGACGTTCCCGTCTGGGACGAATAATAATAATAATAATAATAATAATAATAATAATAATAATAATAATAATAATAATAATAATAATAATAATAATAATAATAATAATATTAATAATAATATTTATAGAGGGAGCCCAACTCGCCAAGGCGGTTTTCAGTGGGGCCCTCATGCATTAATCTAAGTAATTAATTAATAATTACGAAAAAAGTAAAATATGTTTACAAGTAAAACAAATTTTAAAATTTAAAATCTTAAAATCGATTATACAAAAAAACATCAAGGTTTAAAATTAGCTGAGATCTTTTAAAAAAGTTTTTAACTTGGATTTAAAAATTGATAAAATATTACACTCTTTTAAATCATTTGGAAGGCTGTTCCAGTCTTTCGCGGCGTGAAAAATAAAAGTTTGTTTACCCCAGTTTGTTCTGGGTAGGGGTAAGCGAATATCATTAGAGCGTCTTGTATTATATGAATGAACAGCTTGACTTTTAGTAAAATTAAAGCTGAAATCGGTTTCTCCAATAAGACACTTGTGGATTGCAATGCAGCGATGAAAAAACCTTCTTGTGGACAGTGACTTCAAATCTAGACTTTTCAGTGCTTCAGTTGACGAGCTTCGGGGGTGGTTGCCCCAGCATAACTTTAACAGCTTTATTCTGTAGAATCTGTAATTCTGACATGATGGTGTCATTGTTCTTGTCCCCCATATAACGTCTCCGTAATCAAAAAAGAGGGCGGATTAGGGCATTGTACAAGGCAACTCTAGCTTGTAGCGGCAATAGATTCCTGATTCTCCTAATTAGGCCTATTCTCTGATTAATCTTCATGCTGATAGCATCGACGTGATCTGCCCAGGACATAGACTGTTGAAGCGTTACGCCTAGGTATTTGAATGATTGTGTTCTTTCAATGCTAGTGCCCTCTACTTTAACCGAAATGCCTTGAATACGATTCAGTTTCTGAGGACTTCCAAAGATAACAAAATTACATTTGGATATATTTAGTGTCAGGAGATTTCTAGAGAACCACTCAGACACTGTCCCCAAGTCAGCATTGATGTGATGTTCAAGATCACTGACGCTTTTGGATGAGTAATAGAGTACAGTATCGTCTGCATAAAGAATAATATCGTTTGCCAGGGGACAGTCCGGAAGATCAAGATAATAATAATAATAATAATAATAATAATAATAATAATAATAATAATAATAATAATAATGATGATGATGATGATGATGATGATAATAGTAAGGAGTACTTATATGACGCAACATGTCCTAAAAGCTCATGGCGCTATACAATAGCAAAAATACAAAGATTAAAATTTAACAAAAAAAATTAAAAGAATAACAATTACAATTTCTTTGGCAACGATAATACGGATAAATATCAAAATGTTTCTTTACAATATTTAAAAAAATAAAAAATGAAAATGAAAAAAATTAAAATAAATTAAAATAAACAACATAAAACTTCGCCAAAAAATATAACATATATGTACTTTGGGATGAAAGTCTACAGGCAATATGTTCATATAGAAACTCATTACTTTACTTCTTTTCATCTAATATTAAAAAAATCGCACTTTAGAGTTAGAAAACGTTTAAACTTAGAGTTTTAAAGACAACTGCATGCCAATTCTGCATGCCCCAGTGGGTAGCCTTGGGCGCCTCTATGCTGGCAACCAGCCTGCGTAAAGCAAAAATAACCAAATAATCTTATCAGAACTTTTTATCTTTTCTTTATCGGTGACGTTTTTTTTAAAGTAGCCGTTAAAGTTGCTCGGAAAAATAAGAACATTTTATCGAAATTAACAAGGATCAGTTTCATCCTAAGTGTATAGTGATTGTGTTGATTTAAAATCTGAATATCTAATTGATACTTAATTTCGCGTTTTTCTCGATTTAAAAAAAAATCGCAAAATTTAACACCCGCGAATATCCTCGCTACAATTCAACACGCGAAATGTAATACCCATATAAAAAATTCAAACCACACAAAAAAAAAAAAAAAAAAAAAAACGTCAACTTGTAATAACAACAACGTATATAGCATATGTTTTACTTGTAAGTTCCATTTTGTATTTTCTGTTGTGAAATAAGGTTAATTTGCCAAGATTTCACACATGGATTAAAAAATATAAATGTAGAGAATCCTTAAATGTGCGTTTTGCTTGTTCCAGTTTATCTAAAAATTTTCAAAAGTTCAGACTATTTAAAAAATAAAATGAAATTTAATTTTCTGTTTCCTATTTGCCCATTAAAATCGAGAAAATATAACCCTGCCAAATACTGTTTGGCCAAAATTGCGAAATTAAGTACACTCCTTTACTTAGGCTGCTTCTCAGTTCGATTAACCACAAAGCAATATTCTTCTATCGATTATTAATGGCTTTATGTTATCCTTTATGTTCATTTAACAGCTGGAAGTGCTAATGGCGAGATTGGTTATGGTCAAAGCTACGACGAAACGTATGGCGGTGAAACCAAGGAACATTAGAATAAATATAACATCATTTTATTTGCTCCCATTTGTTTGCTTTTGACGTTCTAGGAGCTGTCATAATGTTTGAACAAAGATTTTGTGCTAGATTTTCGTTTAAAAAGTGTAAGTGTTACTGGGTTTTTATTCTCTCAATAAAATGTTCACTTTATGAAAAATGGCGAATATTTCTTCTAAAAAACAAGGAACCAGGTCATTCGAGAAAACACCGATTTTTTGCGTTGGGGTATTACAACTTGATTTTCTTTTGGTTCTCTTAAAATGTGACCAATTTGAAAAGCAGTAAGAGTTGATCGCACCTATTCCTAGCTTGTTTCGACACCGCTGCTGTAATCCTACCCTTATTATTGCGGCCTAGCTGATGCATGTTTACTAACTGAAAAGAGGGCAAATAATAACAAAGTGTTCGTGTCATTTGCAACTAGTGAAAATTTATACGCACAGCCGTAATTTTAATTAGTAATGTTTATTAATCCTTACTCCACTATATTCATTGTTTTATTGCTCTTCTTAAGCAGTTTGGGCACCAGGTGGGCGAAGAAACGAGAGAGTTTGATAGATATAAAGGTGATCAAAGGGACGAAGAGTTTAATAATTTATAAATAAGAGACAGATGGAAATAGTCCAATCATGAAATACGAGTTTTAAAAACTCCTACTTGATGTAGAGTGAGGCTAATAAATTAGCTCAAACCCAAACCTTTTAATTAATATGAAAGTGAGTTATATTTGAGTCATAACTTCGCACATGTGTCTTAGTTGAAGAAAAAAAATGCTTGGGTCAATCCAGAAAATGGGATCAACTGAAGAGTTCTCTTGACCTTATTCAACAGTAAAATGCAAGTGGTCAGGAGAGGTCAATCTACTAAAAACTAAGTTGTATTTTACTTCATGCCCTTTTACTACTCTTCTTGACTTATTTGAAGTTACATTGGGGAACCTCCGGGATCTAGTTTTAAGACGAAGTATTGCATTATCAAATCTAGGAGAAAGAACCTTTTGCTGGGATGCACCGATATCAGGAAGCTTAATGGCAACGTCAAAGGCGAAGACCGCAAAAAGGTCATTGTTAAAATTTTCCCGCTTTTATTCAAAGTTTCTCGTGATTATTTCAGCTGCCTTAAAATATAAAATGTTGGTGAATTCCTTGGAGATGAAATCTTAGGGACGTCTCCCAAAGTTTACAAAGCGAAAGAAAGATTCGTAGTGGTATGTTTACCGGCCTCGTATGTTTTCTCTGGTCGTTTTGACATAGAAAGCGGGCCCCGTCTCCATACCTCAAGGACAGAATCCTTCACTATATTTTGATTTAGTGGCTTTCCTGTCCCAACTGTTTAAAATACCCTTTGTACAATTATTAGGCCAAGCGATATTTTTAAACTATGCAGAATTTGTTCCTCTTAACACTACAGTCGAACCTTCACTAAAGGCCACCTCCGACCACAATAACCACCTCTGTACAAAGGCCACTTTTTTGTCCCGGCAAACAGTCCATACGTTGAATCTTGTTCAAACCTCGCTGCAACGGCAACGGCCACTACAGCGCGTCTTCAGCTGCCAAAATAACCTCTTCAACAACAATCAGTTTTTTTCCGCGACTGATGAAAAAGTCAAGAATAGTCAAGAATATTTGATTCGTAAAACACTTTATTTTGATTGCAGTGTCTGCAGTGAGCTAAATTGTCCACGATACTTATAGCGCATGTTGCAATCCTTGATCTTTTTGTCACCGTCACATTTTGATTCAAAATATTATCCAAGTTTTTTGCGTATTTTATCTCTTTATAATTATTATATACACAAAATTGGACAGTAAGCATTAACTAGGCACAATAAACATATACTCCCTAAGAAAAATTCATATCACACCCCTATCTCCCCACAACAGCCACTTTCTTCTGTACCCAGGGTGGCCGTTGTACAGAGGTTCGACTCATCTCTTTAAATAAATACGTTCCTGTTACCTGTCCCTCATGGCAACTGGTATGTTCACTTCCAAGAAAAGAAAAAGGAAAATAAGCAAATAAAAAGGAAATGAACGTTAAGGAAAATGATCTTTGGACCTATCAACGGATTCGACTGGATCAACGAAGTTTCTATCCAATTGAAACTTCCTATCTGATTGAAACCTAAGAGGTTCCTCTTGTGTATGGCTTTTAGAAGTCGTTAGCGTGGCTTGTCATCAGTCGCTTAGTTGGTTTGTTTTATACACCCCAGTGCGTAAATAAACCAACCACGCAACTGCCACTCAAGAGAGAAACCTCTGCTCACAGGGTATCGAAGGGCTAAAGAAGCTTAACGTAGGGGGTGTACGATTCTCGAGAATGATAACCATTATAACCACGGTATTTGGATTTCCTCCGGTTTCTTTACAGTCAAACCAGGTCAAGCGTTCCCGTCACTAGCAAACTAATGAATTCATTAATGGAAAAATGATTTCGTTTGTTGATTCAATAATCCATTCATAAAATGAATAATCCAACAATCAAATTGGACCTCGATTCAATAATTAAATGTTGATTTGGTTTATTAACAAAATCTACCTGTTCTTTATTCTTGTCTGTTGAGTTCAATCGTCTTTGCTTCCCTTTTCCTGCCGTTTACGACTGCGTTTGTAATTGCCTTTAATCAAAATAACAGCTAGAAGAGACAGACCGCAAACACAAAGAAACTGACAAAGGCCGGGGATCGAAATCCACCAATCACCGCACATACACTGACCTTAGTTTCACTATCGTGTTTCCTAAGAGGTCAGGTCCGTTGCAGTGAATACTGGAAACAAAGGGCGCTTTCCATTTAGTCAAAATTTCCGGAATTTCCGGTTCGGCGGTAAATGGAACACGTTTCGTCGGTTCGTCCCACTGGAAAATTCCCAGAAAAAGTGGAAAATCTAAAAAGGTGGTGCCGTTTTCCCGGTTGGAATTTCCGAACGGAATGTCGTGTTCCATTGACTTTTCTTGTAGTTTGTACCAGTTCCAGGTCCACGGTCGGGCACCCGGCCACGTACCGGGGTTTACGACCAAATGGAACAACTTTTTACCGATCGGAAATTCCACTTTTGCTACCACCGAAATTTCCGGGTTTTTTTCGTAAATGGAAAGCGCCCAAAATGACGTACATGTAACAGTTTGTTTGGGTTTGAAATTCAGAACTCGCCCGAACTCGACTCTAAGAAAAAAAGGAGAAAAAAAAGTGCAGTTTTTCTAAAAACAGTAATCGAATCAACATTCGATTATGGAATCGAGGCTAAATATGAATATTGGATTGTTCATTTTATGAATGGATTATTGAATCAATAAACGAAATCATTTTTCCGTTAATGAATTTATTAGTTCGTTAGCGACGGGAACGCTTCACCTGGTTTGACTGTAATATATCGACAACATAAACCTATATAAGATGAGCAAAAATTTTGGGTAAATAGATGGATTTGGTTTTTGCCCATTATTGCATGTTAAGGCCACTGTGCAAATTACTTGATGGAAATATTTATTGTTTTTATTGCGTACAAGCACACATAATGATTCTCTTCAAATAGATAATCTTTATCGATAGACTAACTATTTTTTATGGATACTACTAACATGTATCAATTCAAGATTGGATCGCTAAAAAGTAACCAAGATATATACACTTGATGGTTTTGCCTGTCGAGAGTCAAAACTCATTCAACCTCTGTGGAATTTGAAATGGATTATTCACAAATTTCTTACGAAATCCAATTTGAACATAAATTTTTAATTGGACATTATTTTCATTTAATCGAAAGGAAATGGCAAGAAAGAGTTTTATTTATTCAAGTGTTCCAATAAGCCGATTCAAAGCAAATAGAATTATATCAGAAATAATAGCCACGCTTTAGCATTGTCTGGCAACAGAGTTCTTTGGGAAGCAACCTTCACTGCTTCATTTTTTTTTATTCCACCGACCTTAATTTTCTGTTCAATTCTGTAGTCAAAAAGCTGCCCTTTATACTGGTCCACCAAAGGTAAGTACAGTAAAATTACCATCAAGGTTCATCCGGTTAAACGTTCTCCTTAACATTTTGCGGATTTGTTCGCTCTTTTCGGTTTTCTTATATTTTACAGAGATTTACATCAAACATTATTGAAAAAAATACCCTTCCCCGTCCCTCAAAAGTGCATGGGAACTACTTGGACACAAATTTAGCAATTACATCCAAGGATCGCTTGTTTAGTATAAAATCTGCTCTAAAGATAAGCAATGTATAGATATGGGTATGACTAAAGATAGAGAATAGCTTGTAATTTTTAAAGTGGCGGTTGTTGATCGTATACATTCGTGTGAACGATTTTCTATTTTTGACTATCTAAGAAAGAGCCTGAGGACATAATTAGGTCCCTCTCTTGCAGGAACTCGAATTCGTTTTCTCGCCAGAAAGAGAGGTTAAAAATGGTGATTAAGTCTCTTTAAACAAGTGTAGCGAGGTCTTGTCTTTTATCGATGTCCATTATGTGTGGCAATTTTCAAATGAATTCTCTGAGTAGCTCCTTAGCTCCTCAGATAACATTTATTATTATTATTATTATTATTATTATAAAATAGACAATTTTATTAAAAAAAACTATTAAAATCCTATTTACAATTAATTCGCTTAAAAAAAAGAAAAAACTATTCATTCAAAAACACTATTTACAATTTCTGTCGATTTAAAAAGCACTTAATTTAGCTTAAAAAAAAAAAAGTTAATTAAAACTAAGAAAAATTTTTTTTCGAATTAAAAAAAACATTTCATTTCAATAAAAAAAAAACTGTCAACCTCTAAGATTCAAAAGTTTCTTTCAACTGCTAAAAAAACAACAACAACAAAAAAATAGTAATAATAATAATGAAATAAAAAGATATATATGAAGTAAGGAAACACATCAATAGTCCGATTTAATGGCTCCTTCAGCAACTTCGACGTCGATATCAACATTCTTAATGTCACATGGCACTCTTCTGGTCCTAGAGCCTCGAAGACAAACCAACGCAGATCTCAAAAGCGCGAATGAGGTTCTGGTTCTGATCCATGAGATGGTTTTGGCATACTGCTCCCCTTTTTTGATGGCAATCAGCTGTGCTAAACGGCTATGATACTTCAAGCACTCCTTTCCCATTCCGCCAGTTGTGGTGAAGACCAAGGGTGTAAATGTTCCATGCTCGATGTCCAGGACTCTCTCTGAGTAGAGACGCTTTTTCTCGTTCTCATGGATACGATAGATTTGTTGTGGCTCTAGGTCCCTATACGATACAGCATTAGGGTGACAGACCCTCACATCGAAGAATGCTGAACGATGTCGCTCCCAGAAACCACGCGCATGGATATCTAACCTCGCATCCTGAGCGTTGTTATTATTATTATTATAATTCAACGCAAGTTACTGTTAGTGAATTTTACATGATTCTGACAACCTTTTCATGTTTGCGATCGATTTAAACTGAAGGGACATTATTTTTTCACGACCTATAACGTCCAGGTGATCGACGGCAACTGATGATGATTTCTCTTTACTTTTTCAGGAAATCAAAAAATCAAAGAAAGAGAGCGAAGAAATATGCTTCATTCAGTTCAATGCATTTTTTTTCTGGCGGCGTTGTCAATCGCCCAGTCAGGGTCTTCAAAAGGTAAAAGGATGATCTTTGACTTTTTGGGAATTTAGGTTGCGCTGGTACCAAGCCGAGAAAACATACAGGTTGGCCTGGTTAGATGTATGATGTGATTACTGGGATCAGCCACAGTACATTCCATTTCTTTTTAAATGGAGGTTGACGGTTACTCGATCAAGGCCGCCAACTAAGGTCAACTGATAACTTATGGTACAAACGAATACGCTTATATATTACAGTCTAACCTCTCCTTACGGACACCGCTATAATACGGATAGTTTGTTTGGTCCCAGAAATGCCAAAAATCATACATTCCCTACCTCTATAATACGGACACCTCTGTAAAGCGGACAATTGGTTCTGTCCCTCTGGTGTCCGTATTAAAGAGGTTTGACTGTTTTCAAAAGCGGCAACTAGTTAGATAAGGATGAGGATAAAGGACCATCACACAGTAATGGGGCTCAGTGTATAGAGCAAAAAAGCGCTTATTAATGAATGCACCCCCCCCCCCCTAAAAAGTAAGTTTTGGTTCCCTTTGTTCCGAGTAGAGGAAACAAAAGTTCATTGTTTCACGGACATGAGTCAAGTAAGTGCTTTCCTTTATTTTAAATTCCCAACTCGACAACGAAACAAAAAATAATTAAATTAGATTTTTGGTCATGAGCTGCAAAAACAAAATGTTTGAGCGGTTCAATTAGTTTTCCCGCTGTTTGAATGTACGACGGATGACGTTCGGGTGGTTGTAGGAAATTAATACCTTAGGGATTTAGATTATCTTTATACATGGCACGTGATAAGTTCTCGTCCAATTGTGAAACGTTTGTTGAGTTGGAAGGTCTAAGTCAATCATGTACAATTTTAGAACGGGGACAAAAGGCAAATTAATAGTAAACGGTTGTGAGGCGGTTAACAGGACTATATGTCTCAAGTGCACCTTTATGAACATGCCTAAGTCGTAAATTTGGCTGAATGATCCAATGCAATAAATTAATAGTTGTAGCTTATCGTTGATTAGCGTGAAATTCAGGTGAAATACATTTCTCGCAAGTCTGAGCTACCTGCCCCTTGTATTCATTATAAACTTCAAAATCAAACCGGAACAACTACAAAATCATTCCAAAAACCGATGAGAGTTTTTAACAAAATTAAACTTTTTTTTCAAATTTTTACCACCATCACTTCCCGATTCCGACTTAAATTTTTCAATCAACCTTTAGGGTATTTAGAATGTTGGCTTTATCTTTTAGTACTTATGTATTGTATACTTAAGCTGGACTAAGCTACTTAGTAGGCGGCAACGACATCTTTCCAACTTCACTCATGTGTTTAAAAGGACTTGTAGCTCGCAGTAATATCAATCTATTGCACAGTGCGAGTCGACCATAATTATAAAACGAGGAGCAGTAAATTTAATGCTGTATTTGCGCTTTGAGAACTGAATTTTTAGAAAGACATCCATTACATACTAGGGAGCATTAGGACCTACAATGAACTCAGGACTCAGCAAAGCAATGCAAATGTTAATACCTCAGTTCAAAGAGATGCTGAGGACTGTTATTTTGTAATTTTGTTAAACAGTTCATTTTTCAAGTATTTGCCTTTTCATATTTCGTTATATCCTCATGTATTTTTACATTCAATTTTAGTTTATCAGGACCCCCTTTGAAGTCAACCCTGATGAAAAGACAAATCCTGTATAAATATACTATATTTATACTGGATTTGCCTTTTCAGCAGGATTGACTGAATAAAATAAAATAGACAAATAAATACCTTATCAATATTCTCTCAGGACGTTATACATTCCCGTAACTTACGTACCACATTTAACCTTTGAGTGAAACCATTTGGCGATTTAATTTTTTTCTCACTTAGTTTCTCGTTCATTGACTTAATTACTTACGAAGGTGCTCACCTTTTTCTTTAGACTAACTGACACAAATTCTCTTAGACTTCAGGAATGGTGATGTGGAGAAGCTGTATCGCAGATTTTTACAAGGTGGGATTTAGCTTTAATATATTTACATTATTATTCTTTGAAAATATATTCGTCCCTTTATGATTGGCCTAAATACTTTCAGTACTTTACTCTGGCTAACTCTCCATAAGCATAAGTAGCCACCGTACCGTTACCCAGTTAAAAGTCTATGCTTTGCCTATGGAGACTTTAAATTGCGAAAATTTTATGAACCAAAAAAAAGAGAAGTCCAACTACTGCAAACCCCATGTTTAGCGAGGGATAACACCTTCCGAGATCTGCCTTTTAACTTCTTCATATCATAGGAAAGCCCAATCCCATACCTGTTTTATTATTCATTTAAAATATTTCCAACTTAACTTCAATCTACATGTATGCAAATTTCTCGTGATCATGGACGTTGGTCTGTTTTTCGGCAGTTTTAGCACGTAAAGAGTTGTTTAGCCCACCAGATATCAGTTGTCATCCATCAAGTGGTATTTTTCACTATTCTTGGTATGTTTTTAGCAGCGAGTTCGGCTATTGCGATTTCTTCTTCGCATAATTATCTCAAATTTTCGCTCCTCTGCGAACGCACCAGCATACACGATGGCTACTAAAGAGCAGTTGTAAGCCTTTTTTTTCCGAGAAGATTTAGATACAGCATTTGAACGACATAAAAGCCGCATCTCATTAAATTACGCGAATACTGTGCTCGAGCTTAAATAGCACCCTGTTTCATTCCTTGGCCAGTTAATCACTATCGAGGCATCGCCAAACAAAAACAAATCAAGTTAATCGTAATAAAAGTAATGATGTCGACGGTGTCCGTTCATTCCTGACCATTTTCCACGCCTGCAGTCCACTGGTAGAGGGCAGCGTAACATGAGCCTGCATTCAGCGGTCATTTTTAGTGCGTGGTCACTTTTGCCCACAGTGGGTTTGAGTCTGGGTTGGCTCGACCGAGTGGGCCTGGGTCCGTGTTGACCGAGTGGGCCTTGGCCCAAGTTTGGTTCGGTTCATTCTTGGAAATGGTCCGTTGCTAGTGTTCACTTAAAAAGGGTCTCAGACTCCTCAGAGTTGCCCTGAGTATAATCAGTAGTTACGTCTATGCGAAAAAGTCTATCTATTGAGTCAGTCATGTAGCTCACTGGTTGCGCAAAATTGCTCACAACAGCCCTAAAATTCTTTAAGTTGACATATGATTCATTCCCCTGAAGAGTCACCTTTGGTTACTGGTGATAAACTTAAGACCAATAAAAAGTCAACTCCATGAGTTCTCAACACAGAAATCATCAACTTTACTAAGTGCAATATTATATTTGCCTTTAATTACAAAGTGCCGAAATTCACTCCAGACTCTGAGTAACACATAAAGTCGGTCAACATGTTAACTGATATTTGTCACGTCGAAAGTTAGCCTGCGTTACAGCCTACCCACGCACTCGTCTAAACCATTTTTATAGTCCGTCTATACAGAGGCTTTAGAGAGTTTGCGACGCAGGAAAGTCGAAAGTTAGCGTCTTGTAATCTTTGTTGAAAACGCTGCTTATTTGTTGCTTTATTTCTTCATACCGGACTGCTAGATCCTGTATCACTTTACTACAAGACGTCAGACAAAGCCATTAATAGATACAGCACACGGCAATATGAAGCGAAAATGTCAGTAAGCCCCAAACAACAAACTCTAGGCTCTAAACTTTTCCAGTCCTCCTCTTATACTCAGTTTCCCAAAGAGAGAATTTTTACTCGCATCTCCCTATGATATTTATCACACTTTCTTTGCTTCATTCACTCTAAATTTATAATCATTTGTTTTAATTGCTCACTTTTAACTGTATTTACAGATGTATCGGATGAACCAGGCGACTGCAGCGTCAAGTACCAGAAAGTCGGTTGCTACAATGAAAACAGCGGCGACAGATTGCTGACTAAACAAGTTTTCAGTATGCGGGACGAAATAGACTGGACACCCGGGAAATGGGAGAACTTTCTGAAAAAGCAAGTGTTTATGTTAATATTTAATTGAAGCTAGCTTTGAACCGTCTCTACCGTCTTATAGCTAACTGTGCGCACCGAGACAAAGATACAGAAACATTGAATTTGTAAACGAGCTCAGTACATATTTTTCTTTCAATGAGGTCGTTTACGTTAGCTAATGTTTCAGACAACATTTCTCTTACGTTTGTTGCGTTTTAGCTAGGCCAGTTGCACGAGCCTATATATACCACTTAGCACCCCTAGCAGTTGTCGCTTCGAATATAAGACATTGACTCTATTCTTGTGAACAGCATTTGTGCAACAGGAACGTTGTGAGATCTGGATATTCGAGGGCAGGTTGTAATAGGCTATAGTTCGACTTGTGTTGAAACATGTGATGTTCCTCACCCTTTAGCATCTATTCCATTCTATTTTGAAATTCCACATTCAAATCACCATTTTACAAATCTTTCATTTTACATTCGCTTCTTTTTCTTACTTATAAAAAATTCCAAGCTATACCAATCAACACATATGAAAAATTGTATAACAATCAATATTTAATAGTACAGCAAATAGACGGAAGCCTATTCCATTCGTACAATTTTTTTTCGGCACAACTTATACTGAGTCCGGCTTTTCTATCCCAGATTAGCCTGTCGCTGTGCAAAGGAAACTCGTGCTTTTGGGTACAGCCACTTTGGGCTTCAGTTCTTTGCAGAGTGTTGGAGTGATGCCCAGGCAAAAGAGAGGTATAACCGATACGGAAAATCAAGTGTCTGCACTGGATTCGAGTACAAGACATGCAATGATAAAGATGAGAACGAATGTGTTGGGGGCGGAAATAAAAACTACGTGTACGAGATAGTGGAGGAAGGTAAAGAAAGCAAAATCCTAAAAAAATTAGGTTATAACAAAACGAAATGGAACAACAAGACACGTCACCACCTAGATATTGGTACTGCCTCTGATTGGTCGCACCGCTTGAGAATTTGCTTTATCCAATCAGAAGCAATACCCAGATTTGGGTAGTGAGGCGTCATCAGTATGGAATTTTTGCGCTTGTTTCTCTGAAGTTATTTCAAGGGAAACCTGTGGTGACGTCGCGAAATTTCGACTGTTTTTTTCAGGCTTAGAACACTTAAAATAGTGAAAACAACGTAAAATGGTATATGTTATGGTTCGATTACGTGTACTAATAGAGAGCTTAAGATTTGAGGACGATCTGGATTTCACTTGAAGTTTTTTCGCGCATTCTCGAAAATTATATATTCAAGCCTGGAAGCTTCATTGTACTATCTCTGACCCGAAAGTTTTTTTAATTGGAGATGGCTTAACCCTTTCCCGATCGAAATATGATTAATTATTATAATTTGGTAACTTGTTCCCGCCACTGCGACATTCACTTCTCGCTAAAAGTCGAAGTAGAATGACGACGGATATGACGTTTTCCCGCCAAAATGACGTTGGCTCACGCAAGAGCGCTACTTCGTACCGAGAAAATCTCGTACTCGTAGTCATCCTCGTCTCAGAATCTGAAGCTGTCTAATATTTTACAATCTGTTGCATTGTTGCAGAGGACGGAAGCGCAAGTGGAGTTGGACCTAATTCATAACTGACGAGAGACAATACTCTTTTTCAAATGCATGTAGAAAAGCAGTTTTAAATAAAGGGATGAGTACAACGGCTATAACTTCTTGACTGGTTATTTTGGAATTTTGCAATATTAACAGTTAATGTAGAGCTAATACACATTATTAAAAACTGAATCATTGGATAGTGCAATTCTAGCATTTTGATTGGCTTAGCCGTTATGGTATATGAGCTATTATACCATGTTCTCCATATATGGTCGGTGTACGCGTCAGTTTAAAATTGGAAGCTAGCTGAGATTTTTTTTCGCGAAGGATAGAACGGCGCCCGAAGCAAATCGTTTTAATTCATTTCTTAGAATACTAGAAATGCAATTTCATCGAAAGAAAAAAGACAAAAACAAACAAAAAAGCCACAAGAGCTTGTTTGAAAGTTTGTCGAAAAACACATGAAAACACATGGAACTAAAGTACCTTGACCAGCTACGAAAGAAGACAAGTGTTGTTTCTTCATGATCGCGAAGCCATTCGCCGATCTAGTCCCTTGCCGATAGATAACTGCGGCTTGTTTATCCGACATCAACAATATAAATCACAAGTAACCAGCTACAAATACAGGCTATGCAGCCATTCACTAGAGCAATCGAGGCGGCAGTATAGCTCCTTTTCTCGTTCAGCAAAACCAGCTTGTGGCTTCAAACAACTTCATAACAAGCGACCGAGGTAATAGTTTTTCTCCGTTGTTCTTACTGGTTAACTGCACCGAAAATCCAAATTCACAGTAATTTCGACGGCTGTCACTTAAAAATTCTTTTCCTTCACATTATCTGCCAGGTTTTTTAGCTGTTCTGCTGTGTAAAATCCTAGAATCCCGATGAGTTTTTAAAAAACTAATGTTCATCGCTACAATGTTTTGCTTTTTCATTCATGCAGTCCAGGCGAGTCCGTTCGCACGTTGACAGTTTTGATAGACGTGTGACATGCCCCTTGTCTTTTCCGGTTTGTTCTAGTCGGGGAGATTCAACGAGATTTTGTGGGCGTTTTTAATAAAACAATTATTCCACTCGCGCTTGTTGGATATGAGATGATTATAGCCAACTCGGCGCTACGCACCTCGTTGGCTATCTATCATCTCATATCCAACGCGCCCTCGTGGAATAATTATTAAATATCCAGCTTCTATTGTTGTTTCCAGTTGTGGCCGCTGTACGTCTCCAAGACTATCCTCAATCAAACCAACTCAATTAACCAGCTTTACAGTCAACCTATAAGCGATTTCTTCATAGCTGCGAAACCGCCCTCACTAGAGTTAACAACGACATTCTGCTTGCCATTTATAATCATCGCTGGCTGTGTTTTAGGTGTCCTGCCTCTTGACATTTCTGCTACTTTTGACACTGTCAATCACGATCGATTTCTCTTTATACTCTACCCTGGGTTCTTAGTCTGCGGTACTGCCATTGACAGGTTTCGCTCAAACCGCACACAATTTACCTTAATGGCTGGGAAAAAAATTACAATCTCGCGAGCTCAAATGTGACGTGCCTCAAGGCTCTGTCCTCAGAGCACCACTGGCTGACGTTCTGCGTTATGATAACATGCAATTTCATGTCTTCGTTGATTATACACAATTATACATCTACTTTTTACGAAACTTTCTCCCTGGAATTAGCCATTACCATTGCTAAAATTCAGGATTGCTCGTCAGATCTTAATAAGTGAATGTCTCACCAAACTGAAAAGCAAAAGAATAACACAAAAAAGTGGACAAAGTTAAGTTGTATATTCCCAGTCAAGATAGCTTGATTGGCTTTAGACTGCGAGCAAGCTTTCTTGGGTGCTCTGGGGCGGGGGACGGAAGTAGATGCTTCCCGACAGAGCTTGCTCGCAGGCTAGTTTGGCTTGTACCAACTTGTATCAACTTGTATCAACTTCATAATCGAATGACTATTTTTATTGAGACAATTAAATTTAACATTTGTTCAAATCAACAAAATGTGCTTATTTTGATTAGGAAAGGGAATTCAGGAGTTTGTTTTTTGAGGTTAAGCCGAACGCAGTTGGTCGCCATAGAAACGTTTTTCAAGGAAATTGAAAAGAAATTAATTGATAGAAATAAATCCTGTATCCTACTCCTTCCGTGAGGTTGAGGTACACATTAAAAAACTTGTTTTTTTCCTGACATATTTTTAGTGATTCAATTTTCTTAGACTTTTTGGTTGAAATCAGTGCTAACCAGCTGCCCAATTGGAAAGGTGTACCGAAAAAAGGATAAAAAAGTTAATGTAGTTTTATAATTAGGTTGAGTATGATCGTCCGGGTGAACGTAGTCCTGAATCGAACTGTTGTCGACAGTGACTGATGTTTCGACAACCTGTGCGGTGGTCATCTTTGACTCTAAAGATGACTACAGCAAAGGTTATCAAAAGTCAGTCACTGTAAACACGGGACCACGCTCATCCAGACGATCATACTCAACCTACTTATGAAATGGCGCCTGGGTTCAAACCTTTCAGAGTTTTAATTTAGGGTGGACAAAAAAAAAAAAAAAAATAGTAGAAATGAGAACAAATTTGAAAGTAAAGAAAAGCTTAGCCAGAATCAAACAAAAATTGTTAGGCCTGTCTTTCGGCCTTCTCGAAGTGCTGGTTATTGCCAAATTGATATCCGTAATCTGCGTATTGCTAATTGCTCATCAATAGATACAAATAGCCATGTGCGCCACACGTGAATTGTTATGATAATTTCTTCACTTTACAGTTAAATTAAAAACTATTAAGAATTGAACAAATATGAATTAATGTTCTACAGAAACTGAGATTTCCCCTTAGTTAGTCTCTTTCCTAAGATAGTTAAAGGCCTAGCAAGGTAAGTGCGTTAAATCGTGGGTTTTAAACTTGTTGATCCTTCTTTGTTTTAGCGTAATAATAGTTAAAAGGCTTGTACTTCAGCTTATAGTTATTTTCCCCATTTTAGCCTCAAAAGAAACAAATCTTCTCGATTTTGCGATTCACTTCGGTCGAAAATAACCATTTCAACTGAAAGTTCACGAGTATTATTTAATCATTGAAGTTTTTTTTTGGTCATAAATTTATATCAGTAATCGCGACCTTTTGGGTTGACACTCGCAACCAAAAAAACTGAAATGAATAAAAAAGACGCAGTCAAGATTTCTTATAATTGATCTCAGGTTGTCTGGAAACCGGATGAGAATCTGCTCTGTACAACTAGTCAAATTATCATTTATTATGGACTTTGAAGAAATTTTACGGTTTGTAGTGAGGAGTAAAATAGTAAACATTAAGTGCAGTGTTCGTGTATTGCAGCTGAGAAGTATTTAAAAATTTGTAAAAGTGAGACGCAACCGAATATAGGCCGTGACTTACGTACTGGCTATCGGTTTGTGTCAGTTATTGCTTCTTACGTACTGGCTATCGGTTTGTGTCAGTTATTGCTTCTTACGTACTGGCTATCGGTTTGTGTCAGTTATTGCTTCTGAGGTGAATCGCTGGTCTTGCACCTCTCACAAAAAGATGTTGACTGCTGTGAAAAAGAGCCTCTGAAGAAACATTTTTAAAATTAAGTCCCAAGAAGGAAATCGTTAATGGAACGTTCGATAGAGTTTTTGTTTCTGGCCAACATGAGCTTACATGTTGGGAATGTGCTTAACGTAAGCGGTACGCCTGTTGCTTAGATCTACTTCCTCACCCGAGGTCTTCGATAGATGATGTTAAACTTGTGCATGGCATTTAAACTCCATCTTTATAAAATTGCATCCTAATTGCGACATCTCAACGTAAATTCAGCAGAAATCATATTTTTCGATGCTTTCTTCCACCTTCATGCGTAGTCAAAAGCCGTATTCGTCAGCTTTGTAACATGAAGACGAGCATGGTGACGCGCTCTTTTAATTACGTTTTTATCATCTTCTTGACTCGTTTCATCAGTGTATCAAGTTTGTTTGAATTTACTAAGTTTCAAAACTGTTCGGTAAAGAGTGAGGGATAGGAAAGCCTCCCTCATGGAACTTTGATTCTCTTAGGGTTGGTTTCCAGAATCGCGTAATTTTTACGTGCGTAGTCGTGCGTAAAATTTACGTTCGTAAATAAAATAGAGGCAATGCATGAAAGGTCTCTCGTAAGGGTAAAAGTTGAACCTCGCTCGACTGCTCGTTTAAGCTCCGCACTTTTGATCTTGCAATTGCCTCTATTTTATTTACGTGATTAAAATTTACGTGCGTTAACGTGCGTAGCCAGAAACGCGTCAGCGTTAGCCTGCGTAGCAAGCGTTTCCTCGCGAGGTTCGTCTAGAAAACTGGGACAAGAGCAAAAAAAAAATGAATGACGGGGGAGGGGGAGGGGAATGAAGGAACCGCTTGCCCGCAAACCCCACGATTTTGAAAAACTGCGTTCGCCCACGAACGCAGCTTCTGATTGGCGCGGTGCGGGTAGTGTTGATTACTTATCATTGGAAACATCAATCAAACCAGGTATGCTTTGTTTTCGTGCGTCACAGATCTGGTCTCATCTGATTTGTGATCGCAGATTACAAATGCTTTGGACTGATATTTATTTGAATCGTGTTTGTGCGAAGGTTTATGAGATCAGAGTCTTCAAAGTACAATTGGAGATCGAGCAGTGGAGACTAGGGAAGGCCAATTTATTGAGAATGACGTCGTGCGGATCTGACTGGAAAAAATGGACTGTTTGTTGGAGATAACATCAACATAAATCAAAACATCGGTACTCGACACTACTAGCCAAAGTCCCCATGGACAAGCGGTTTGTCAGCTTTTTGAAATGAAAAGATTCTTTTTGTTTATTGGAAATTTATTGGCATCTATTGTAGAGAACGTCTCGACAAAGGCTGAAGAGCAGCCGCTCTGCAAAACTTATACCCGGCGGAGTGAATTGTTCCGGACAAATCACTTTTGACGTGTCGAGAGGGTTTCAGACGAGATAAAGCCACACAATAAAAAACAAGAAATTCCGCAGCAATCAAGCAATCATTCATATTTTTAACTTTCTTTTATCGTAAATCTTTTTTATTACAGTTGTTGCAATCGCCTGCAACGTGTTCTATTAGAGAACAAAGTAATTCTACAAATCTGGTAATCCAGGGGTAATCTGTTCGTTATGTTTCTATTTTGACGAGCTGTCAATTTACAAATGAACCGAACCGTGAAATACCAAGAGGCGTTTTACAGAATCGTGGGGTTTGCGGGCAAGCGTTTCCTCTTCTCCCCTCCCCCTTCCCCTTCAACCGTTTTTTTGCTTCCGCTCTAACTTTCGCGCAATAACTCGATTGGAAACGCTTGCTACGCAGGCTACGTCAGCGTAAATCACCTTTATTCTCTTATTAACTCGGGAACGTAAAACCGAGAAGCTACCCATTCAATACATAACATTTTAAATTCAACAACAAGTGAAAACTTAGTTTTTTTTTTCAAGTTTAATTCAAGTAACTTTACAATGCACAATTTAAAATACGGTCTTGACGCCATCCTTTCGCCAGTATTTCCAAGACAAATGCGTTGGAACAGAACGACTACTCAAAGTGTCTTTGATTGTTTTCAGTTCTCTTTTCAGAAACCAGCCATAATGAAGTTTCTTTTCATCTTAATGGTTGTCTTTATTGCACCACCAATTTCAGGTATTATCCATTGTAGCCAACATGTCGTTAGTTAGTAAACCAAGCGAAAAGATGATGGGGTGATAAAATTGTGACTGCTTTTTTTGGTGGAGATGGCTGTTTCTGTGAAAGGTTTGAACCCAGGAGTCATTGCATAAATGGGTGAAGCATGATCGTCCGGGTGATCGTAGTCCTGAAAAGGAGTGTTGTTGACAGTGACTGCCGTCTCGACAACCTGTGCGGTGTCGCCGACAGAGTTAAAGTGAGTCGTTTCACTTCCTTTGATGGTATTAAACTCTGGTTATTGACCTGATTGGTCAATTAGGTCACGATGTTATTGGTCGTCTGTCAGTTAAGCTTTGATGTTATTAGCTACAAAGACTTCATACTGTCAGTTCTAATGTTAACTTCCCTTCTGAAGTCTCCAAGTATAGATAGTTTACACTCATGTGATCAACAACTGTGGAAATGTCTTGGAACAAAGAAGTTTTAATAAGGGGAACGGGAGCTGAGAACGAGAAAGGGGAGCGCGGGAAAATGAATAGAATAGAATAGAATAATTTATTTAATGTCGAAGCCCTGAGAATTGAAAAATGGGAACAAAACAAAGAATTGGAATGAGGTTACTGATAGGGCTGGGGTTTAAGTTAGGTTTTATTTCCATTTTTCATTTTCCTGTTCCCTGTGCTGGTCTGGAGTCCCCCGCTCCCCGTTCCCTGTTTAGTAACATCCTTCGTACAACGGAGCTGGCCTTGTATTTCGCTCGTCTCAAGTGGGCTCTCAAGGAAATATCACAAAAAAAAATTGCTAATGATAAATTCAACGATAAAAGAAGAATCCATTTCACTCTAAAATCATTCTTTAGTTGACTTTCTTGAGTAAGAAACCAAGCGCTCCCTGCTATTACATCTTGCCTAGACGCTCACACAATTGCCTTCTTTAGAATCAGCAACTGGTCAGCAAAGCACATGTGAGCAATCGTACTACAAGCTAGGATGTTATCAGGACAGACGATGGATAAGGGCCATGTCTGAACTTCTTATTAATGACAGGGACCCTACATCAGCCAAGTACGGAATGCCAGTTGATTGGCACAACTGGAACGACTACCTCCAGAGGTTTGTAACATCTTGTCATTGGTACCAGACATCAGTTTATAGAGACTGGTATAATGCCGATTTTTCTATTCTGTGGTGAACGTATAATAGCGAGGTTAAAAAACTTGAGATATCGTCAATACCATAACAGTACATCAAGTACTTTGGTGACAACTCCTGTTCATAACGATTTAAAAGTGTCTATAAAACATAATAATTAAGCTTTTTGGAAAGAAAACCAATTCTTCTTTTCAGATTTTGAATATCTCTCTCTCTTTTTTTAAGCTGATAAATATATTGTTCTTTTATGACATAACCTAGCCTTGCTTGTCGCTGTGCCCAGGCAGCCTTGAATCATAGTTACATTATGTTTGGTCTCCAAAATTACGGAGAATGCTGGTCAGGATCAGATGCATGTGATCAATACTCACGACATGGAGATTCAAAACTGTGTATTGGTAATAATTACACCATGTGTGATTTAAACGATGATAGTGAATGCATTGGAAAGGGTAATGCCAACTTTGTATACCTGTTACTTGAAGGTAAGCCTTTAAAAACTCTTGGTTGTACTTCATGTTTCAAAAAGGTTGCTTTTTAATCCAGAAACAAAATATTAGCCAGCAAACAACGAATAGTCAAAGTGCACTTGTAGAAATGAAAATAAAGGAAACGCGCGCAAGAGGGCGCTTGGGAAGGCACAGTAGCAATAATATAGTTTCGAAAGGAATATTGTAGAGACTTGATTTCTAAATTGGGCAAGGTTCAGAGGCTATACCTGGGAGATGAAGGTACTGTAAAACACACAAACCCTTGAGACTAACATCCCAGCAATGTGAAGGTTGCGGAGTATTGCTACCCCCTGGATTGGATGCTAGTCCAGGGAAGTATGTTGCTGGTACCCATGTTAAATCTATGGCCTCGTGAGCGGGAAAGATGAGGCAATTTCTGAGTTCTATTGGCTCTCTGAGTTGGCAAGACTGATAGGCCTATGTATAATTTCCTTGGCCATATAATAAATCGTAATCTGATGCATGTTTAAAAGCATGAAACCTATAAAAAGAAGCTTGGCCAATATCCGTTCCTGATCTTGATTTCACGCTGAGGTCAGTGACACATACTAACGGTGATATAGATAACACACGAGACGAGTTTATCCGAAAATGTACCAGGAAATTATTCCTTTTAAGCCTTAGTTTATCAAGATAGTCAAATTACGCCTTAATGAAGAACTTTACGGTCCCAAATACAAAACATAGATTGCACAGGAAAATAATGTTATTAAACTTTTCTTAAATTCTTCGATGCTCTGTTTTGCTTCTTTTATTAGATTAAGTCTCCTTAACCAGGAACCAGGACGCAAAGAAAACCGAATGCTTGGAGTGAATAGGGGAGCTAGAAATTTAATATTCATTGCAACAGCTTGCCTTGAATTCTATGTTTTTTGGCGGGAAGCTTAATTTACAGCATTAGATAATAATGTTAGAATGTTAGAATACTGGGTGCTTCAATGCATCATTATTTCAATTTTCTCTCACAAAATGGCTATAAACAAACCCATAAAACAAACATTGTAAAAACAGATTATTTCGATGTGATAATTTTTAATTAGGGTTGGTAATTACAAACCGTATTTTTAAGTTGTTTATTAGCGTGTTCTCGAATGCTTTTAATTAGCTGTGAGCTTGACAACCGGTAAAGGGGATGATTATGTATGAGGTGTAACTAAACGGGTGCCTTCCATTCGAAACACTTATTCCCGGTAGTTCCGTTTTATTGCCAACAAATCACAGAATTTATTTTAAAAACAAGCACAGTGGTAATATATTGAACGGTATTCCAATGACATGGCTTCGTGAGCCGTAAATAAAATTTTAAAAAAGGTACCTTCCATTTGAAAAGTACAGGGCTAACAAAAGTATACATTCAGGGAAACTACGTGAAGAAAGAGACAGAAGTTAGAGACATCAAGTTATATATATACATTTTTCGTATATATATCATCGACATGCGAGCACACACCCTTGGTTTAAGATATCAGGGTTTTTATTATACAAAACCTTTTCTGAGCATTTGGCAAACTTAACAGAAACCTAGAATTACAGCTAACTGGACTTGGCAGCCGTTGCACCAGAATTTAACCTGTTAAAAACTTGACATTCCGAGAAATACATAGACTAATTAAGGAATACACGTAACTAAGAGACTGTTCAGAGGTTATATCTATTTATTATTCATTCAAAATATTTTTCGATTCTGATTGGCTAAAAGCACACGTTTAATTCACCATAACCAGTTACTGATGACCAAATTTGGAAGAATTTTTTGTTTAGCGAGGAAATGACGTCAAAAATGCAGCATTCTTGCAGGTTAATGCACCGTTAACCGAGAAGACCTGGGGACGAGGTTGAGTTGTTTTGGTTGTGAACTTGAAAAATGGCGGACAATTCACTCGTTTCAAGAGTAAGAACTAGGCGAAAAAACAGCTAAAAACATGGCAAGAACAGTAAGAAGATAACTCGAAGTGCGACATCTGCTATTTGGTGAATATTTGCGGAGCTGAACAACCCTAAACGTGCACTATCGAAGATGAACTTAACATCGATGGATCGATGGAGGTAAGCATGTTTTAGCCATGTCTTTAAACTAGGAATTATTTTGAATGAATTCTTGGTTTGCAACCACGTGACAAGGCGGCCATTTTGGGGATCAATACAGTATAATTTTTTCTGGAAGAATTTACATGAAAACAGAGTTTAGTTCCCGGAGGAGAGAAATGCTTTTGTTCTTGACCACCAACATTGCAGCCGTGTCGTCACGTGCAAACCAACAATAAGACGGATAACACCCTCCTCGATCTCCATAATTCTTCATACGATACTCAGCCTCATTCATTAATGGTTAAATAATTCTGCAATCATAGTTTCATTCGCAAATTAACGTAGTGTACGTTTAGTCCTTTGATTTTTTAGTTACAGCTTATTCAAACGGTGCGCTAAATGCTCATGTTTATTGCGGTGTGAACTTCTAATGTGCCCTTTCTTGTATATGGGGTCTTTTTCATCCACTTCATAAGTATTGTGGTTTTCTTTTGACCTATGAAATAAAACAAAAATCTAAGGTTAAGTAGAAAATCACTTTGAAACTTGAAAGGTGTCAGTAATTACTCAGGTGTTGTATTTGCTGTTTGGTACCTCATGATTCTTGATGTGCTACCGAAGCCAGATTTTATTAAAGTCAAATGAATTTTTAGTTGCCTGAATTCTTTTTTTGTTATATTCCCTTTTTACTCAAAATAAGATTATTTTTCCACACCAAGCACCTTTGATAATAGTACGATAATACCATTATATGAAAGAGGAAATGATCCTCGCAGTTGAATAAACAACCTAAGGGTTTGAAACAGACATTGACCTGAAAAAATTCAGGCTTGACCGGGAATCGAGCCCTGACCTTTGCGATGACCGGACGCATTGCAATACCATTATTGTCACATTATAGTGATCTAGGACGTACCGAACTATCCTTTTCTGAGGAGGAATAAAATAAATTGGCTGAGAAATATAGTAACGCTGATGACGTCTAGCCTTTGTCTAGTCTTTATCTCATAAATAAAGTGCAAAGAAACCTCATTACAATAAGGTCGTGTGCTATTTTTAGAAAGTTTAATCAGTTTGAAAGGTTTTTAAGTTATTTTTGGGTCGATGAATGTTGTTTTGATTGGTTGACCACAAACACAAACTCCACATTTCCAACGTTTTCTCTACTTTTTCTCCTCCTTTTCTATTTCGCAACAGGTTATATAGAATTTAAGACAGGCTAAATCGAAGCAAAACAATCCCAAATCAAGGCACGATAAGACACATAATGGAGCAATCTTCTCTAAGAAAACAAATTGACGGCAAAGCTTATGGCTTGATCATTTGCGAAGTAAGAACCCTGCGTGTGAGAAACCTTAAGATAAAACGTTTCTGTGTTCGGGTACTGGTAAATTACCCGTACGCATAGCCGTAAATAGGGGGCCGGTATAGATTGCCTCTTACCCCGGAGAAACGGCTAGGCTACCGCGTAGAACGGTAACGCAATTACCATATCTGGAAAATCATGGTTACCTCTTATACAACTACGTACGTGGCAAACATGTTCCCCTATCCGTACCCGTAGGCTGAAAAGGCGTATCTTGAGGGCACTAAAAGTATTTTACGATTCCTCCGCGAAATGAGGTGAATTCGGTACACCCTATATCACTCAGATGACCATCTTTTTGGTTAGATGAATTATAACAACGCTCGAAGTGTTTGTTCACCATCTTGTCAAAAGTAAACCAAACCACCTATATTAGACACAGGGTAAAAATATGGCTATAGACAACAGATTACTAATTAAAATAATAAATTATGAAAATTTTAGTTCTCTTCCTGAAATAGTACTGACAGTCACGTTTCTTGGGCTGTTGAGATTGATGTTAACAGGGGCATCCAATGAATGTTTTCTGTAAAGTATTTGTTCGGAGAAGCAAATATTGCCTAGAATTTCTGTTGCTTGAGGACGGCTAAAAATGTCTAGATGAACGGTCCATTCATGTATAAATTTTGAAGCCTATATACCCGGATTACACTATTTTTCTTAGAAAAAGGAAAACTAAATTTTCGGACTCTAAAAGGTGATGGCGAGAGGAATCAGAAAATGATTCTCTTTTTCGTAAAACTTTAAATTCCACCCAAAATTTTCTGAAAACTAATATTGAAGCCCTTGTAATTTCGAGAAGACTTAAGTTCCCTTGGATGACAGAACAGATAAAAAATTATAGCGCCACTTAGAATGCATTTCTTGCGAGCTAAAAGTACTCTGGACAGCCTAAAAGTGTTTTTATTGTATTTTGGAGGGAAACCGTCGATGGGTGCCCCTGATGTTGATTTTCTTTTTCGCACTTGCTTGTCCCTCAATACGTCAAATGAACTTGTGGAGTACAGTCGTTTATGGAGCTCTGTCCTGTTTTCAATGTCAAAAATTTCGCCCCCTGTAAACGAGGAGATAAAATGTATAAGGATGAATAAGGGAGCGTCTTCTATCTCCGTCTGAGGAACCTGTAAAGTTTACTTCAAAGGCACGAGGGAGTATTGTCTGTGGTACGTTGTTTATCCATCTTGCTTTGGTGAAGCAATAAAGGAATTCCATGTACTCAGTCGTTTCCATGATGTAGTCCTGGCTAGTTACGTTTGAATTTGTGCCATTATGAACCTGCTTTGTCACATTTTGCTCAGTGTCATAATTTGATGGTGCCTTTGAAAGAGAAAATTTCTCCTCGTGCTGATTATGGAGATCTATTCTTAGCGTCGTAGCCCAGATCGTTCTTGTCATTTTAGTATGACTGGTGCTGTAACCAGTTGTCACATGTACAGAGCCAAGAAATTAGTGGTCACTCACGTTACTTCAGTGCACATTCCACAGGCTCGCTTGCACATCATACTTATGGTTCCTATGCTTGCCGTTGGAGCGTAGTCACTGCAGAAGCCACGGGAAGCGTATTCACTGCAGTCATCTGAATAATCCTTGCAGTCTTCAAAG